TCGCCAAATCCAGCCGTTGGTTCGGGAAGAATTCGCCTCGCCACACAACCATTTGCGGACCGCGATGAATTCGGTGTCCGCGAGGCTGGACTGCGCCACCCTGACATGGACAGACTCTCCCCTCGAGAATTCTGACGGAAGGGACAAGACTGCTGGTCATTGCCACGGCTGCTCGTTCGCACGCCCTCCATACCACTCCACTCTCACTTGCACCGCCGTTTTCACGGACCGCGGAACCCACCCTGACGACGACCACCTCTGCCTGCGGTTGGCAACTACCTCTCACATGTTGTCGGCCGCGATAAACCGACTAATCACCAGTCCTCCTGGCCGACTCATTTTCCCTCTGGACTTGAACTTTATGAGGCACGAGTCCTCCCTCGCGATGCTGTCGTCGAGTCGTCACGACTGCCAGACTGCTCGGTCAAATAAACAGTCAAGACGACGGTGGCCGTGAATCGCCGTGCGTGCAAGCACCATAGAGCGTGCGTAATCAGAGGCCATAGACAGTCACCCGCCCGTTCACGAGCATATCGAGGTGCCTCAAAAGCTTACCAAGCGTAGCAAGAGTGTGAAGGACACTGTCAGTCACCAGCATCCCATCGTCTCTCAGAGTCCCGCAGGTGTATCTTGAGTACTACCACCAGTAAGAACTGTTCAGATCAGGTTACTCGTAGTGTGGAGTATAGCCGTCATACTCGTAGCGGTCTAACACGCACTTTTTCCAAGCCGTTATGGCTATCGCACTCTTGAGGATGCTACGCGCATCGCCAGCGGCGCTTCTACTTCTGCTGCTTCTCCAATGCTACCATTGCCATGTGGAAGCTCAAGGCGGGAAGTGCGATTTGAATGCAGGCTCGTGAGTCCCTTCTCCAATCTAGGGTCTTGACTCGTGAATCCCAATTGTAAAGCGTTTCAACCCTGCGCATCTCTAGGCCAAGACCCCTCCCCATTTCCCTCCGTGTTCTCGTGTCTTCGGCTCGTACGCACCTTTCATCCCTTTTATCCTAGTCGGATTTACTACACATATAGGCGAAACCCCTCATACGCGCCTGCTAGATATCCATTCTCTTCAACCCAGTCCAGTTACCGCCTTTCTAAACCACCTCCCAAGCTGACATATTCCAGAATCCTTTCTTCCATTTGCCTCGTCGCTACCAGTTGCGTCGGAACACACACTGATGGGGAAGGGGAAAAATGTGTCAGGATAGCCAGTGCTGCTTTTTTCTCTGGCCAGGCCGAGCTTGTGATCATTCGTTCACCTGCTCGTCGCGACCAAAGCGGTTTCGCGACCGCGCATTGACGAACCGCCTCATGAGCTGAAAGAGGAGCACCAACTTCCCCCTCGCTCGCTTTCCGTCGCTGCCGCCGCACTCACTACTCGCTCTCACCACTCACTTCTTACCTCTCTATCTCACTCCCCTCTCTCATCCCTTCTCACCCCCGCAGATGGGTGCGCAATCCGTCTCTCCCCAAGCGCTACACGGGGTTGACGTGCAAGAGCATCCGGTCGAGCCTCAACTGCCAGAAGAACGGCCGCAAGGACACGGCGTATCTCAACTACGAATGGAAGAGTCCCGGTTGCAACATCCAGAGGTACAAACCAGGTTAGGCTGAGCAATGTCTTGAGTCTTTAATGCACCAGAAAGGTTAAATTATACGGACTACATCAGCTGCGAGTGGCGCAGGAGCAGGAGCAACATCGAGAGGTCCTTAGAAACAGCGAAGGAGACCCGTACGCAACTCGTGCAAAGCTTCGTCGCTTACAAAACGAACGACATAAGTGAGCATCGGAACAGGAACCTGACAGACGTGTTTCTCCCAGCAGAGGGCATGCGTATCCTTTCCAATGGCTTTTAAGAGATGCTATCTCCGCTCGAACCCTGTCCAGGTCCTCTGCACCTACCTCTTCCCACTGCTTGTTACCATCACTTGCTACCTATCCCTCCTCTTCTCCCCTCCATCCTCCCCTCGGCTTATTCCTCACACCCCCACCACCTTCCTCTCCCTCTGCTCTGTCCTCCTTCCCACACCACAACCACCACAGGTTCCACCCCGAGGCATTGCTGCAGATGCGCAACAAGGTGTTTCTGGGCGTGGGGCACAGCTCCTTGTATTACCACACCCTACCATCCTCGCCGCTTCACCTATCTCATTTTCCCACCACCCCCCTCACAGATTCGACCCCAAGGCGTTCCTGTCGCTGATGCGCAACAAGGTGTTTCTGGGCGTGGGCGACTCGTTCAACCCCAACCTGCAGCACTCCGTGCGTTGCCTCGTCGAGAGCGTCGCGCCCACCAAGGACGTGAACGGCGCGCTCTTCAAGACCGGCCTCTCCGCGCAGGGCTACGTCGTGCCGCAATACAACGCCACGTTCCTCACTATTGCGTCCAGCTTCCTCGTCGACGCAACCCCCGTGGTACGTCTGCGTGTGTGCACGCTATCCCGGTCAGTCATGCGCTTACCTGTCAGCGCAGGGCTACGTCAACGCCACGTTCCTTACGATTGGGTCCAGCTTCCTGGTCGACGCACCCCTCGTGGTATGTTGGTGTGTGAGGTGTTGGCTAGGCAGGCATGCGCGTGTGCTTGCTATCAGCGCAGGGCTACGTCGTGCCGCAGTACAACGCCGCGTTCCTCACCATCGCGCCCAGCTTCCCGGTCTACGCAATCCCCGAGGTACGTGCGAGGGTGTTGGTTGGGCAGCGCGCGTCCAGCAGCAGTCCTGGAAGGTGAGTCTGGACGTGCCCAGCAAGGTGCGGCTTTTAGCCTCTCTGTGTGTGCCGCACTCATGCCCTTCCCTTTTCTCTTCCCCTCATTACCCAGAGCGCGGCGTCCAGCAGCAGTCCATGGAAGGTGACCTGGACGTGCCCAGCAAGAAGTGGCCCTCTCTTTGCCTCTCTGTATGCCCTTCCCATTATCACCCCTCCCTTTCCCTTTCCTCCCCTCCCCTCCCTCCCCCTTCCTTTTTTTCTTTGTATCACGCAGGGATCAGTGTCCAGCAGCAGTCCGTGGAAGGTGAATCTGGACGTACCCAGCAAGGAGTGGACTCCGTTTCTGCGCCACTCGCACTACGTGGTGTTCTCGGCTGGCCACTGGTTCACCAATGTACGTGTGCGCGTGTGCGAGTGAGTGAGTGCGACGCTACTAAGCATTTGGTACGAGTGCGCATATGAATGTGCATGCGTGCGTGGCTCAATTGGCTGCTTCTGAGGCGCCTCAAGAACACATTTTCACTACGTGGCGTGTTCTGCTGGCCACTGGTTGACCAATGTGCGTGTGCGCGTGAGTGAGTGGACCGCTGCAAGTATGTTCGTACGTGCAGGCTCTGAGGGTGTGTTGGCATATGAATAGGATCTTCAATCCTGAGAAGGTCGGTTTAACTAAAATCGATCATGTTAAAGAAATCGAAATGCATGCTGAGCGTGTGGGTCGCTGCAATTACTCCTATGCGTTATCATACATTCAAATGTGTGTGATTGTGACATTCGGCAGAAATGCAAGGCGAAGCTTGATGCAGACAGGCATACCCCTCCTTCCGCTCCCCCCTCCTTCCCCTCTCCTTCACACATGCCTGGCCTGCAGTCTGGGAACCTGCGGCAGTGGTTTGTGAAGAAGCAGCCGCAGAAGGGCATGACGTCATCAGCAGCAATGACAGCTGCATACACGACAATGCGCAACTACATCTCGAGCTCCGGGTACAAGGGCATGCCCATGGTGCTCACATACACGGCGTCGCACTACGACTCGGCGTTTGCTGCCACGGATTCGGTGAAGGAGTGCAGTGGGGCCAAGGGGCCCATGACCTCCAAGCAGATGGCGTTTGCTTCCAAAAAATCGGATGCACTCGAAGGGAGGACTGCGGTGGTCAAGGTGAGTGGGTGTGTGGGGTGATGGAGGTTCAGCTTGGGGGGGATCCCATGAAGGAGTGCAGAGAGGCCAAGGGGCCTTTACGAGTTCCCAGCACATGGAGCTCGCTGGAAGGGAGGAGCGCAGTGTGAGGGTGAGTAATTTAACGTGTGTTAGGGAGTGCAGGGTGACGGGGTTCTTTCAGCAAATGGCTTCAGGGTTCTTGAGTTTCCAAGGCTTGTCTGATGCTGCCATATGTTTCCATCCAAGCGCCTGAATATTGTTTCCTCTCTTTTTTCATTGCTGGTTTCGCTTCAGGTGTTTCAAGGAAACCCGACCTTCAAGGTTCTTGACGTGAGCAAGGCCAGCTTGATGAGACCCGATGCACACATGGCGCAGTTCAGGGCAGGGACGTCGGATGATGACTGCTCACATTTCTGTGTTCCCGGTGTCCCTGACACATGGTCCGACCTGATGTTCTCTTACATGACCAAGTCCATCTGACATAGCACTTACATAAATGGTATTCCAAGATATTCTTGCGACTGAACAGCTATTTTCTGGAGCATATTTGAAGCGTCCTACCTAATATTGCAAACCTTGTGCTAATGTACTTTTCAAATCCATATGTTATGAATGTGCATAAAAATACTTTCCTACAGCTCTGATATGGCTGTTGCGTTTGAGGGTGCTCCTCTTTGGTGAATTTCAAATATCATTAGTGCTGGGGAACCGTCTGGTCCGAGGCGCAGCGCCGCCTTTCAACAGTGATTGCGATTCGATAACATGCATGCACCAACCAAGTCAACCAGTCCTGGTTTGCGAACACAAATCCAATCCATTCTGTCCGCTGCGAATGGGTGGGTGGGTTTGACTGAGCATTTTGTCAAGCCTACGAAAATTGCGAATGTGGCTGAGCTGAGTGTGCGAAGGGCGCTGCTGGTGTGGCGAGGGGGCACAACATACCATACGAGTGCGACGTAGCCGCCATTGACCATTCATGCGGACGAGGTGGTCGCGAAAGGGGAAGGGCTCTCCGCCACAACAGGAACAACTCTTCTGTCTGGAGCGAAGTGCGAAGTGCAACAACTTCGAGGTCTAGTGAGGAGAGAGGGGACCAGAGATCGGAGATCGTCCAAGACCCTACCCAACCGTTGAGAATTCACTATGATCACAAAGCACCTCACCGAATTCCGAATTCTTGTGGTGAACCCAAAGAAGTACCAGCGAAAGGAGCTCTCGCCATGTATTTAGTCCTAAAAATGAGCCGAGTATTTTAGGTGGCTCACATCGCACGTGAAACGAGGTGGCCGTTTCTCGGTCAGCTCTCCTTCCTCTGCTGCTGATTCAGCGCAGCCCTGAGTCTCGGAGAAGAAAACAAAGCATTTCCCGTCGAATCTCGTGTCGCAATTTCCGACGAATTTCCGCTATACTAATCTCGGAGTGGTACATCGAAATATCTGTCGTTTCTCTTCGCGAGATTGACGAGAATGGCTTCCCTGCTGCTCCTTCTCTTGGTGACGTCAGTGCTTTCCTTGACGGGTCCACGTTGCCACGTGGAGGCCTCAAATGCCACGTCGTCGGATTCCGCGAGTCCGCTGTCGCAATGCGACCTGAGTGCCGGCCGGTGAGTTGGCAGGCGGTCCCTTGTGCACCCCACCGACCATCGCGACGTCAGTGAAACGCGTAACGCGTCGGGTTACTCCCTCCAGCGCCTACGGCGCGTGTCGCAGCTGAGAGCACATCGCCTCATCCTTGCTTTTTATCAAGATTTACTGCTACAGCTGCCAGAGCAAGTGTCTATCCCTCACTCGCGCCCATGATCTCTCCCTCCTTTCCACACTCAGCTGGGTGCGCAATCCTTGGGTGAAGCGCTACACGGGCTTCAGTTGCCAGAGCAATGCCTTGAGCCTCTCTCCCTCTCCCACACCCATCCCTTCCCCTTCCAAAACACTCATCTCACCCCGTTATTTTGAGGCAGCTGGGTGCGCAATCCCTTTGTGAAGCGCTACACGGGCTTCAGCTGCCAGAGCATTCGCTCGCAACTCAACTGCGACCGCAAAGGGCGCTCCGACTCGGAGTATCTTAACTACGAGTGGAAAAGCCCCGGATGTAACATCAAGAGGTAATTCTCATTGAATTTGGTTCCTAATCATGGTTTTTAGACTGAAAGCAACATAAGGTAGGGCGCTCCGACTCGGAGTATCTTAACTACGAGCGCAAACATCGCCCGCAACATGGTTTCAAAGCTCTTCAGCAGCCTTTCGCAACATCGCCGGCAAGAAGGTCTTCTTGTCGGTCGCCGGGGCCTCGCACCTATCTACAGTAACAAATCAATTTCATGAACACATATATGTACGAAAATGTATAGGTATGTATATGCATGCCATCCAACCTCATGGTACACACCATTCTCCCGCCCCCTCCCCCCTCTTACCCAGGTTCGATACCGGAGCCTTTCTCAACACCGTGCGCAACCGAGTCTTCATGTCGGCCGGTGACTCGTACGCCACTAACCTCTATCACGCCCTGCGCTGCCTCATTGAGACCAAAACGCAGGTCAAGGTAAGTCAACCAGGTCAATCATGTAGGATCTGTTATTGGCTCGTAGCCTATGCCACCAACCTCTACCACGCCCTGCGCTGCCTCATCGAGACCAAAACTCAGGTCAAGGTAAGTCAACAAACCAGGGAGTAAAACGGGAGTCAATACGTCCGGATTCAGTATACCATGCAAGTTGTGACTGTGACTGTGCGTCCCCTCCCTGCATCGCCACCAGGACTACAGGATGAGCCCGGCCTTTGGGACGGGAATGAAGGCGTCCGGATTCAGCGTACCGTGGATTTTTCGATTGTTACTCATGTGTCCCTTCATCTCATCTTCCCTCTCTGCACCACCGCCAACAGGACTACAGCACGAGCTCCGCATTCGGGACAGGAGTGAAGGCGTCCGGATTCAGCGTACCGTCACACAACTTCCTCTTCCTCCGCCTGTCCACTAACTTCCTCGTCGATTCTGAGCCTCAGGTACGCTTTCTGCCTGCACACATGCCGAACCTCCTGTAGGTTCTGTGTCCTCTCCGTCGTCTCAAGCTACTTGTCTGTCCCTCCTCTTCTCATGCCTCGTTGTCGCTTCCCTCTTCTTCCTTCCTGTTCTGTCTCGTGTTCTTTCTCGTCACCTGTGGTTGGTATATGTTCTCTCCAGCCCTCTTTTCTTCTCCTCTCCATTTCTCTTATGCCCTCCTCCACTCCTCTCCCTCTTCCTCTCCCTCCCCACTCCACTTCTCTCCACCTGCCAGGGGTCAGCATTCAGCAAGGCCACGTGGACGGTGCATCTGTGTACTTTATTTGTGCCCCTCTCTCCCTTCTCTCTTCTCTCCTCTCCTCTCCTCCCCTCTCCACTCCTCTCCACTCCTCTCCACTCCGTTCCACCCCTCGCCACTCCTTTCCATTCCACTCCTCTTCTCCATCTGCGGAAGGACTCTGCTCCATCTATGCTCCTCTCTACCCTCTTCTCCTCTCCTCCTTTTTTCCCTCCCCCTCTCCACTCCTCCCCCCACCAGGGCTCAGCATCCAGCAAGGGCACGTGGAAGGTGTACCTGTGGAAGGCAGACTCCAACTGGGCGAAGCTCATTCCTCATGTCAACTACGTGCTCTTCGCTACAGGCCACTGGTTCACCAATGTGAGTGTACTAACATAAGTAGTCTCACATGCCCAGTATTGAAAATGCACCAAGTGGGCGAAGCTCCTCCCGCATGTCAACTACGTGCTCTTCACTACAGGGCACTGGTTCACTACTGTAGGTGTACTGGCATTCGTACTCTCATACGTGCAGTATTGAAAATGCACTAACATCTGTACGACCATTAAACAGTGAAACAGATTGCCACTGATGCGATCATTCAAACCACTCTTTACTCCTCCCTTTCCATTCGGTCCCCCTTCACTTCACCCGCCACCCAGGCCCCTTCCAATACTCGCGACTATCGCGATTACCATGGAAACCAGATTGGCATCAATTCAATGAGGGCCATGCGCAGAGCGATGAAGACCGTGCGTGAGACGGTGCAATCCGCCAATTTCCGCGGCATGCCCATGTTCCTCTCGTACACTGCAACGCACTACCAGAAGTCGTTTCCCCCGCAAGATTTCATGAATGATTGCATGGGTGCTAAATCGCCTGTGGGAGATAACGTGGTGGCGTATGCGGAAAAGAATACCTTCTTCATGCAGGCACGAAACCAGCTGCGCCGGGTAAGAACGAAGCCGGCTTTATCCCCTTGGTTGATCAGTTATTTTTCTTCCATGTTTTTTTTTCTTTCTTGCTGTTTTCCATCTTATGCGAGCCCTCTTCCATGTTTGTGTGGGTGCGTGGGTGGGTGGTAGGTGGATGGGTGGGTGCATGTGTGCGCCCATGTGTGTGAGAGCATGTGTGCGTGTGTGTGTTCTGATCTCTCCATGCTTCTCCCCTCTGCTTACCACCTTCCCCTGCATGGCTCCTTTTCTTGCGTGATGTGTGATGCGAATCAGGTGATGAGAAACTCAAGGTTCAAAATCATAGACGTCACCAGGGCTACACTGTACCGTCCGGATGCTCACTTGCAGAAGTACGGGGAGGAGTCAGAGGATTGCTCTCATTGGTGCGTTCCGGGAGTGCCCGACTCGTGGGCTGACATTGTGTTTTCCTATGTGACCGGCTCACTATCGTGAAGGCAGGGTTTGATAATCTAACTCAGGGAGTCATACCTCATGATTTTCCTGATGCGGTGATGGCCACAGTTGGATATTGACAATTTTTATTTAGTGAGCATTAATGGTGAATGGAGCAAAATGTATATTTTTACTAATGTCTTACGCCGCATGTCTATGTGTGAATATCGAGTTACTAGAACACGAAAGATGATTCGAACCCCCGATAGTGGCCCGGGAAAGGGCCACGTCTAACGCGGCTTGACCAATTACCGAGCGCGGTTCGATCACATATTTTCAAATGCCAGAATTGCACGCACGAGGTGCCGAAACCAAGGCAAGTTCTTTCTCACACCATGCAAGGAATGACAAGGCACATACTGCTGAACTGAACACAGAAATAAGAGCCTGTTGCTGTGGTCTGTTTCCCTCAGGCGCACCAACCGCATGCTTATTACTTAACGGCTGTGCTGGTCCAACATAGACCTTAGGACTCGTATGTTCCACGTGTAGTTTCACTTCCCAAATCATAGGCTAGGCTAGAGCAAGTAGTCGCTGGTGGTCGAGCAGCGGACCTGCCGAGCCGCCACCTGGCAGCGATGCAGTTCCGCCGGCCGGCGTTGCAGATTCGGAAGGCTCCGGTCGCATCGCCTTCACGGAGGAAAGCACTGGTTCCGTTTCTTGCGCTGCTGGTGCTGGAAGCGGCACTTGGGGCGCCCGTCGCGGCTACGGATAACGGCGCGAATTGCGACATCACCGCTGGCGAGTAGGTTGCGGTCAATTGTTCCGCCCCAAATCCCGCGGTCTTTTTTTCTTTCGAGAAGCCTCAATAGTCACGGAGCCCCAGGTACCGCAGTAATATTCTGTACATGCTTACCTTGCGCGAACGACAGGGTGGCAAGTTGCCGTCATTGGCGCCAGGGAAAAGCATCTTCCCCGCAATTCGAGGCAACCAGTGTGCCGTTGTTGGCGAATCAAGTAAAAATTCAGGCGCAAAGTAGCGAGGCTAACTGTATTTGTTACGTCCCTCGTTGCCACCACTACTGGAATGCGTGTGGCATCTGTTCCTCGTCTCGCGACTTATTTCTTCAGTCATGTAATGCATCGTGAGAGTTTCCAGAACTCGCTGGAATGTTGTTTCCAGAACTTGCTGGAATGTTGTTTCCAGAACTCGCTGGAATGTTGTTTCCAGAACTCGCTGGAATGTTGTTTCCAGAACTTGCTGGAATGTTGTTTCCAGAACTCGCTGGAATGTTGTTTCCAGAACTCGCTGGAATGTTGTTTCCAGAACTCGCTGGAATGTTGTTTCCAGAACTCGCTGGAATGTTGTTTCCAGAGTGCACTCCATTCATCAACCTACTACTGGAGTAGTACTCCACCCCCAACCTCTCACCCAAGCTACCGTAGACATGACCGAACCACCAGGAGAAGCAGCCGCAAGATTGCTGCTGTAGTGCGCCGTCCCTTGACGTCCCCTCTTGCCGTCCCTAGTTTCCGAGACTACAACTCGTGTGCATTAGCGCTTCGAACGTCGTTTGAATCCTTTTTTTGCGACGCTATTGTGTGTGCCACCTTCTCATCTTCTCATTTCTATCGCACAGTATGTTCAGGGTTGTCTAGTGTCGCGTGGGACTTCTTTTAGGGTTGTCTAGTGTCGCGTGGGACTTCTTTTAGGGTTGTCTAGTGTTTCGTGGGACTTCTTAGAACATGCTGGAATGTTGTGCACCTCATTCCATACTACTATGAAAAGTATTTGCTTCAGGTCCTCTTCTTGTGTTCGCCGTCCCCTCTTGCCGTCCTTTTACCGTCCATTCTTGCTGTCCCGTCGTTCCAATCTCTCTTTTCTGTCTCCCTTTCCCGGTCCCATCTTACCGTCCCCTCTTATCGTCCCGTCTTTCCGCCCCCTCTTTCTGTCTCCCTTTGCCGTTCCCATTTTACCGTCCGTTCTAGCCGTCCCGTCGTTCCCCCCTCTCTTTCTGTCTCCCTTTTTGCCGTTTCCATCTTGCCGTCCCCTTTCACCGTCCCGTCTTTCCGCCCCCTCTTTCTGTTTCCCTTTGCCGTTCCCATCGTACCGTGCGCTCTCGCTATCCCGTCGTTCCATCCCCCGTTTCTGTCTCCCCTTCTCCTTCCATCTTTCCGTCCCCCCTTGCCGTCCCTCGATCCTTTCCCTCTTGCCACCCCTCTTGTCGTCCCTTCGAACCGCCTCCTATTGCCATCCCCTTTCCATGCACTATTTCTATTCCTCTTCCCGTCTCCGATTCGCGCCCCCTATTGGCGTCCCTTATTGCCGCCCCTTATAGTTGTAATCTATTGCCACCTGCCATTCCCGATTGCCGTCCCCTCTTACCCTCCCCGCTTGCCGTCCCCTCTTGCCGTCCATTCGTGCCGCCCTGTCGCTCCCTCTTGCCCGCCCCCCTGCAGGCCCTCTAATACTGATGTCTTTCTAGATTCAACAATCCTATCGCGCCCCCCTCTCACTTCGACATCCCTCCCCTGACTCATTCCGCCAGATGGATCTACACCCCGCGACTCGCGCCGCAATACACGGCGGAAAGCTGCACGAGCCTAGGACGCAACTTCGCGTGCCAGCGCAACGGGCGGCCCGACTCGGAGTACGAAAAGTACACGTGGCGCAGCTTCGGATGCAGCATCGCGGAGTAAGCGCCCGCTCCCCTCCCCTTTCTCCCTATGTCCGCCCCCCCCCTCATCTGCCTTGCTCCCCATCTCCGCCTTCCCCCACATTGTTCCCCGTGCCCTTTCCCCAGTTGCCCTCCTTTGGATTTCTCCCCAAGCCTTTGCCCCCATTCCCTCCATGCGCCTTACTGGTCGTGGGGGCCTTTTTAGTATGGACCTTCTCACCCATTACTCCATGTTCACCGCACTCCACCCCTTCCCACCACCCCGCACTAGCTTCAAGCCGCTCTCCTTCCTCACCCTGCTGCGCAACAAGGTCTTCCTAGTCGTGGGGGACTCGCTCACTATTAACCTCTTCCCCATCTCCCTCCATTTCAACCACACTCCACCCCTTTCCACCAGCTTCAAGCCGCTCTCCTTCCTCACCCTCCTGCGCAACAAGGTCTTCCTAGTTGTGGGGGACTCAAGATTTAAACCGATGAAATCATTTTTCCTGGAGGGCCAAAAACCTCATTTCTGCCTCCCTACCCTCTCTCCTGTCTTCTATCCCCTTATCTCCCCTCCCCCTCCTCTCTCCTCTCCCCTCCTCTCTCCTTTCCCCTCTACCCTCTCCCTTCTCTTGCAAGTCAGGGTGAAAAGTCCAGTGCAAGTGTATGGACGGTGCATCCAGATTGCAACCCTTTGCTTCAGTTATATGCGCAGCTATATGCGCGCTCCTGTCCCTCTCCCCTCTCCCCTCTCTCGCCAATCAGGGTGAGAAGTCCAGTGCGAGCACATGGACAGTGCATCTGGACCAGGTTCATCCTGATTGGTCGCCGCTGCTACAGTACTCGCACTACGCGCTGGAACTGGTACCTGGTACACCATGGTGAGTAGAACAAATATCGCTTTACTGAGTCATGCACTCTACACAGCCATGAACATTTGGAATGGTTTGGAACTGCTACCTGGTACACCATGGTAAATTTGATTATGATAAAGACTCTCAGTTACGGTCTCATGCAGATATGATAATGATAATGATTATGGTGGGTATGGGGTGCGTCACATCACCCAATGCCAAAATGAGTTTGACCCTCGTGCAGAAACAAGGACAGGAGGGCAGTAATATCACATAAGCATTCTGCTATGAGGAATTTCATTTGAAGACAATCACAGCCACCTTGTTGCGGTTTCAGTCGCTCCCAACACTCCACCATTCCCATATCCGCTCTGCACAACTTCGTCCCGCGATTCCTATATATTCCCAAAGCTTTCAAGCCCTTCCTTCCCCTGCCCCCTTTCCTCTCCCCCTCCCCAAACTGCGTCCACCAGGCGGACCCCAAGAAGCGCCGTTACATGATCAACAACACTCTGCAGCCTGAAATGGACCGCATCCTTACAATGCAACTCACTATGAACACAGTGCGGAAATATACTCGGAGCCTGAAGTACACCGGCATGCCGATGTTCCTAACCTTCACCCCCATGCATTATGATGTGAGACTGAACGAGAGCATGCAGCATGCCAACTGCAGCATCATCCAACGGCCATTAACCATCGAGCAAGTCGCCAATATGGAATGGGCGGTTGACGCAGTGAAGACTCGCAAGGCCCAAATCAAGGTAAGAACTAGAGGAAGAGTTGACAACACTGACTACATACAGTATATAGTGTAGCTCATTTTCGTTGCTTTCAGATGCCGAGCTCGCTGGCTCTCTTGGCGGTTTGGTTCAGCCAGACTTATTCTGTATATCATATCCTCCACTCATTTTCCATGGCAGGTATTTCGGCACGACCCCGAATTTAAGATCATAGACATCACCAACCTGGCCTTGTATAGAGCTGATGCCCACCTCCAATCCTACTTCGATGTTGAAGGAGGGATTGACTGCCTCCACTGGTGTATTCCTGGTGTACCAGATACCTGGGCTGTCATCATATATTCCTATATGATGGGATATCTATAGCACTATGTGCAATGTGTACCAGTGCACTATGTGCAATGTGTACCACTGCCGTTTACGCTCCACAAGACTGTTTAGGGGACCTTTTATCGCGAACACGGAATATGGGGAACAACCTACTTTTTCAATTCGGGTGGTAATTGGATGGAATTCGTCGTGCCAATGAATCGTACGGTGGCAAGTCATTTTGTCAGTCGGCAGCATCTATGATCTCGAGGTTGCGATATCGAGTCAAGCCCAGGAACGGACGGATGCATGACATCGATTTCGCTGCCGTCTTCGTCTGAACTTCCGTCCGTCTACACAGCTTCTTTCGGTTATGTGACCTGCAGCAGACCTGCGTAGGTCTGAGCGCGAATAATTCCGGGACGACATGTCTTCTGGGATTCCGCCGTCAACTGCGGGCCTAGCAGACTCGAAGCGCACCAAGCAACGCCTTGTCTTCGCGTCGCTTCTCCTCACACTGGTCTTCGTCGCTATATTTCTACACATCTCGCTTTCTAAACCTGAAGTTCTAGTACTCGAAACAGAACAGACAACGCAAACGCAAACGCAAGAGAAACCTGAGATATCGGCTACCTTAGACCAAGCTGAGCTTGCCGTCGAATCCCAAACTACGCCGGAACAGCAATCCGAACCTGAGAAGCCGTCCGAGCCTAAGCCAGAACGCGAAACCGCGGTTTCGCCATCAACCACCTGCGATCTAACCGTTGGGAGGTGTGTCAGTTGGAAAATGCACACGTTGCGATGCGACTGCATGGAATGTCAGGTGACAAATGCACGAATGCGACTTGCTTGGAATGTCATGTGATAAATGCACGCATGTGTCCTGCTTGGCATGTCATGAGAGCTGCAGGAGCCGAAACCCCTTCCATACATATGCATGCAATGAAGAGCACCACTGTTTCATTTAAATCATAACCAACCCTGTGACAACAGCTGTGCTGTGCACTATTCTCCCCCGCCGACCACAATACACAGTGGAAAGCTGCAAGCTCCCAACTCTGCTTCACACTCACGTCGTCAAGAGTTGACTTTTCAGTCGACTCAAAAGTCAAGAGAACCCTTTCTCTTGTGTCTTCCCCGCACCATCAGCTGAGTGGCCAACCCGTCCCGCCGGCCACAGTACACACGGGAGAGCAGCAGGAGCCTAGTCCTGTTCCATACTCACGTTGTCAAGACAACCCTTCTTCCCTTTGCCCCCTTACACCATCAGCTGGGTGGCCAAGCTGTCCCGCCAGCCCCAGTTCACGGGGGCGTTTTGAGCTGACTCAAAACACACCGGGAGAATTGCAATGCACGAGCGTGATCCTGTTTCACTCTCCTGCTTCCCCTGCCTCCCCACACCAACAGCTGGGTGGCCAACCCATCCCGCCAGCCGCAGTACACGGGGGAGAGCTGCAGGAGCCTGAGTCGGGCGCTTAACTGCCAGCGCAACGGGTGGGTCAACATGCGGTACCTGCAATACGAGTGGCGCAGCCCTGGCTGCCGCATTGAGAGGTGTGTGCTGATTCCTAGCTTGTGAGGCTCATAGCCAAGAGCTGTCGCACCATCAACATGCAGTACCATACCAGCAGTACGAGTGGCGCAGCCCTGGCTGCCGCATTGAGAGGTGTGGTTGAGGTAAGGGGTCGGTGAATTGAGGTTGGCGTTGCACAGGTCCGATTTGGTCCATTGTCCAGATTCAGTGCATCTGATATCCCAGTAAGTCTTTATCTTTTTTTCCGTTTTGCATCGTTACAGTGTTCCCAGATTCTGTGCATATTCCGCATTGTCCCGTGTCCAGGTTCGATGCATCTGCCTTTCTGGAGCGCATGCGCAACAAGGTGTTTCTGGTCGTGGGGGATTCGCTCACTTTGAACTTCTTTTCGGCGCTCCAATGCCTCGTTGAGACAGTCACCCCGACCAAGGTGTGTTGCACTGTCCAGGTTCAATGCATCTGCCTCTGTCACACTACTAATTTCTTCATCACTGTAAAGCTCTTTTCCACTTGTCACTGCCTCCTTGAGACCGGCACATGGGCCAAGTTGCTACCAGTTTTAGCAAAACACGTATCAATGTTCAGGTTCAAGGCATGTGCTTTCTTCCTCACAATACACACTGGTTCCTTCAATGCAACATGGTGTGCTTTGTGATTGCCTCTGAGAGGTGCCTCATAAGGTGCCTTGTGAATACTAATTCTGCCTCGACCCAGTTTTCAATGCTACCTTGCCTCGACACTTCCCCTCCTTCCGCCTTCTTGCCCTCCCCTCACCCCTCGCCCTCCCCTCACCCCTCGCCCTCCGAGCCCCCGTTTTCCCATTACTCTCACCCATTCCCTTCTCAACCCATGTTGCCCTGTTACCCTCACCCCCCCTTGCCCTCCCAACCCTCGTTGCCCCAATATTCTCACCCCTTGCCCTGCCAACCCTCGTTGCCCCAATATTCTCACCCCTTGCCCTCCCAACCCCTGTTCACGGCGCCGTGATTGCACCTCATTTCAATGCTACCTTTCCTTCCTCAACACCCCCCCTCCTTCCCCCTTCTTGCCCTCCCAACCCCCAATGACTTAACAGAGCAGGGAGGGCCCTGTTCCCAGGAGGGCCAAACGCGCATGCCGTGCTGGCACCGCACTTCAATGCCACCTTTCTCCGCCAAGCTGCCGCCTTCCTCGCACGATCCCTTCCCACTGTAAGCCGCCGCTGCTTTGAAACGTCTCAAAACTATTTCCTGTGTCAACCCCTCCTGCTTTGAGACGTCTCAAGACTCTTCCCAGTATAAGCCCTAACTGCCGCCATATGCGCATCTGATAATGAGTAACACACCACTTGACCTGTATTTGATACTTGTCCTCGTATCCAGATGAGTCAAATCGAGTCCGCTCTCGCAGCTCACTTACACTTGTTTACTGCGATTGGCAAATACAAGTATAAGCAGAAAACAAGTATGAGTGAGCCGCGAAAGCGGGCTAAGGCTATGTGCTCTCCCCCCTTTTTTCTTTCAATCAGGGTGACAAAAGCAAGGCAAGCAAGCATGCGGACATAGCATGTGGGTCAGGTGCATGTGGGTCAGGTGCATGTGGGTCAGGTGCATGTGGGTCAGGTGCATGTGGGTCAGGTGCATGTGGGTCAGGTGCATCCTGATTGCACCTTTTGCTTTGCCCTTCGGTCCTGTGCAGTCTTCTCCCTCTCCCCTCTCTCCTTTCATGTCTCCCCTCTCCCTTCTCGTTTCTGTCTCCCCGTTTCAACACATGGACTGTGCATCTGGACCAGAGCAACACATGGACTGTGCATCTGGACCAGAGCAACACATGGACTGTGCATCTGGACCAGAGCAACACATGGACTGTGCATCTGGACCAGAGCAACACATGGACTGTGCATCTGGACCAGAGCAACACATGGACTGTGCATCTGGACCAGAGCAACACATGGACTGTGCATCTGGACCAGAGCAACACATGGACTGTGCATCTGGACCAGAGCAACACATGGACTGTGCATCTGGACCAGAGCAACACATGGACTGTGCATCTGGACCAGAGCAACACATGGACTGTGCATCTGGACCAGAGCAACACATGGACTGTGCATCTGGACCAGAGCAACACATGGACTGTGCATCTGGACCAGAGCAACACATGGACTGTGCATCTGGACCAGAGCAACACATGGACTGTGCATCTGGACCAGAGCAACACATGGACTGTGCATCTGGACCAGAGCAACACATGGACTGTGCATCTGGACCAGAGCAACACATGGACTGTGCATCTGGACCAGAGCAACACATGGACTGTGCATCTGGACCAGAGCAACACATGGACTGTGCATCTGGACCAGAGCAACACATGGACTGTGCATCTGGACCAGAGCAACACATGGACTGTGCATCTGGACCAGAGCAACACATGGACTGTGCATCTGGACCAGAGCAACACATGGACTGTGCATCTGGACCAGAGCAACACATGGACTGTGCATCTGGACCAGAGCAACACATGGACTGTGCATCTGGACCAGAGCAACACATGGACTGTGCATCTGGACCAGAGCAACACATGGACTGTGCATCTGGACCAGAGCAACACATGGACTGTGCATCTGGACCAGAGCAACACATGGACTGTGCATCTGGACCAGGCGAATGCTGCCTTCACCTCTTTCTTTAATCTATGGTCCTTTGCCCCTCTCTGCTCTCCTCTCTCCCCTCTCCTCTCTCCCCTCTTCCCTGTCCTCTCCCCTCTCCTCTCTCCCCTCTCCCTTCTCTTCTCTCCCGTCTTCCCTGTCCTCTCCCCTATCCCCTCTCCCCTCTCCCCTATACCCTCTCCCCTCTTGTAATCAAGGCAAAAAGAGCTGTGGGAGAAACTTAGAAGTGCGTTCAATTGCACCCTCTGTTTCAACATGTGGCCTTAAGCGCTCTCTTCTCTACCATCCACAGGCCGACAGGACCAGTGCAAGCATATAGTTGGTGCATCAGAATCAGGTGTATGTTGAATGCACCTTTAGCTTGATCTATCACCCTTTTCAAATCCCTCTCCCTTCTACTTATCAGGGAGGCGATAGGACGAGTAGTGCAAGCACGTGGACGGTGCATCTGGACCAGGTGCATCCGGAGTGGGCGGCTGTGCTTCAATACACCGACTATGTGGTCTTTGGGGTTGGTGCTTGGTTCACCACAGTAAGTTATTTTACATACCCTATGCCATGAGTTCTTGGTTCACCACTGTGAGATAAGATGGCATATGAATGACAAAGTTTTGAGCCACAATATGGTAGTGCACCGACTATGTGGTCTTTGGGGTCGTTGCTTGGTCCACCACTGTGAGTTCAATTGACCCCTATGGCTCAACGAAGAGTTACGATATCTCATGTATTGCTCCTGTCTTTCAGTACGCCTATTATGTGCTCTTGAAAATTTGTAACTGGTACACCACTGTGCGACTCAAGGTTGACACTTATTGTGCCTTTGTTTCTGTGTGCGAACTTGTAGTATATAGAAACCAGCGAGCACAAACTAGGAGCAATTAAGAGAGTATATATCACGTGTTTGTGTGCATCTCATCTTATAGTTGAATCCTTTCTTTGGTGTGTTTGCATCGTGTGGTTCCGAGCTCTGTCTTGCTACTAAAGTAGGGAGAATCTACACCACAATTGCTGTCTCAGTTCTCACGGTCTTCATAAGGTGAACATTCATACAATGTGAGTGACGGTGTATTTTTGTTTATAAATTCAAGCTACATGATGGGTGGACAACAGAAATCGGGCTAAATTTTACACATTCCCACATAATAGCGCAAGAACTCGTCTCCCTTCCGGCCGTAACCCCAACCTTTCTTCTCCTTCCAAACATATTCCAAAAAAATAACAACAGAGGAACTACTTGGTTCACAACAAAAGAGTTGTAATGAGTCACCATATTGTATGCTTTCCCATTCACCCGAATCCTCATCTACCGCACCTCCCCTCCAGGCCACCTCAAGAAGTGGCAGGGTTTACAAGGAGCCAGCAAGCCTCTTCAGACATCTCAGGATTCCTCCACCCCAATCCCCGTCTGACCCACCTCCCTCCAGGTCAACATCAAGAAGCGACGCTACATTGTCGACAACTAGAAGCAGCAGTACTTCTATAATTTCAAAGGTACATAAACGCGCGAGCACTCATCTTCATTCCATTCTCCACCCCATGTTATCCTCCACCCCGCACTTCCCCTCCAGGGTCGTGTGAAGACGCGGCACTACATGATCAACAATACCGAGCAGCCAAACAACCGCATAGCCACCATGCAAGCAGCCCTCCGTACAGTCACACGCTTCACCCGCAGCATCAACTACACAGGGGTGCCCATTTTCCTCACCTACTCGCCCATGCATGGCAACGTGCGAGTGAACAGCACTGCACCCTCGCTTGGCTGTAGTGCCTACATGGACCCGGTAAAGCCCGATGCTGTGGAAGTGCCACAGTGGAATAAAGACTGCATAGGAGTTCGGAACGCACAGATTGAGGTGAGATTCAAAGGGGTGCTGAGGGGTTGAGATGGGGTTACTGGTGGCCTGAGGTGAATCAGGCTGTAGCACATGCATGCATTCGCGGGTGCCGCATCATGTAAGAGCTACAGCTGCAGTGCTGTGCGTTACAGACAATTGGAGGTTTGAAACAGAGAGATTGAGGTGACTTGGTGAGCTGTAGGGTGCCGAAGCGCGGCTGCAGCATGTTGAAGCGCGGCTGTAGCATGGCTGTAGCGCGTTCATGCGACTTATGGTGGCGGAGACACTGCAGGCTCCAGCTGTAGCGGAGGGGCTAGTGGTGAGGTGAGGTGAGGTGAGGTGAGGTGAGGCTCCAGCTGTAGCGGAGGGGCTAGTGATGAGGTGAGGTGAGGCTCCAGCTTCAGCGGAGGGGTTACTGTGTTGAGCACGATAAAAGGTTAGGATGAGGTGAGATGAGACTGGGTGCTTAGTCGGATGAGGTGATTCAGGCTATAGTGGCGCTTTCATGGGGCTGTTTGTTTTGCATGCATGCTACATGTGCCTTGGGAGCTTGAAGCCAAGTGCTTTGTGTGTATTCGTAGTATTATGTTGTCTTATCATGTGTATTTATGTAATCATATAACATCTGTTGCTCGCATTGCAGTTGGTTCGACAATTGAAGGAGTTCAAAGTGGTTGATGTGACTGCACTCTCTGTTCTTCGGCCGGACGGGCACCTCCAAGACCACTGTGAAAGCCCCAAGGCTATTGATTGCATGCATTGGTGTCTGCCTGGCATACCAGATACATGGGCAGATATTATTTTTTCTCATGTTATGGAGTTTATCTAGGTTTGGTGATGGACATGCTTTGTAATATATGCTTATTTGAAGTTCAATTATATTGAATGGCTGTGTAAAATCTGCAAGCAGGGTGCAGAATAACTATAAGCATAGTGTGCCCCCATTGGTGCATTCCTGGTGTACCAGATACCTTGGGTTGACCTTATATTCCCTACGGTACATGATGGGATGTTTGTAGCACTCATTTCCATTACGATCCAATAGGCTTTGCTTGACCCACTTGTGCATCTCTACACGTTGTGTAATGAGTACATTATATCGCGAACACGGAATCTCTGGGGCGACTTTGGAGATTCGAATGGTGACTGGATGAAATGTACGGTGACGATGTCCTCGATTCCCTCCAAACCATGCGATGGCTTGCGATGCGAGTCGTGCTGAGGTCGGGCATCCCTTTCTTGGGCATATGATGCGGGCTGGTGGTGTGTTATGCCGAGCTGTGCTTGGACACGAGTCAAGTCAAGCCCACGCAAATGCAACATATTTCCTTCCTGCCCCGCAGATGCATGACAATAATGTTCACTGGTTACAGAACACGTCGCATACCCCTGCGAGGAGCCTTTCACATTGCTTTCATTTCGCTGCCGACTTCGAATGACCCGTCCGTGCGACTACTTCCAGCAGTGTGATCCGCAGGCAATGCAGCGTATGCTAGTACCAGCGCATTCCGCGTAGGTTTATGCGCGAGTGAACCCGTGGTTCGTCTTTCAAGGACGACATGTCTTCTCCTGAGATTCCGCCGCCAACTGCGGGTCCAGCAGACTGGAAGACCATCAAGCAACGCTTTCTCTTTTCGTCGCTTGTTCTCATACTGATCTTCGTCGCTATATTTCTTCACTCCTCGATTTCAAAACCTGATGTTTTGAATGTCGGAGCTGAACGTGTAACGGAAACGAATTCTGCGTCAACTGCTGCGGAAGGCAAAGCCGAGTTTGCCGGCGAATCCCGACCTACGCCGGAGCAGCAATCCGAACCAGAGGCGCCGTCCGAGCCCAAGCCAGAAGGCGAAACCGCGGTTTCGCCATCAACCACCTGCGATCTAACCGTTGGGAGGTGTGTCAGTTGGGAAATGCACACATTGCGATGCGACCTGCATGGAATGTCAGGTGACAAATACACACACTCCCTGCATGGTATCCCAGCTGACAAACGTGCGAGCGGCGTGATATGCCAGGTGACAAATGCGCGCATGCGACCTGCATGGTGTGCCAGCTGGCAACCGCATACATGCGACCTGCACGGAATGTCAGGTGGCAAACGCGCACATGCGACCTACCTTGTAACATCAGATGACAAGTGGTCACACTCGACCTGTATGGTGAGTGAGATGACAAATGCACGCCTGCGACCTGCATGGTATGTGAGGCGAGAGCTACAGGAGCCGAAATTCGTTTCCTTACATACGCATGTAATGAACAGCACCACGGTTTCCTTCACATCATACCTAACCCTGTGACAACAGCCTGCTGCAGAACACAGAGGAGAGCTGCACGAGCGTGATCCTGTTTCACACTCCTGTTTCCCCTTGCCCTCCCTGTGCCGTCAGCTGGGTGGCCAACCCGTCCCGCCAGCCGCAGTTCACAGGCGAGAGCTGCAAGAGCCTGAGTCGGACGTTCAATTGCCAGCGCCCAACTGTTGACAAGCCACCAAATCAAACGATCCCTTCCCCCTTGCCTGCCATACACCATCAGCTGGGTGGCCAATCCCTCCCGCCAGCCGCAGTACACAGGGGAGAGCTGCAAGAGCTTGAGTCGGCAGTTCAACTGCCAGCGCAATGGGCGTGTCAACATGCGGTACCTGCAGTACGAGTGGCGCAGCCCTGGCTGCCGCATTGAGAGGTGCTTATGGGTTGTGAGGGGTGCCTGCAGGTGCCAGCATGCTTGTGAGGTTCGGACCTCATGCCTTGAGGTACCTGCAGTACGAGTGGCGCAGCCCTGGCTGCCGCATGAAGTGGTGTGGCTTGAGGAAAGAGGTTGGGTGGTTTGGGGTTTTGTCATGCGGCAAAACATGCTTTTGATTGCAACTACCCCTTCTCCTTTGGATTCGGTGATTGCAGTACGGTTGGCATTGCCCGCAGGTCAGATCCTGTCCATTGTCCGGATTCAGTGCATCTGAAATCGCACTAAGATTTCATAATATTTTTCGTTCTGAATTGATGAAATCCTCTAAGATCCGGTGTATGTTCTGCACTGTCTCGTGGTCCAGGTTCAATGCATCTGCCTTCCTGGAGCGAATGCGCAACAAGGTGTTTATGGTCGTGGGGGATTCCCTCTCCATGAATTTCTTTGCAGCCCTTCAGTGCCTCATCGAGACTGCCACTCAAACCAAGGTGTGCAGCACTGTCTGAAAAGCACGGGGCTAGGTTCAACGCATCTGCCTTCCCAAGAAGCGCCTCCAAAGCAATATTCATCTGGTTCCTTCCTTGCCTTCTCCCCTCCACCGAATTTTCAATGGTTTCTGCCTTGATACGTCCCCTCCCCTCCTTTCCCATCTGCCCTCCCAATCACCTTTGCCCCGATACCTTCACCCCTTGCTCTCCCAACTTCTGTTCACCCTCTGTGATTGTAGGGTGCGGAGAAATATGAACCCACACGTGAAGATTGAGAGGTTTAGGGCCTCACGGCCTATATATAGGGCTATTACTGAGGGCAGAGGGGTATGGGAGAGGGCAGAGGGGTATGGCAGAGGGCAGAGGGGTATGGGAGAGGGCAGAGGGGTATGGCAGAGGGCAGACGGGTATGGCAGAGGGCAGAGGGGTATGGCAGAAGGCAGACGGGTATGGCAGAGGGCAGACGGGTATGGCAGAAGGCAGACGGGTATGGCAGAAGGCAGACGGGTATGGCAGAGGGCAGAGGGGTATGGCAGAGGGCAGACGGGTATGGCAGAAGGCAGACGGGTATGGCAGAGGGCAGACGAGTATGGCAGAGGGCAGACGGGTATTGCTAAACCCCCGTTCTTCTTCTATCTGCTTGCCCTCCCAACCTCCTTTTGACTTGACAGAGCAGGCTGCAGGGATGGCCCGCTGTTCCCAGGAGGGCCAAGGACTCGAGCCGTGATTGCACCACACTTCATTCGTTCCTACCTTCCTTTCCTCAACACTCCTCATTTTACCTGCTTGGTTCCTATAACCCCTGTTCACAGAGCAGGGACGGCCCGCTGTTCCCAGGAGGACCAAGGACTCGAGCCGTGATTGCACCGCGCTTCAATGCTACCTTCCTAAGCCACGCCTCCTCCTTCCTTGTCAAATCCATTCCCAGTGTAAGCCCCGCTGCCATCAGCCCTTGCTGCCATGGCCACCCGACCGTGAGCTGCAGATTGTGAGGCTTTTGTGATATTTCAAATCATGCCTCCCTTTTCCTCGTCCAACCTATTCCCAGTGTAAGCCCTTGCGGCTGCCATACCATGTCTACGGGGTAGTGAGTTGCACCCACTGTTCTATATTTGAGACATTTCAGAGCACGCCTGTTCCTTCTGCGTCTGTTTATTGGCGATAAGGCCACTGCAAGCACATGGGCAGTGCATCCGGATTGCACCCTCTCCTGCACTCTATGCTGCGCTGCATCATCCTCCCCTCTTCCCTCTCCCCTTTCCCCACTCCGCTCTCCCACTCTCCCCTCTCGCCTCTCGCCTCTGCCTCACCAGGGCGCCAAGACCACGGCAAGCACGGTGCATGAACATCCGGATTGATCCTTCTGCTCAACCCGATGGTCTGCTGCATCCTCCCCTCTCCCCTCTCCCCTCTCCCCTCTCCCTCTCCCCTCTCCCCTCGCCCCTCTCCCCTCTCCGCTCTCCCTCTCCCCTCTCCCCTCTCCCCTCTGACCCACCAGGGCGCTCCAAGCACTGCCAGCACATGGACGGTGCATCTGGACCAAGTGCATCCTAATTGGTCGCCCGTGGTTCAATACTCCGACTATGCAATCTTTGGGATCGGAGCTTGGTACACCATTGTGAGTATGCCTGGTAATATAAGCTCTTGGTACACCATTGTTGAATACGCTGGATGCCATGAGTACTTAGTACACCAGTTTGAGTTGAGAGTACGCCCGCCCTATGACATAGAGCCACAGGTTGCAAGCAAGGCACATAGTGCTCCTGTGCGCTTCAGCGCTCGGTCTACGTGGTCTTTGCGATCGGAGCTTGGTACACCATTGGTACACCTTATGATATAGAGTTACAGGAAGAATAATATATGTTATGATTATTTAGTCTTCACCTGGCCTTCAGCACGCGAACTGGTTGCAATATGGCAAAAAGCGGCACCATGTGCTTCAGTGCTTGTACTATGTGGTCTTTGGGATTGGAGCTTGGGACACCACTGTGAGTCCAATGCGCCTTATGACATAACAACGGGTTACAATGTGTCATGTGACCCTCACCCACCATTCAGTGTGCCAACAATTTGCTCACTACAAGGAAGGGGATGAGTCCCAACAGAGCATGCACAAACGAGGCCTTGTTTCGCATATAATGCAGTATATGTTTCTGAAACTTTCAGCTGACAAGGTATATGTCTCCTTCATAAGAATGGAATGCAGGAAGGTTCATACCTTGTCAGCTGAAAGTTTCTGTTGGAATCCATCCCCTTCCCTATCGTTCAGCGTGTCAACAATGTGTAATAGGTGGTATGCGTATACCTCACTACTACTTCACCCCAACTCATCTCCGCCCCCCTCTTCCCCTCTGCAGACAAGCCTTAAGAAGCGGCACTACATGATGGGCAACAAGGAGCAGCCACGCCTTTCCAGATGTCTCAAAAGTTCTGCACCCCTACTCCTCACCTCCCCTCCAACCCACCTTCCCCCTCCAGGCCAATCTCAAGAAGCGGCACTACATGTTGGGCAACAAGGAGCAGCCAAGCCAGGACCGCCTCGCCACCATGCAAGCCCTCCATACAGTCGCACGCTTCACCCGCAGCATCAACTACACAGGGATTCCCATGCTGCTAACCTACTCGCCCGTGCACGTCAAAGTGCGCGTCAACAGCACTGCTCCTGAGCTCGGCTGCAGCTCCTACATGCGGCCCGTGGGGATGGAGGCTCTGGAAGGGGCCCAGTGGGCTACAGACGCAATGGCGGCTCGATATGCGCAGATCGATGTGAGTTTGAAAGGGTTGTAAGGGGTTGGGATGGAACGGGCTGTAGCTCCCACATGCGGCCGGTGGGGCTGCCGACTCACTGGAGGCTTGGAATGCAGTTACAGGTGAGGGTTGAAGGGGTGCTGAGGGGTTCAGATGGGTTCGACTCTAGCTCAAACATGCAGCCGGTGAGGCTGGAGGCGCTGGAATGGGCGCAGTGGGGTGCAGATGCAATGGCAGCTCGGCATGCGCAGATCGAGGTGAGTTTGGAGTGGTGCTGAGGGGTTGAGATGGACTAGGCAGGTTGCAGCGCGTTCATGCAGCCAATAGGGTGGAGGCTCTGGAAGGGGCGCAGTGGGCTACAGACGCTTTGGAGGCCCGGAACTCGCAGGTAGAGGTGAGTTTACAGTGGGGCTGAGGGGTTGGGATGGAATAGGTGGGCTGCAGTGTGCTCGTGTGACCTGTGGGGTTCGACACAGATGCTGAGGCTCTGAATATGCAAATAAAGGTGGTGGAGTGATTGACAGGTGAATGCAGGCTGTAGCACTGTCGTGCAGTGTCTGGTGCCGAATGCTGTGAGAGCTACAGCTGCTGCACTTTGGGCTACAGATGTCCTGGAGGCTTGAAAGGTGAGTGGCAGCAGGTTGAGACGAGCTGGTGAGCTGTAGCGGGCCGAAGCGTGGCTGTAGCAAATGGCTGTAGCAAATGGCCGTAGCAAATGGCCGTAGCTCGTTTTACGAGACTTACGGTATTGTGGCTTACGCTGTGCAGGCTACTGCTGTGGTACAGAGAATGCGTATTCAATAATTCCGTTGTACGTTCTTGTTTGCACTGCAGGTGCTGCGGCAATATAAGGAGTTCAAAGTGGTTGACGTGACTCCACTCTCTGTTTTGAGGCCGGATGGGCACCTTCAGAACCACTGTGAAAGTCCCAAGGGGCTTGATTGCCTGCATTGGTGTCTACCTGGCATACCCGATACATGGTCTGACATTCTTTATTCTCATGTTATGGAATACATATAGCTAAATGGTACTTAAGCAGGTACCTATATCTGCACAAATAGGTTGTAGATTGTCAGTCTGCTTTATTTCTTGTCATTCAGAACAAAGTTGTAAATGAGGTCAGACCACATGTCGGGTACACCTGGTATGCACCAATGGGCGCAGTCAAACCCTCCATCCCCTTTATTGTGGGTCTTGAGATGAGCATCGGGACGGAAGAGCGTGGAATATGTAATGTCCAGAACCTTGAAGTTCTTTGCTTTGCGCAGAATCTACAGGCAGGGCACACAATAAAGAGGATACGTGGTCGGGAGGGGCAGCAGCAATGCATATAGAATAAGAGCCGATGACAGCCCCTGGATCCCTGCAGTAACCTACAGCACACTTGTGAGTAGACTCAAAAGCCCATACTGCTGCCCAGAGCTTTAACGACATATTGATCCACACTATGAAAAACACGTGAATGCGCACACTTGCAGGCACGCGCACGCACGCACACACACGCACACACATGCACACACACGCACACACGCGCACACATATATGCACACACACACACACACACACACACACACACACGCACACACATGCACGCACGCACATGCACGCACGCACACACATGCACGCACACACGCACACACTCACACACACACAGGCACACACACAGAGGCACACACACACACACGCGCACACACACACACACAGAGGCACACACACACACACACACACACACACACACACACACACACACACACGCACGCACGCGCGCGCGCGCGCGCGTGCACACACAGGCACACACCCATAGACACAGATGCTCCCACACCTACAAAGCATCACCCCAGGCCCATCTTCCCACCTGCACTTGCGCATTCCGTGACCGCATGTCTTCCACCGCCCACTCCCTATGTGACACCTGGCGCCACCCGATTGGCCGCCACGCGTCCGTGCAATTATACTGCGCCCCTCTACCCGCCTTCGTGCCCGCGAGCTCGAATCCGTAGTGGGAAGAGGTGTAGGAGAGGAACATGGGGAGGCCGCGGTATTTAATGCGGTTGAAGTGGGTGACGATGGTGGAGAGAGCGGTTTGCATGGTGGTGCGCTGGTCGGGGTTCCAGGAGAGCTGGTTGGGGCTGTTGCTCACGAGATAGTGGCGCTTCTCCTCTCGGGCCTGGAGAGGGTGGGTAATGGAGGGTGGAGAGATGGAAGGTGGGAGATTGAGGTGTCAGTATATGTGGTGCTGTTGCTCAAGTAATAGTGCCGCTTCTCCTCTCGGGCCTGGAAGCGAAGCAAGGGGAGGGATGAAGAGCGAAAAAAGTGAGTTGTTTGGTGCTCAAGAAATAGCGCCACTTTTGCTTCCCGAGATTGGGGAACAAAAGAGCTTTGGAGACTGCTGCTGAAGAGTAGTCCTGGGTGTGCGTTCTAAGTGATTATGACGATGGAAGGTGCAGAGACAACAGACGGTGGATGAAAGGTAGCAGCACTGAGTGATCAGTGATAACTGTAAGCCAACTCAGTCAAGAATAACGTACAGTGGTGTACCATTGGCCAGCGCTCATGACCACATAGTCGGTAAAGGGCAGCAGATCCGCAGCGTATGGTTATCAGGTGAATCCACGCATGTCAATCAATCAACTCATGCCATCAGCTCAACGTACGCTGGTGTACCAGTAGCCGGCGCTCGTGACCACAGTGAATGGCAGCCAGCTGTTCAGATCAAGCCACACATACACTGATAGCTGCTCAGATCAAGCCACACATACACTGATAGCTGCTCAGATCAAGCCACACATACACTGATAGCTGCTCAGATCAAGCCACACATACACTGATAGCTGTTCAGATCAAGCCACATATACACTGATAGCTGCTCAGATCAAGCCACACATACACTGATAGCTGCTCAGATCAAGCCACACATACACTGATAGCTGCTCAGATCAAGCCACACATACACTGATAGCTGCTCAGATCAAGCCACACATACATTGATAGCTGCTCAGATCAAGCCACACATACACTGATAGCTGATAGGCCAACGTACACTGGTGTACTAGTAGCTGGCGCTCATGACCACATAGTTGGTGAAGGGCAGCAGACCTGCAGCTCACCAGATCAGCTTATTAGGTTCACTCAGAGTCTACCTGATCAATCAGCCCAACGTACACTGATAAACCAGTAGCCAGTCCTCAGTATAAGCCGACTCATTTCAGCCCAACGTACGCTGGTGTACCAGTAGCCGGCGCTCATGACCACATAGTCGGTGAAGGGCAGCAGGGCCTCCCATTCGGGGTCCAATTTATCCAACCATACCGTCCACGTGCTCTTCACACTGCGCTCGCCCTGAGCACCGAGATAAGAGGGGCAGGGAAAAGGTAAGGGAAGCAAACCTCCCATTCAGGGCCCAGGCGATCCAACCATACCGTCCACGTGCTCTTCACACTGCGCTCGCCCTGAGCATCAAGAATGGAGGGAGACAGGAGCAGTATGCTTGAAAGAAGACTTCAAAAGTATGCCCCAGCCACACCACACCGGCCTCATGCTCCCACCTACACCGGCCTCATGCTCCCACCTACACCCCTCTCTCCCTGTGCAACCAGAACGGAGAGAAACCACGAAGACGGAGAATCATAGACGAGGGGAGAGGACATAACCTAAGAAAATGAAAGGACAGGTTTAGTTTTGAACGCACAGCTTAGCTTGCATATCAGGTTCGCCGTACTGTCATCTGCTATATATGTTGTGCTACTTTCCACATTTGTTATTATCTAACGATGTGATGTACACTAGTTCATGCAGTCACGTCACTGCATGAAATAGTGTTCTGCATATCCATAACTAGTTATTTCATTGTGCATACCATCCAGGTTCACCATGCAGTTCCATCCAAGGTACACGCTTTGCATGGGCTTGACTGGTACACACATCAGTTCACACTAACACTCCATTCAAGAATAGTTAGTACTCACATCAGGTTCGCCATACACTCACACAAAACACTCAAGCTCCAAGAATACGGCGAGTCGGATAAGTTTTCTGATGTGTCTGATGTGCCTGATGTGAGCCTGATGCGCAAGCTCCAAGAATACTTATCCGACTTCGCACATCAGGCTCGCCGTACAGGAGGAAAGCTGAAGCAATGCGGATGATGGTGGCATTGTGGGACGGCACTATGGCTCGCCGTACAGTCACACCACATGCCACACGCTTCACATGTGCTCATCTGGGTACTTACATCAGGTTCGCCGTACAGGGGGAAAGCTGAAGGAATGCGGATGATAGTGGCGTTGTGGGACAGTACTATGGCTCGCCATACAGTCACATGCCACACGCTTTGCATGTGCTTTTCTGGGTACGCACATCAGGTTCGCCGCACAGTCACATGCCTCACGCTTTGCATGTGCCAATCTGGGTACTCACATCAGGCTCGCCATACAGGAGGAATGCCGACGCAATGCGGATGATAGTGGCATTGTGGGACGGCACTCTGAAGCCCTTTGCCGGCACGCCCGTCTTGAAGAGACTCCCATTGAAGTTCTGCGCCGGTGTGGGGAAGGAAGAATGAAGGAGAGGCGTGAGTGGGGATGTGAATGACGGTGACATTCTGGGATGGCACTATAAATCCTTGCACAGGCGCGCCCGTCTTGAAGAGATTCTCATAAGAATTCTGCACACGGTGTGGGGTGGGGTGAAGGAAGGGCGTGAGTGGGTTAAGCACCATCGCAACCATGAGTGTGCCACAGCTGCCATGGTAGGGTAACCAGCGTTGTAGGGTAACCAGCATCGTACCCGAGTGACTGCGACAGCTACAGACTCGATGAGGACGCGTGCAGGTGGAGGGTGTAAGGGGTGTGCTGCCGTAGCTGCCTCCCACCATCGTTACCACCAGCTGCCATCATAGTGCGATAGCCAGCATCTCACCTGGGTGACTGCCACGGACCCAATGAGGCATCGAATGGACGCGTGCAGGTTGAGCGCGTACGAGTCCCCCACAATCCTGAGTGTGCCGCAGCTGCTATCGTACGGTAACCAGTAACCTGCATTGTACCTGAGTGACTGCGACGGACTCTATGCGGCATCGGATGGACGCGTGGAGGTTGAGGGCGTGGGAGTGTGTTGCTGCGGCTGGTACCGCATGGTCAGCACCCCTCACCTGAGTGACTGCGACAGACTCAATGAGGCATCGAATGGACGCGTGCAGGTTGAGCGCGTACGAGTCCCCCACGATCATAAAGACCTTGTTGCGCAGAACGGAGAGGAACACCGAGGGGTCGAAGCTGGTGTGGATGGGTGGGGTTGAGAGCAGACAAAGGAGAGCCAGGGTTGTGTGATAAGGGCGTTCGAGTCCCCCACGATCATAAACACCTTGTTGCGCATCACAGCGAGGAAGACCGAGGGGTCAAAGCTAAGGAGGACGACGGTTGTGTTGGAAGTGAAATGAACTCTGCAGGTTGCTGGCATACATGCGCAGGCGGGCGACCAACGTCGAGGGGGGTCGAAGCTGGTAGCATGGGGGATTGGGTGGTTGGGTGGATGAAATTACGGAATTGGCCTTGATGCATAGCCTATTCTTGAGGCGCATCAAAAGCAGGGGCCTACCGCAGGGAGAAAACCGAGATTGACTCACCGCTTGATGTTACAGCCGGGGATGCGCCACTCGTAGTCGAGGTATTTGAGGTTGCCGCGCCCGTTCTTCTCGCAGTTGTAATGCGTGTCGATGCTCTTGCAGCTGAGACCCGTGTAGCGCCGCGGCTGGAAGTGGGTTCGCATCCAGCTGAAAGGGGTGCAATGGAAGGTTAAAAGGGTGGGATGAAGTGAATGAGAGCGAGCAACTGTAAGGGTAAGCGGGGGAAGGAAGAGGAAACGACATCACAGGAGGGCCGAGCCCCGATGCTCCCGCAGCTGTAGCCCGTGTTGCGCTGCGTGCGGAAGTGAGTGCGCATAGAGAGGGGTGACGTGAAAGACGTACAGTGCTAGCCCCAATGCCAACCCCAGCTGAAACCCGTGAAGCGCCGTGGCTGGAAGCGAGATCTAAGCCAGCCGCATAGAAGACGCGGAAAGAACGCGATATAGAGCGAGTGGATAGCAGTTGCTACAATGAGGCGGGAGGGAACAAACGAGGCGGTAGCAGCTTACCGGCCGGCGAGCATATCGCACCGGTTGCCAGCCGGTTTTGCCGGTTTCATTTCGGCAGCTGTGGTGACCCTATCGGTTGTGATAACCCCACCAGCTGCGAAAACACCCGTCGGTGCGGAAACAGTAACGGACGCGGGCGTCGCGACTAGATCGGCTGGGGATGTCGCAGCTGACGTTGGCGACGCTCGCAGCTGTAACAATGTAACTGACAGCAGCATCTGTACCAGTGTCGCTGACAGTAGCGGATGTGCGCGACTGGCCATCGAATCGAGATGCAGCTGATGAGCCACGTGGAGCTTAAGCAGCCACGTGGCGGTACTTGATTGGCGACCTGCAGCGTGGCGACGAACGAGCAACTTCCGCCGCTGGTATAATTCTACGAGTCAAACCGCGTACATCTCGAGGCGCGCCTACAGGTCGGAATATGAACCTAAAAGTCCTCTCATCGGCGGTAACGGAGACTGCGGCCTGCATGAAATGTCAAACCAAGTTCCAACTAATCTGACAGAGGGAGGGCCAACCAACCAAGAGAGATCGAGTGCAAAGTTTCAATTTCCAAACCAACTTGAATCAGGGAGGGGGGGGGGGGAAAGGATGAGAACATGTCGTGGGTATGAGTGAGGGAGCTCAGCGACCGACTCGATTTGGGAACATGGGTGCAGAAGGAACAGAGCAGCAAGACCTTCAAGTCAGAACAGAGGTGGCGCAATGAGATGGGGGGAATCGGTCACACAACAACTGACTGACATCCATTTGTGTCCATCCATTCATGCTCTTGACGTTTCCATGGCGAAGACGGAGGATGGAGAGCCGTTGATATACTAATACAAGATCTGCTTGATAGAACTAATAATCTTGTTTCTTCATAACCGCTCTAAATCGTTAACAAAGCTTTTTGGAACGTACAGAAGCGTACTTCACTGCAGGAAAGTGGTCGTGTTAGCCACGCTGGTTTAAGAATCTGGTGGGGTGGGTCAGTGGGTGGAATGGGGTGGTGATCTCGAATCGTGAAATCGGATTCAAACCGAGCCGCTGTGCGATGTGCGACTGAATCGAGTTTAGGGCGACCGACCAAATCGCCATTACATGGTGTATGAATTCGTACATGTCGTGTACGCAGGATCTCTCTGTATAAGATAAAAGAGCATTATTCACAACACAGCACTACTGGTACAAATCAAGTCTTTGTTTGGACTGAACAGAGGGTTGTCCAGTAGGACTGGAACATACTACAAGGAACCTAGAGGCCAAGGCATAAATGGCTAAGATGTAACATGAGTTTGATCCTGGTATGTGCAATAGAGAAGGGAAGGAAATGATTACAAAGGATATACCAACCAACTATCCACACGCTTACGAAGTAGAAGTAATTGCGTAGAAGGATATACCAACAATTCACACGAAGTAAAATACTCCCCAAATGTGTGTAGTCTAGGCAGATCCATAATGTTTCTTGCAGACCCAAATCCATATCAAACCTTGGGAGGCTTCACATGGCGCACAACTGAACCCGCCCCCTCTTTAGTCACGAGCACAGCAAACGTATCAACCTTCTCCACATCCTCTGTGCTCACAAACGCGTAGTCAAACCAGCCACGCCTGTCCGTGTACCCATCCTTGTAAAACTCCGCCCCACCCTTCTCTTCCCCTGCACTGCCGCTGAACAGGTAAGAAACCCCTCTCGACTTCGGGCGGAAGAAAACTTTCACATACGCCCCAGGCAGCGGCACCAAAGTGCCCTGTGCTGACTGCAACCCGCCCACCACTGCCCCTGCTTTTTCACTACCAGAAGTCCCATCAGCAGGTGCGGACGTGGGTGAGGGAATGCGGCGAAGCACTCTCAGCTGACCCAGCCTCTCCACCACCTCTACCACAAGAGACTCGTGCACAGGCCTGTGGGGCAAGGGGTGGGGAGAGAGAGGGCGTGAGGGGATAACATGGGTAAAAATCAAGGGAATGTGAGTTGAGAGCGTGTGGCAGAAGAGAACACTGTACAGGAAGAGCAGAGAGCGCAGAGAGGGAAAAATGGGGTATTATTTGAGTGGGGATAAGGAGGAGTAAGTGAGAGAGGACCTGAGGAGGGTGGTGGAGAGAGCATCCGTGGAGACAGTGATGAGCACTGCCTCTGAATCAAACTCCGATGGCAACGCCACCACCATGCTGCCACTGCTGCCGCTGCTGCCAGTCCTGCCACTGGGGCTGCTGCTGCTGCCTGCACGCGCAGCTGCACCACCAGCGCCAGTGCTGCTACTGCCAGTGCGGACAACTGTGGACCAATTGGGAGCCACGAAGATGGACGAGGGCCCACCCACCCCATTACCACCCTCTCCTCCTGCCTTCCCATTCCTGCCACGGCTGCCGTCCTTCACACTGCTTTCCCCAGCGGCTGCTGCTGCGCTGGAGAGCAGGGAGAAGGGCGAGGAGGAGAAGAAGGTCTCCTCGTCGAATGCAAACACGTCCACTCGGATGCTCTCCACATTCGCATACCGCACCCCCACCACCGCCGCCGCCGCCACTGCTGCCGTGACTGTACCCGGCGTGACTGTACCAAGTTCAGTGCCGGCTGTACCAGGAGCAGCAGGGGGGGGCAGCAGCTTGGCGTCAAGGAAGGGCTCCTGGGAGGGCTTGGGTCCGGAGGTCCTCTTGAGGGAGAATGGGTCCACTGCTGTCTTGTCCTCCTCCACTGCCTCCGCCAGCTGTGCCACGTCAGCCATGTCCTGGTCAGCAGCAGTGGTGCCTTCAACCGCTGCTGCTCCTCCTGCTGCTCCTCCTGCTGCTCCTCCTGCTTCTCCTCCTGCTGCTGCTCCTTCTCCCACTGCTCCAATTCCTCCTCCTGCTGTCCCTGCTGGGGGTTGACTGCCTGTGAGCACCCAGTCATCGTCCTCCTCCCACTCCCATGCATCACCACCCCCACCAGCCCCCTCTCCTCCACCTCCTCCTCCTCCCATTCCCTTATCACTCTGTGCCTGCACTTCCTCCCCAGCCACTCCATGCCCCTTCACACCACCCTGCGCAATGATATCCCCCCTGCCCCGGCAGCCCGGACAGCTCGGGCAGCCATCCAAATTTCATACACCTGCTTGCCCAGGTCAGCAAAGCGCTTTCTCCAGGAAACCACCGGGCAGCTTCCTCTGCTGCTGCCGCCGTTCCTGTCAACAGCGCGGTACTTTTTCGCAACTGCCCGGGCGACCATGGGCAGGCGGTCGGTCGGGCAGAGGAGAATGTCGAGAAAAGCGGCCATGTAATCTGCTGCCAGCTGCACATTTACTGTATTGGGGAGGTCAGTAAAGGGGACAGAGCTGCTGCCTGTACTGCTGCTAATGGTACCAGCACCACCAGCAGCAGAACTCGTGCCACCCTCAGCACCCTCAGCAGAAGCTTCAGCAGGAGTCTCAGCATCAGCCACAGCAGGAGCACCACTCCCGTTCCCACCACACAGTGCTGCCCGCCACGTGTCAGGCAGGGTGAAAATCTTTCCGGAGGCTGCCCGGAGGAACATGAGGTGGGCCTCCTTGACGCGGTCTTGCACCAGCAGGTAGTAGGTGGCTGCCAGGCACTCCTGAGCGTTCATGCCGCCCTTCCTCCTCGCACACACCTCCAAGAACCCACTGTAGTGCTCCAGTAGCTGCTCATTCCATATGTCGTTCACCCCCGGTTCCTCCTCCCACCCTCCCTCCTCACTCCCGTACACCCCCTCTCTCCCCTCTTTCCCCTCTCCCTCGCTCTCTCCTCCAACCCTCTTACCTCTCCTCCTCCCTTCCCCGCCCGAACCACTCATTCCGAACCTGTGCGCCCGCGGGTTCAGCAGCGGAAGGAACTCCTCATGCTCGTACACCGGACCTACCCCCGAGCCTAGCCCCGAGCCTAGCGCACTGGCACTCCCGTTCAGCCGGTACCGGAGCGACAGCCTCGCCCCTGCCGCACCCGGCTCAATATGCAGCAGAGAGGAGAGGAGAACCGGGGAAGAGAGCCGAGCAAGGAAGGCCGGTTCATACGCCAGGTACTCAGACATTCCCCGAGGGTCCTTATGCAAGAGCGAGTATTGCCATATGGAGGATGAATAGAGCTTTCGGCGGCGGAGGAGGGAGGTAACGGAGTGGTAGAGGGGCGCGTGGGGCATGAGGGGGAGGAGGAGGGCGAGGTCCAGCGAGCGGAGGGAGGGGCCTTGCAGCATGCGGAGGACGTCAGGCTCGCTGCCCGACTGGCAGATCACCTCCCATAGCTCCGCTCTCTGCGCTGCCTCCTCCGCTGCTGACTGTGCCTTGCCTCTCACTTGCTGCTTCTGCCTCTCTGCTGCTGCTGATGCTGATTCTGCCTGCAGGTGTTGCTGGAGGAGGGTTTCTCGCCTCTCCCTCTCCATCTTCTCGTATTCGGACGATGAGAGGACGGGGATGGATGCAGGTACCCCTGCTGCCACTGCGACCACCCCAGCGTCTGTCCCGCCCTCTACCTCCCTCGCCCCTCCCGCTCCCCCGCCCCCTCCCCCTGACCCGGCTTCAGGCAGCAGGTGCGCAGGGAAAAGGGAGAAGCTTCCAGGAAAGGGGAAGTAGAAGAGGGCAGTGAAGACTTGCTTCTGGAAAGGCTGCAGCGGCGGCAGGCGGAGGCGCTGGGTGGGGCGGCCGAGAGGGGAAATAGGCACGGAACCCTGGGGAACTTGGAATAATAGCAGCAGCGGGGGGAGCGGGGCGGACTGGAGATTGACTACGACTATTTGTAGGAGGTAGCAGATGCCGGTGCGGTATGGAGGGGTGGAGGGGAGTGAGGAGGGGTGGATGGATCGGGTGGTGGAGAGAGAGGAGTGGAAGAGGGGGAAGGGGGGGGAGGAGGAGAGGAGGGAGGAGGAGTGGGGGGTGAAGGGGGAGGAGGAGGAGGGAGGGGCGAGGAGAGTGTGAATGGACTGAGAGAGGAGGATGGAGGAGATGCCAGGGGCAAGGGAAGGGAGGAGAGGGAAAGGAGGAGCTTTTGCTGTTGCTGTTTCTTCTGTTGCTGCAGCACCGCTCCCCACCTCACACAACTCCTGCTTGTACACCACCATGGGCGAAGCTGGTGTGATTGTAACCGACGTGCCTCTAAACGAAAACCCATGCTCCTCCCCTCCTTCCACAGCACTAGCAGACCCACCTCCCATACCCGCCCTCCCCCCAGTCTCCTTGTTATAAGCCTCCTCGTTACAAGCACCGGTTTGCCTGATCTTGCCGCCGAAGCGGAGCCCGAGAATGGAAAGGGCAGAGAGAGCAGCAGTGGAGGTGGAAGCTACATCGTGCAGTGATGCAGGGACGAAGGGAGGGAGGGAGAGAGCGAAGGAGCAGAGAGACGCAAGCGCAGAGCTGCTTGTGGCTGCTGCGGCTGAAGCTTCAGCACCAGGTTCGGCAGAAGGTCCGGCAGCAGCTTCGGCAGAAGAGAGGATGTGGCGCATGAAGTCGACCCAGAAGGGAGAGGAGGGGACGAGGTCCGGTGTCTGCTCGCTCAGTGCGCGCTTATAGTAATGTGTCTCGGCGTAGCGTTTTGTGACGTCCACCTTGTGAGGGCGCTGGGGTGGGCGGGGGAGGAGAGGGGAGACAGAAGGGCGAGGATGGGACGAGGTCCGGTGTCTGCTCGCTCAGTGCGCGCTTATAGTAATGTGTCTCGGCGTAGCGTTTTGTGACGTCCACCTTGTGAGGGCGCTGGGGTGGGCGGGGGAGGAGAGGGGAGACAGAAGGGCGAGGATGGGACGAGGTCCGGTGTCTGCTCGCTCAGTGCGCACTTATAATAATGTGTCTCCGCGTAGCGCTTCGTGACGTCCACCTTGTGGGGGCGCTGGTGGGTGGGTGGGGGTGGGGAGAGAAGAGAGATGAGGTCAGGTGTCTGCTGGTCCGGTGTCTGCTCACTGAGTGCGCACTTGTAGTAGTGCGTCTCAACATAGCGCCTGCTGACGTCCACCTTCTGAGGGCGCTGCTGGGTGGGTGGGAGGGAGAGAAGAGAAGTAGGAGGTAACAAGAGGATAGAACAGGGATGAGGTCTGGGGTCTGCTCGCTCAATGCGCGCTTGTAATAATGCGTCTCGGCGTAGCGCTTGGTAACGTCTACCTCGTGGGGGCTCTGGTAGGAGAGGAGAGAAGTGAGGGGAAGCAGGAGACTGTAAGAGGAGAAAGACAGGACAGGCCAAAATAGTGTGTCTCCGCGTAGCGCTTCGTGACATCCGCCTTGTGGGGGCACTGGAGTGGGTGGGAGGGGCGAAAGAGAACGGAAGGAAAAAAAGAACAGAAACACTAGTTGGATTCTAGTAATTCTAGGGAATTTTCTAAGAAAACAGCAGGGGAAAATGGGAAAGAGAGCGATGTGATTGCAGGCTTGCTGCTGCACCGAAGCAAGGGCCGAAGTGAAAGCGGCATTACCTTATGCCCTCACCTATTGGGCTGATACCACAGGCCCCTCCTCCCACGCCTCTGCAGCTGTAAAAGAAGGGCCGGAATGAAAGCGGTGGTACCATGTTCTCACCTGCTGGGTTGCCGGAATGGGCAGTGACGCCTCCTCCTCCACAGCCGCTCCAGCTCCAAAGGATGGGGCGCCAGAGTCAATTCGCTCGTACTCCCCTGGTGTGCCCATGGTGGCAAAGCAAGTCGCACAGAGATCGTAGTCGTCACGCCTGGGAGGCAGGGAGGAGTAGGGGGGAGGGGTGGGAGAGATGGTCAATTGGGGAGGGGGTGGAGTCAAGCCATTGGGGGAGGAGAAGCAGAGAGAGACACTGAGGAGAAGCAGAGAGAGACACTGAGGAGAAGCAGAGAGAGACACTGAGGAGAAGCAGAGAGAGACACTGAGGAGAAGCAGAGGGAGACACTGAGGAGAAGCAGAGGGAGACACTGAGGAGAAGCAGAGGAGACACTGAGGAGAAGCAGAGGGAGACACTGAGGAGAAGCAGAGGGAGACACTGAGGAGAAGCAGAGGGAGACACTGAGGAGAAGCAGAGGGAGACACTGAGGAGAAGCAGAGGGAGACACTGAGGAGAAGCAGAGGGAGACACTGAGGAGAAGCAGAGGGAGACACTGAGGAGAAGCAGAGGGAGACACTGAGGAGAAGCAGAGAGAGACACTGAGGAGAAGCAGAGAGAGACACTGAGGAGAAGCAGAGAGAGACACTGAGGAGAAGCAGAGAGAGACACTGAGGAGAAGCAGAGAGAGACACTGAGGAGAAGCAGAGAGAGACACTGAGGAGAAGCAGAGAGAGACACTGAGGAGAAGCAGAGAGAGACACTGAGGAGAAGCAGAGAGAGACACTGAGGAGAAGCAGAGGGAGACACTGAGGAGAAGCAGAGAGAGACACTGAGGAGAAGCAGAGAGAGACACTGAGGAGAAGCAGAGAGAGACACTGAGGAGAAGCAGAGAGAGACACTGAGGAGAAGCAGAGAGAGACACTGAGGAGAAGCAGAGAGAGACACTGAGGAGAAGCAGAGAGAGACACTGAGGAGAAGCAGAGAGAGACACTGAGGAGAAGCAGAGAGAGACACTGAGGAGAAGCAGAGAGAGACACTGAGGAGAAGCAGAGAGAGACACTGAGGAGAAGCAGAGAGAGACACTGAGGAGAAGCAGAGAGAGACACTGAGGAGAAGCAGAGAGAGACACTGAGGAGAAGCAGAGAGAGACACTGAGGAGAAGCAGAGAGAGACACTGAGGAGAAGCAGAGAGAGACACTGAGGAGAAGCAGAGAGAGACACTGAGGAGAAGCAGAGAGAGACACTGAGGAGAAGCAGAGAGGACGTACACAAGGGAGCGGTAGCGGAGTCCCCTGATCGGATCAGCGCCACAGCCATCGCAGATGAAACGCAACCCTTCTGCTGCTCCCCCTCCCCCTCCTGGTGCTGCTGACAAGGCCCGCATCTGAGGCTGTATGCAGATGGGCAGGCAGAGAGAGAAAAAAAAAAGAAAAAAAAAGTGAAGCGAGGAGGAGGAGGAGGAGGAGGAGGAGGAGGAGGAGGAGGAGGAGGATGACAAGAAGGAGAAGAAGGAGCAGCAGCAAGTGGAGCAGCAGCAGTAGAAGGAGCAGGGAGGAGGAGGAGCAAGACCAGAAGCAGCAGGGGGAGACGGTGTTAGAACGGCTTCTCACGTAGCCCGCTGCAGCACACGACACCACCACCACTTCACATTCTGTCTCTTCCGAACCATGCTCCCACCTCATCACCATGCTCCCACCTCATCACCCTCAGATGGCCCCTGCTACACACGCCTAGAACAAACATTGATGATATCTCACCTCCATGACTTCAGAGGCGACCCAAAGTCACTTCACCTTGATAATGTCTGACTGACCTCCACAAACCCTCATACGAGAGTGAGGAACCAAAGCAAAATCATGCCACAGTCGTTGAAGTCTCTTTAGTCCTTGAATTTTCAAAACTGAGAGGTCTAAACACAGTCGTTGGAGACTCTTTAGTGAATTTTCAAAACTGAGAGGTCTAAAACACAGTCGTTGGAGTCTCCCCTTTCCAGGTATCTGTCAGGTCTCACCTCTAGTGGTGCCTGTCAGGTCTCACCTCTAGTGGTGCCTGTCAGGTCTCACCTCTAGTGGTGCCTGTCAGGTCTCACCTCTAGTGGTGCCTGTCAGGTCTCACCTCTAGTGGTGCCTGTCAGGTCTCACCTCTAGTGGTGCCTGTCAGGTCTCACCTCTAGTGGTGCCTGTCAGGTCTCACCTCTAGTGGTGCCTGTCAGGTCTCACCTCTAGTGGTGCCTGTCAGGTCTCACCTCTAGTGGTGCCTGTCAGGTCTCACCTCTAGTGGTGCCTGTCAGGTCTCACCTCTAGTGGTGCCTGTCAGGTCTCACCTCTAGTGGTGCCTGTCAGGTCTCACCTCTAGTGGTGCCTGTCAGGTCTCACCTCTGTAGTGCTGCCTGCCTGTCCCTGACAGGTCTAAAACACAGTCGTTGGTGGTGCAGCACCTTTCCAGGTACACACCTTATGTTGTGGCAGGATGGGCAGGGGCAGCGCCAGCCAGCGAGGGGAGGAGGAAGGGAAGAGCAATCCACGTGCCACATGCATGCGCCCAAGTCAACAGGCAGAACTGACCAGACCAAAACAACCTTGCGGCTGTTCTCACCTGCTCGATCAACTCGGCATCAAAGCTTATGCCAGTGGGACGAGGGGGAGGAGGAGGGGGAGCCGCCCCAAAAGAGGCAGCGCCAGGGGGAGGGGAGCGGGTGCAGGGGCAGGGGAAGGGGCGCCTTTGGGAGCAGCAGGTTCGGCGGAAGGTTTGGCGGGAGGTTCGGCGGGGAGGTGCGGCGCGGGGGCGGAGGTCGCTGCGGCTGGCGAGGGCTGTGGTGAAGCGGCGGTAGGAGGCTGCTGCTGCCTGCGCTGCTAGCGCTGGTGTGGGTGGTTCTGCCAGCGTGATTAGATCGTCCAGGACTGAAATGGGGAAGAATGGGGGGATGGAAAGGGGGGAGATGGAAAGGGGGGAGATGGCAAGGGGGGAGATGGCAAGGGGGGAGATGGCAAGGGGGGAGATGGCAAGGGGGGAGATGGCAAGGGGGGAGATGGAAAGGGGGGAAAAGGGGGGAAGGAACGGGGATAAGCAGGAAGAACGATCATACAGGTGGCTGGCAACGGCAGTGATAGCCCCAGAGCAAGCAGCGAGCAGAGCAGCAGGCACATTGGATTGGACACCCCACAGGCTTACCTTCAGTGGGATGGATGATGTGCGTCTGGTATGGCCAGTTCAAGGGCCGCAACCCCCTGTGCTGCAGCCGCATGTGGAACATACTGGCAGCCCCAGCATGTGGATCATACTGCCAGCCCCAGCAGACGCTGAATACACCCACAGTGCACCCTCTTTTGATTCGAATCAGAGCTCCAGCACATGTTGCAGCACACGCACTGACCTTCAGTGGGATGGATGATGTGCGTCTGGTGCGGCCAGTCCAAGGAGCAAAGGCCCCTGTGCTGCAGCCGCACGTGGAAGCACACGGCCAGCCGCCACAGCCTTACCTTCAGTGGGATGGATGATGTGGGTCTGGTACGGCCAGTCTAGTGGTCGCTGCCCCCTGTGCTGCAGCAACACGTGGAAGCACACGGCCAGCCCCAGCAGACACCTCTCTAGCGCGTTGAGATTGAGGTAGGCGGGCAGCGCGCAGAACGAAAGCACCTGGTGGAGAGGAGGGGTGGTGTGGAGAGGGGTGGAGGGGGGGGTGGGGAGAGGGGAAGGCGGGGGATGAGGTGGGATAGAGGAGGCAGCAGCACGTGAAAGCACACTGCCAGCCCCAGCAGGCATCTCTCTAACGCGTTGAAATTGAGATACGCTGGCAGCGCGCAGAAGGATAGCACCTGGTGGGGTGGGGGGAGGGAGGGTGAGGAGAGAGGGGGGGTTGAGGTGGGAGTTGCGGGGGCTCGGTTGAATTGGGAGGGCGTGGGTGGTGGAGCGTGGAAAAGACACAAGAGACATATCATGTGACAGCAAGGTGAGAGCCACTTGAGCTGCCAGGGCACAGGACACAAGCGTCTGAAGGGAAGGGAAGGCGCATGCAGAGGGAAGGGAAGGCGCATGCAGAGGGAAGGGAAGTTGAGAGGGAAGCTCCACAAAAAGGTGTAAGGCGTGAGCGTGAGGCGTGAGGCGTGAGGCGTGAGGCGTGAGGGGCGTGAGGCAGAAACACTCCTCGAAATGGAAAAATGCAACTTTTTAAGAATTCTCAAAAGTACTGGCAGAAAGTAGTGATACGCGTCTCACCACACCACGTTCCACCACTTGTAACCGCATCTCACCCCGTCAAGGTCGCCCAGCAGCCAGAGGTCGAGGAAGGATCGGTCGAGCTTGGAAGCAACGGCAGGGCGCACTGCAGAGTGCAGCGGGCGACAAAGGGGGGAGAGAACAACAAGGGGAGGCAAGGAGACATGTGAGTCGAATGGAAGGAGCGGTCGAGCTTAGAGGCCCCTGCTCTGCACTGTGGTGGGCGCACTGCACTGTGGTGGGCGCACTGCACTGTGGTGGGCGCACTGCACTGTGGTGGGCGCACTGCAGGGGCACGTAGCACAGTGGAGTGGCGGTGGGGAGAATGATTGGAAGGATCACACCAGCGTGCCAAAGGGGAAAGGGAACAGGTGAAGCCGTTTCAGGTGGGCTAGGTGCCAAAAGGAAGTGATAAAAGACTCGCTTATGATGTTCCACGGAGTACCACTTATGGTGGGCTAGGGCTAGGTAGCGCTTATGATGTACCACGGAACGCCATGGTTACTAAGTAGGCGTAGTGCGCACCATGTTTAAGAAAGAAGGCATGGTCAATGGAAGAAGAGGAAGAGGTGCAGCTCGTGAGAGCCGAAGCTCATGCCCGCTGGCATGCCCCGCCACAACTGCTCACTGTGCTTCTCAAACAAGTGGAAGAAGTGGAAGAGGTGCAGCTCGTGACTTTTGAGTCGACTCAAAAGCCACTGTTTACCGTGCTCAAGGAAGAAGGCGTTGTCATGGAAGAAGAGGAAGAGGTGCAGCTCGTGTGAGCCGAAGCGCTGCAGCTTGTCCACTTTGCCGCCTGCTGGCATGCCCGGCCACTGTAGCAGGAACGCCAGCTGCTGCCACGTGTCACGCTCTGACGGGCTGATGAAGCTGGCCAATAGGCCGTGAGCTCGCTCGATAGAATCGAATATCTGAGATGATGAAATGCAAGGGGGGAAGGAGCAGTGGAGAGCGGTGAGGTGATGTGAAGAGGGGTGGAATGTGGAACACGGTATTAAGAAGAAGAGTTGACAAAACACGGGTGTCATTTTAATGTAGCTCACTCATTGCATGAGCAATATCGACCAATGACTCACCGCCACCTGCGCCATTGCCACGTCAGCAATGCGGTGCACCTCTCCTCTCCTCCACACCTCCACCGCCCTCCTCTCATGGTAATGCTTAGCTGGATCCAATGCCTCCTGCACCACCCACTCCCTCCCCCTCTCCTCCCTCCCCTTCTCCCCCTCACTCCCCTCCTCCTCCCCCCATGCCTCATCCGGAACGAGCAAATCACAGCGCACCACCTGGCACCCCCACGCGCTCTCCCCCGAGTCCACGGCCACGACAGTCAACGACAGACTGCCACGTGGCAGGGAGGATCGCGGCACTGCAACCCACCAAACCTTTCCCCCTTCATCCTCCTCCTCTCCACCCCTCCCACTCTCAGACTCGACAAAAGGCCTCAGATTGGCAATGAGAGTGGGTGGTGGGGCAAACAGAGGGGCGTGCTTGGGAGGGGGACCCGACCGGTACGAGGCCGAATATCCGACACCCCCACTGCAAAGCAACATGTCTCGCACCCCTCCAAAGGCAGCGAAACGTGCGGTTGCTTGCGGTGCACTTGCCCGAAAGGCCCCACCACTGCACCCCCCCCGCTGCTGCATCATCACCCCCAGAAGCTGCTGCTTCTTGGCAGCGAGGTCGGAATGGAGTTGGCGTGGAGGGGGAGGGGCGCGCTTGGTAGTGGTAGCAGCGGTGACGCGCGGATGGATGAGCAGGGAGGGTAGCGGCAGCAGGTGCCCCACCCGTTCCTTCTCTCCATTAGCGGTGGTGAGGGCCTTCTGGCGGTTCTGCACATAGCTGGGGAAAGGGGGAGCAGGGGAAGAGAAGAGTGAGTTGTGGTGGCAGCGGTGATGCAGGGATGATGGATGAGTAGGGGCGGCAGTGGCAGTAGGTGCCCCACCCGTTCCTTCTCTCCATTAGCGGTGGTGAGGGCCTTCTGACGATTCTGCACGTAGCTGGAAAGAGCTAAAGTGATGGAGAGGAAAAAGGAGATGCGTGGGTGGTAAATTAAGGGCCCTCCTATCATGTGCTTCCAAAATCGTATTCAATCTCACCACCATTTCTCGTGTTGCTGGCAGCAGAAGAAGAGAAAGTTTGTCGTTACAGTTGCTTACTTTGAAATTTACAACAACAAGATCACAGACCTGCTGACTCCTCCTGACAATGAGAGGCACGGCAATGTGGGTATGTCAACGTGACACATGCCCCACGTTGCCATGCTTCACTTTGCCAAGAGGAGCCAGCATGTCTGTGATCTTGTTGTAAATCTCGAAGTAGAACACTCGAACGACAAGCTTTCGCTTCTTCTGCTGCCGACGACAGAGAGAGTAGTGGTGAGAAGGGAAACAATTTTGGAAGCACATAAGAAAGGTCCCCTATCTGCTCAGTGGCTATGGTGGTGGAGCTTACTGTTGTAAGACAGCTCTGCACACAGTTGGAAATGTTTATGCGATTCGTAAAAATCCTAGAAAATGACCAAAGCATAGCCAACTTCTGGTTTCCTCAGTTATATAAATGGTAGTGGTGCTTACGCCATCTGGCAGCTCTACACATAGCTGGAAAAGAGGAAAGAGGAGGGCACAAAAAGAGGAGGGTTACATTCACCACCCTTCTACGGTCACATTCATCCTCCCTTGTACACTCACACTATCTCTTCATCCATCAGTAGCTTCTCGCCATACTCACTCGCAACCTTTTAACAAAGTATCAAACAAGACCCCCCTTCACACTCACATAATTTCTTCATCCATGAGCTGCTTCTTTACTCACTCTCCACCTTCCTCCAACCCCACCCTTCTCGCCATCCCTCCCTCCACCTCCTCCAACCCCCACCCCTCCCCTCCTCCCCCCCCCTCCCCTCCACCGCCACGCCCTCCACCCTCCTCCTCCTCCCCCCCGCCTCCCCCCCCAAACACACTCAGATCGGCACCAGGCACAGCCTTGGCCACCATGCCTTGCTGCGCCAGAACATGCACACGCGTGCGCGACCCACACCCCCCAAGCTTCACCCACAGAACCTTCCTCCCCTCTCCTCCGCCTGCACCCCCTCCTCCCCATCTGCTCCCCCCACCCGCACCATTCCACTCCCACCAACTGCAGCAGCGCAGATGGTGAGCGGGCTCTTGGGCGGCAGTTTTCGGAGCTCTCTGCGTGTCGAGTCAACCGCCCAGCCAGGGCAGGGGAGAGGGGAGGGGATGGGTGCAGGAGGAGGGTGCGCGAAGGAGGATGGAGGAGGGTGGGCAGAGGAGGAAGGAGGAGGAGGCAGGACGCGGATGGAGATGGTTTCGTTGTCCCATGGGAGGAAGAGGGAGTAGTCGCCTGGTGGCACTGTGAGTAGCTCCAGATAGCCCTGTTTGTGGGGTTAGGGCGGAAAGAAAGCAACGGGGAACGAGAAGGACGTTGATGGAAACGGTTAGGTTGTCCCACGGGAAGAAGAGGGAGTAATCCCCTGGTGGCACTGTGAGTAGCTCCAGATAGCCCTGTTTGTGGCAGGACAAGCAGAGAGAGATGAGAGGTAAACAGAGGAGAAAATGATTGAAGAAGGATAAGAAAACATAAGAAACGAAAGAAGAATGTGGAAGGAGGATTGGTAATTGGAGAGAGCTGGGAAGGTGGAGCACCCTCGCTCACTCACCTCTCTGTGTCTATGTCTCACCTCCCTCATCCTCAGTCGCTGCGTGCAGTCTGCAAGAAACACTCTCTCCACAAACTCCGATGCAGCACCCACGCGGAAGAGACACGGGGACACTGGTGGGGCTGCAGCAGCAGCGCCGGATGATTCACCAGCAGCAGCAACAGAACCATCAGCAGCACCAACATCGCCAGCAGCAGCAGAAGCAGGGGCATGGGAGACATACGGCAGTCGCAAAATCACTTTATCCAAGCCTGGTGTGATAGTGGCGCCACCAACAGCAGCATCACCAACACACCAGCAACAGCAGCAGCATCAGCAGTAACAGCACCCTCTGCCCCCTCTTCCCCGCCCACCACCACCACATGAGACGGCAGCTTCCCTGCTGGACTCCCCCCCACACTGCCACGTGGGCCAATCACAGCAAGCCGTGGTGCATGCACGTGCCACACATGTTCCCACTCCTCCTTCATCCACCCCATCCACTCCTCCCCTTCCTCTTCCCCATCCCCTTCCCCCCCCCTCCACTCTCCCCATTTCCCCAAGCTCCCCCTCTCCCCTCCAGCTCCCCCCACCCTAGTTCCTTCCCCTTCCCCTCGCCCTCCCACTCCCCCACCCTCCTCGCCCCAACCCTCTCCACCCCTTCCAACCACCCCAGATAAACGCACCCTTGATCGTCGCTTCTCATCACGACACCTGGCGACCATTCATTTGCCAGCCGGTGCCGCAGCCGCACCACCACCCGTCTCCCCCCTTTCCCCTCCCCCGCTTCCCCCACTACCTGAACACATACCCCCCATGCCCCCCTTCCCCCCTCCTCCCCCTTTCCCCTCCCCCATCCCTTCCCCGCCGCCACCCCTTATCTCCAGAAACAAAGACTCCACTTCGACTGGCCTCTGCTTTCTCCCCCCATCCCCCCCCCTCCGCTCCCCCTATTCCCGTTTCCCCCAGAACCATTCCCCCTCCCCCCGCCCCACTCCCCTCCCACGCACTCCCATTCGCTGCTGCCTTTCCCCCAGGCTCAAACGGCGCCAGCACCTTCCAGGAAGCTTCAGCACTCAGCGCCTTTTCCTGCCCGCCCTTGCTCTGCAATACCACTGTTCCCCGAAGGTCCACTTCCAGACAAACAGCGCCGTCCGGGACTTTTGTCCTGTGCGTTAACTCCGAATCGGGCCTGAGGGAGAGGTTGGGAATGCGAACGGTCACATCCTGGCCTTCCAGAAGCTTCCAGGAAACTACGAGCTCAGGGGAGCGCAGGAGAGAGAGGGGGGCGGCTGGGAGAGAGGAGGAGGAGTGCCAGTGAGAGGAGGAGAGAGTGAGGGAGGGCGGAGGAGGATGGTGACGTCAGCAGAGGGGCGGAGGAAGGGTTGATTGAGCCAGGCGTGCAAGTTGAGGTTGTAACTGGGGGAGGGGGGGAAGGGGGAGGGGGCGGGGAGAATGGGAAAAGGGTGAAGGGTGGGTTGAATTGGGAGAGGGTGGGAGGGGACGCAGGCAGGCAGGCAGGCAGGCAGGCAGGCAGGCATGCAGGCAGCAGGTGCAGAGAGGGGCGGGCAGGGACTAAAGAGTTCGAGATGTATACGAAGATGGAATAGCAGTTGGGGGAAGAAGAACGGGAGGAAAAAGGGGAAGTGCACAAATTAGTCCCCTCCTCTTACCTCTTTTCAGGCGCCTCGAGCAGCAGGCAGGCACCTATCCCTCCCTCTTTTATCCTCACCTTGTTTTGAGGCGCCTCAAAACTAGACCTCTTTTACCCTCAGCTTTCTCCAAGCAGGTGCCTGGAGAAAGAGCACTGCGCAGCAGCACTGCCTTTTGCCTGAAGCTGTGAAAAACAGCAGCAGCTCCCCCCTCCCTCTCCTCACCTTTCTTCTGGAACTTGCACGGATGCACCCACAGCAGCCAGACAGCCGTCAAAGAGCACGGGAGTGCACTCCCTGCTGCTGGCAGTGAATGGCAGCAAAACGTCCCCACCGCTCCCCACCGCATACTCCACCCCCTCCACCCACACACTCGCCGCACGCCCCCCCAACACCCCCTGCTGGAGGCTCGTCCCTCCCAGCACATTCGGTTCTCCCCCATCCGAACCTCCACCCAAGCCCTGCAGCCGAACCTCCGCCTGGTTCGGCTGCTGCTGGTGCGGAAGAGGACGATGGTGGCCCGGCAGTGGTGGGCAGCACAAGAGCACCGTCTTCGTTGAGCATGCGAATTGCGAGACCACGAGGGGTGAGGGTGGCCGTGTGGCTGAAGGGGTTACAAGTGGGTGGGGGAAGAGGGGTTTGCAAGGGATGTGACGAGGCGTGAAGAGGTGTGTGAAGGGGTGCGGGCATCAACAGAGAGAAGAGGCCGCGAGGGGTGTGCCGTCTTCATTGAGCATTTGGATGGCGAGGCCGCGAGGGGTGAGGGTGGCCGTGTGGCTGATAGAAGTGGGGAAGAGGGCATGGACAAGGGTGTAAAGGGGTGTGAAGAGGTACGAAGGGGCGTTACGGCATTAACTGAGAGCACGAGAGAACCGCCCTCGTTTAGCATTCGGATGGCGAGGCCGCGAGGGGAAGAGGTGGGGCGAAAGGGAGAGGGGGGGGTGGGGGGGAGTTCAATTGGCAGCACGAGAGCGCCGTCTCCGTTAAGCATTCGGATGGCAAGGCCGCGAGGGGTGAGGGTGGCCATGCGGCTGGGAAGAGGGGTTGGAAGGGGTGTGACAGGGTGTGAAGGGGTGAATGTGGGGTTTGTTAAGCCCAAAGCATCGACTATGAGAGCACCATTCTCGTTGAGCATGCGGATGGACAGGCCGCGAGGGGTGAGGGTGGCCGTGTGGCTGGTTGGGGTGGGGAAGAGGGGGTTAAACGGGGTGTGAAAGGATGTAACGAGGGGTTAAAACATCAACGGAGAGCACAAGAGTGCCGCTGTGATTGAGCATTAGGATGGATAGAACGCGAGGGGTGAGGGAGGACGTGATGGCCCAGCCAAGGCGCACACCCTGAGGCGACTCAGAATCGCTCAGGGGTAAGAGATGACCTTTACGGCACTTCAGGATTTCCCTTTTACACTCATAGCCCAGGCGCACACTCCGGTTACCTTTGGACACCAAGTGCTTTGAGATGTCTCAAAACACTTCTTTATTCACGTCCCTATTACACTCATAGGCCAGCCGCACACTCTGGTTACCTTTGGACACCAAGGCTCACAGCACGAGACAAGGCTGGGAACATGATCATTCGTCTCCTCATATGCACGATGTCTGTCGCACATCTGCTTCCACTCACACTAGATTTCCCTTTCGGATGATAGCCCGCGTGCACAGCCCGCCGCCCTCCAGCTGCACTACAAACACGCCCCGCCGCCCGGCCAGCTGCGGCAGATCCACACTCAGGATTCGCTTTATGAGGGAGAAGGGGCGGGAGGGGGAGGCGGAGGAGGAGGGGGTGGTGTGGTAGTAGTGGTGGTGGCGGAGTGATGCGCTTTCTTATCTTGCTCCTGCTGCAGCAGTTGAATCTCTTGCTGATGCCTGTAACAAGGTGCAGTGAGGGAAAGTGGGGAAGGGGAAGCGAGGTGGGAAAGAGAGGAACAACCAGTAGACTGTAAGTGATAGATTCCAGCGAAGGTGTGTGCGAAGGGAGCAGAGAGAAGTGAGAAGAAAGAATCAAGGGAGCCAGGAAGGAAGAAGGGAGGGGGAAAAGCGAGAGAAAGGAGGTGGAAGGCAGACGGGAGAAGGGACAAGTGATAAAAAGAGAAAGGAGATAATGGAGAAAAGAGGAGAGAAGAGGAAAAGGGAGAAGGGAGAAGAGAGAAAGGAGAAGGGAGAGGGGAGACAGCACACGGGATTAGGGAGGGAAAAGGGAGCAGGCAGATGGAAGAAGGGAGAAGGGAGAAGAGAGAAGGGAGAAGGGAGAAGAGAGAAGAGAGAAGAGAGAAGAGAGAAGAGAGAAGGGAGAAGAGAGAAGGGAGACCGTGGCTTGAGAGGTTGCATACATACCATGGTTTGAGTCCGTGCAGTGACCCCAGATTGGAGAATTCCGTATCACTTGGCGAGGAGAGCAGGTAGCGCAGCGAATCCACCTCAAACAGCTTCACCTGGATGGGAATCCAAAGAGATGAAGGGGTGGAATGGAGTGGTGAGGTATACGAAGGAAAAGGCGGGACGGCACGGGGAAGAGAGGTGGAGACAGGGGTAGGCCGAGCAGGAGGAGGGGGTGAAGTAGAGAGGCGAACACTTGAGAGGCGCTAAAAAAGAGTGAGAAAAGTGAATATGCTACGCTAGAAGGAGTTTTCACATTCAAGGAATAGAAGTGAACCACAAAACGAGAGGGAATGGCCAGAGGAGGACGAGGAGGGGGGAGAGAAAGTGGGGGAGAAGCCAAAGGCAGTTTCACAAAAACCATCTGATCGCAAATGGCAGCTAACAATTGAAACAGCTGTCCGCACACCACGACCTTGTAATGTAATTATGCAATGCAAGACAGTCAAACGCCACGCTCCAGCTTACATGCTCCTCGCAGCAGTCTAGAACGAGGACAGCAGCTTACAGCGAGTACAGGCACATTCTTCACAATCACGTCCAGATGCACCGAATCTGCCGCCCGCCACACCCGCCGGTTGTGGGCGGCAAAGTCCAGCTGGCAGCGCCCTGTCAGCTCGGCCAATGCGCTGCTGCCAGCTGTCGGGTTGTCAGGCGCATGCTGGCGCTGATAGGACGTGAGATAGAGGTGCAGCCAGCTGTGAGAGGGGGATGGAGAGAGAAGGGAGGAGTTAACAGCAAGCAAGGGAAAATGGAGTTGAAGGTGAAGGTAAAGGAGAAAGGGTGTGCCCAGCCGTGAGGGGAAGGGGGAGACAGGAGGATCAAAGAGACTCACACAGGGTAGTAGGGGTCGTCCGCACAGCACAGACAGCTCTCAGCCAATAGCATGTGGAAAAGAGAAGTCAGAGAAGATTGGAAATCACGATGAGACGAGAGACTCACACGGGGTAGTAAGGGTCGTCCGCGCAGCACAGCCGGCTCTCAGCCAATAGCAGCGCCACGTAGCTCCAGTCCAGCTTGCCCTGCCCAATCAGAGGCTGCCACGTGTGCATGGCCCTCTCCACCAGCGCCGCTGCCTCCGGCGAATCCGCTGCAAACGGGAACTGCGCTGACGATGCCACTGCTGCTGATGCTGACGTGGCAGGAGTCGAATGGAACGTAGGGCGGGAGGTGATACTCGTAGGAAGAGCGAATTGGGGTGCAGAGGAGGAGGAGGAGGCAGGGGAGGCGAGGGAGGAGGAGAAGGAAGGGGAGGAGAAGAGGTTTCGGAAGAGCTGGGCTACGAGCTCCTTGACATCGGATGGCGAGGGGCAGGAGGCGAAGAGAGGGAAGTAGGCGAATGCTTCCTCCTCGTGTGGCCTGGAATTGGGTTGGCATTGGAGTGAGGGCAGGGGTGTGAGTGAAGAGGGCAGGGGTGTGAGTGAAGAGGAGACGCCTTACTCTGCTGGAAAAGAGGGACAGAGGAGAAAACGCCTCCTCCCCATGTAGGGGGGGGGGGAGAAGTTGCGGTTGGGATTAACCGCTCCTCGAGTCGTGCCGGCAGCCAGGCAAGCATTCGGCGCACTGAGAAAGGCGAACTAAGCGCAACTATTAGTGCGCTGAATGCTTGCCTGGCTGCCGTTCCGGTGGAAAGACACCGCTTGGACCATTGCGGATGAGCAAGAGGAAAGCGAGGAGGAGGGGAAGGAAGAGGAAACGGAGGAGCTTCGAAAGGAGAGAGGACGCCGTAAGGGCCGTTGTGGATGGGCGAAAGGAGGCGGGGAGGAGCGGGAGAACGAGGAGGGAAAACGAGGGGGGTTCAGTTGAGAACGAGGTGCTGAACTCAACTGAACCTACCATGCCGTCGTGGATGAGCAAGAGGAAGGCGCAGAAGACGAAAGAAGGGGAGGGGGGGGAAGAGGAGGTGCTGAACTGGATTCAACAATACCTTGCAGGCGGAAACAAGCCGCAAGGGCCGTTATGGATGAGGGAGAGGAAGGTGCAAAGGACGGAGGAAAAGTTGGGGAAGAGGACGTGCTGACCTGGATTCAATGGTCAACCTACTTTGCGGGAGGAAAGACGCCGTAAGGGCCGTTGTGGATGATGGAAAGGAAGGCGAGGAGCAGGGCAGCGTCCGCCTGGCCGTGCACGAGGCTGAGCGTGAGGCGCGCAAACAGCAGCTTCGCCCTCAGGTGGTCGCTGGTTAGCAGTGGTTGTATGCGGTCCAAATAGCTGGTAAGTGTGGTGGGGAACGGGGAGGGGGAACGGGTGGAAGAAAGGGTGAATCCGCCTGGCCGTGCACAAGGCTGAGCATGAGGCGCGCAAACAGCAGCTTCGCCCTCAGGTGGTCGCTGGTTAGCAGCGGCTGAATCTTGTCCAGGTAGCTGGTGGGCGTGGGGGTGAGTGTGCGAATATGGCGTGAAGGAAGAAGGGAGCAGCAAGAGGCTGAGAGTGAGAGGCACTGAAACGGCAGCTTCACTCTCAATCAGTCGCTGGTTAGCAGTGGTTGCATCTGATCCAGATAGCTGGTGGGTGGAAAGCAAGGGGATGAAAGGAGCAGAAAGAGAATGACTGAGATGAGGCGAGCAAAGAGAGGCAGCACAGAGGTGCAGGCTGCGAGGGTTGTTAGCCTCTGTATTGAGGGGCATTGGCTTCTTTACCCGTCTCAAAACATCTCAAAAGACAAGTGAGCACAGTAGAACGAATTTTAATGATAATGTTGGTAGTAGTAGCAATAGTAACAGTAGTATAGTAACTATCGCAACAATCAACAAACCTCAAGATCTGATCGACGCTTTCTGGGGTTGGTGCGGAGGTGTCCAGAGACATGCCACGTGGCAGCATCTGAATGGCCCGCAGCGCCAGCATGCGCGGATGTGTGGCGATGGACGGGAAGCGGGCGGCAAGAGACTGTAGCTGCGGGGGAGTGAGGATATGCAGAATCGGGAGGCTGGAAGGGGAGGGGAGAAACATCAGGAAACGGGGGAGAGGGGGGGGGGGGGGGGGGGGGGGGGGGGGTGGGGGGGGGGGGGGGGGGGGGAAGGAGGAATAGGGGGAGGATGAGGGGAAACATGAGGGTGGAAGCAGGGAGAAGTGGGTGGGAAAAGGGAGAAAAAAAGGGAAAAAAATAAAAGGAAAAACAAACAAACACCGACACAGTTGAGACTCCCTGTGGCAAGGTATCTCAGAAGGCGATGCCCCTTGAATTGAGTTGGTTGTGCCTACCTGAGACGGCTGAAGGCGTCCGGCTCATCCCGCTCCAACCGCTGCAGCTCCCATGCCACTGCGTCCTCCAGTCGGGGCAATGAGGGGCACCGCACATGCTGTGAGAGAGTGGAAGCGGGGTAAGGGGGCGGGGGGGGGTTGGGGACGGGGGAAGTCGTGAGCGGCACAGGCTTGGCCTTCTCTCATCGCTGCATCTCCCATGCCACTGCTTCCTCTAGTCGGGGCAGTGAGGGGTGCCGCACATGCTGGGTGGGGGAAGGGGGGGGGGAAGGAAAAGAGGAGAGGGGAGAGGATAGATGGCTCGTTGACCTCTCATCTCATCGCTGCACCTCCCATGCCACTGCGCCCTCCAGTCGGGGCAAAGAGGGGCGCCGCACACACTGGGTGGAGAGAGAAAAAGAAAATGACGGGAAGGGATGGAGGTTACTAGGTTACAAGGAGAAAAAATGGCGGAAGGGAGAAGAGGGGAACACAGCGGGTGATGGGCGGCAAGGAACAGACGGACGGGCACACATGCTAAAGTTGAGTGCCCCATCCTCCCCTCCATCCCCTCCCCCCTTATCCTCTTCCTTCCAATCCCCCATCCTTTATTCCATCCCCCCCCTTTCAAATCCCCATTTCCCCACAATCCTCTTTCCATCCCCATCCCATCAACCCACCCACCTCCCCTCCCTCCTCTCACCATCAGCAGCTGCTGCAGTGACTTTTTGTCACTCGGCTCTCGCAGCCAAAACGGAACCTTCTGCGAACCTTCCGTCTTCTTCCAGACTCCCCCCTTCCCCTTTATCCACCCCACCGCCCCCCCCACCCACCCAGTGGCTTGCCCCACCAGTGCCCCCACCCCCACCCCCCGCCCAGACGCTCCCCCAAACCCTCCCCCCGACCCTCCCCCCTGCCCTTCTGCCTCCTCCTTTGCCAGCAGGCGCGCCAGAACTGGCGCAAGCCCCCCCTCCTTGAGCCCCTGCCACCCATGCTGCTGCCACGTCAGCTCCAGAAGAGACAAATGGTCGGCGAACTCGGGCGGCAGTGTGGAGGGGAAGGACGAGAGAGCGGATGCTCCACCCGTGCCAGAATCACCTGAAAGACCACCTGAACCGCCTCCTGCAGCAGTTGCTGCTGCTGCCACACCAGGTGTTTCACTCCCTGCTACAGCTGTGGCGGGTGCTACAGCCGGCGCTACAGCCGCCACTGCTCCCTCCGCATCCTCTATTGTCACATCAAATGATGGTACTGTAGGGGGGACGGCAGGTGCTGTGGCAATGCTAGCAGGAAGGGCGGTGTTGAGCGTCACATTCAGCTCCTGATTGGTCGCCAGTCGGAAGAGGGGCGGAGGGCGGGAGGGGGGTTGCGGAAGGGGGAAGGAGAGAAGCGGGGCACTGGTTAAGAGTTGAGCGGGGATAAGAGCGGAGGGAGGTGGCGGACAGGGGGGGGACGAGTGGGCGGAAAGGGGATGCAGCATGAGCGATGCGGGGGTGTGTGGGAAGGGATGGGAGAAGCCTTGGACTGATCGCAATATAGACGTGACAAACGTTTAAGAGAATCCACCAAGAAAGAAAGAAATGAGCAGAAACAATCAACAAGAACAAAACAACAAACAAACAAGCAGGCAAGCAAACGGACAACAAACTGCAAGAGTACCATCGCCATTCACTGCAATCATGTCAACGCCGCAACATACTTTTTAAAGAACCTCACACCAGCAATAACTTTTCAATTATGTCAACGCAGCAACACACCTTCTTAATAATTTCAACGCACGAGTCGCGGTCTCCAGAGTCCCAGAGCGCCACGGCGAGCCGCAGCTCGAGCTCCTGAATAAGACGAACGAGGCCGCCCGGCCCGAGAAACGCGGCGTCCGCCGTCACACTCGAGAGCTTTGGCGACACGTCGAGGGACTTGAGCGCCGACTTCCGCGGAGGCGCGGGCGAGGAGGAAGCGGGGTCCGCGGACGCAGGCTTGAGACCCGCAGCTTCGCGGAGAGTGGCGATAAGGGCGCGCGCCTCCGCGGTGTCCCCCGCCTCGATGGCTTGCAGTGCTGGTCGGGGGGAGCGCGGGAAGGGGGAGGGGACGGGGGGATGGGGAGGGGAGGGGGTGGGGTAACGGAAGGGGGAAGGCAGGAGGAGACGCGAAGAGCATGCATGATTATGCGCGCGGAAACGCGGAGTAGGTATGTGAACGGGGAAACGGAAGCAGATGGGAACAGATGGAAATGGGAGCCTTAGCGTCGCTGGTGATAGTAGTGCCTCGGAACAAGTGAGGAAAAAGGGAGCAATAAGCGTCGCAAATGGCATCGCAGTGACTGTACCGCTGAAAAAGAGGTGCAGGAACCTTCCGGGAATGAGCGACGAGACAACCGCGGCACGGTCTGGCGAAACGCGAATCGCTCGAGGGTCTCGAGCCACTGATGCTTTGCCACGTGCGACTCCATTGTCGTCCGATTCTCGCGAACGTGTGACAACTACACAAACTTTATCGAGCACGGAAATAATATCACTATTTGTCAACACATGAACATTTCTATTAGAAACTTAGCGAACAGTGCAACCCAGGTAACGCGAAGACGAGCACATTCAAGAATCTCCCTCTCTAGCTTGACTGACTAGCGAATTATACATTTCTGCATTGGATAGGAGTCTGCAGCTACTGGCTGTGGGATCTGATGAAATTGATTCAAGCTGCCGAATTTCCTCCACCCATTACTCCGTTTGTACGATGCAGAAAGGTTGCGCTACTACAATGCGCGATGCAGAGAGCTACAGCGCGGTAAACTCACATTTTTTGTGCGCGCAGGAACCTGCAAAATCCTCCCCACCCAGGCGCTGAAAGAGACTTGATGACAAAATCCAGGTTACCATTTCAAGGGACTGGCAGAGTCTTCCCGTAGGGAGAAGCCTATGCGCGACATCAATTTCGTCGAGCTCGCTTCTGACTAGGCAGGAAATCAGTGGCGGGGCAGAACGGGGGAAGGCGCACAGACTGGCGGAAGGAGACGTAGCGCCCATGGAGGGGAGGTTGCGTGTGGTGTGACCTGGAGGAAGGTGCGGAGCGATTTCTGAACATGTGTTGTAACGAGGACGCATTTTCGTGAGGACCACTCTTCACTGGCATGGCATGGCAACCTCCATAGTGGAAATTCGATTGTGGTACTGTACAGGATTTCGATACCCCAATAGATGGTACTGTACACATTAAAAGGTGCTTGCATTGCAACCACGAGAAGAGCTCCAGTAAATGGAATCCTTACTTTCACCTTTAGCTTTTCCAGCTCAAACATAAAATTGGAGGATTTGCGATTAGGTTATGTGATGTGGACAAATTGACATTTCAAGCCGCCAGCGCCTCGGCACAAGGATCCATGTCAGCTGCGCCATGCGCGCCGTCATCCATGCTCCCTTGGTGCAGCAGGGAAAGGGGTGGGTGGGTTCACAAATGCCCCTCCCTTTTTGAACCACGTGGCAACTCAACAAGCAGCATTCCCGACAAACGTTACTGGCGCCTATGTGAAGGTGTGTTGCGTGCGATTGCATCCCTCGCTCCCCAACCATGCCCCTCAGCATGTCAAAACTCGGTACTTCCTGCTGCAGCTTGAAATGCACAGTTTCATTTCCCAGGACGAGATTTCAACCAGTCCGAACGACAATGGTGCGGAAGCTTGCCCAAACATCTCTGACGAATCGAAACTCGAAATACGCCCTCCCCAAAGGTTCTTCACGCATTTCAGTTTCAGCAAGCTTCAGCTTCGTTGCAGGTGAGGCTGCCAGCCCCGAAGTGAAAATCATGGCTGCACCACCAGCTCCACGCCTTTCTCTTGTGTATATCACACACACAACTATCCTTTCCCAACATCGACACTTGACTGACACAACTCTTGCCACGACCAAACATTAAGCCTTAGAAAATAAGCTTTCGTCATTAAGCCTCAATCCTAGCATTAAGAAAAGCTGAACCTTGTTCCTTCGTCCTCTCAAAAGCGAGAATGGGTTTGCCCTTCCTCACACGCGATAGCATACTAATCACACTACTTGCCTTCGCTATTCTTTCCTCCAACGCCGTTCGCCTTATGCCCTCGCAAGAAAGCGCTTTACTTTCCCTGAAAACCGCGTGGCGCGACTGTCCGGTAATCAATACGTGGATAGCCGGCGCCGACTGCTCTGAATGGTACGGCGTCGGTTGCGATAACCGCGGGATGGCTACAAGTCTATACATCTCCAATTACCTCGCAATGGGAAGGGCTTGCATCGGCGAGTTGACGGAATCCGTCGGGAACCTGACGGAGCTGACGTCGCTCGGTGTGTCCGGCGTTTGGCGCATTTCCGGCAGCCTGCCAAGACAAGAGCCTCGCGAAATTGAAAAAGCTCGAGTCGATCGTGATCGACGATAACGTGCATGGCGCTCTTGCCGGCAACCTCCCGGATTATATCGTCAATTTTGTCCGCCTGACGGAACTCGTGCTCCAGGGAACGGGGCTCACAGGTAGCATCCCGCGCGGGATCTCCCGACTCAGTCACCTCACGCGCCTCCACCTGGAATGGAACCGTCTGAGTGGAGAAATCCCTCGGGAACTGTCAGCCCTGGGGGCTCTCAAGTCGCTTAATTTGGGCGGGAATCGGCTGACGGGATCGATTCCGCCGACCCTCGGGTACCTCACCGGGCTAACGAGCCTACGTCTCGGGAGTAACAAGCTCTCAGGCGCGCTTCCCGCAAATGTAATTCTCTCAATGCAGAGCCTTAACGAGCTCAATCTGCAGAGTAATCGGTTCACTCAGCAGGCTGCTTCGTCTATTGCCGAACTCGCGAGCCACCCGTCTCTCTCAGATATTGACCTCAGTTGGAACCTTCTTTCGGGAGGTGTACCGTCGAAACTCGGGCAGATGAAAAAGCTGGAATACCTGAAGCTGGCTGGAAATAGGCTGAAGGGGGCGGTGCCTGCGGCTTCAATCCGAAACATGCCGAAGCTGTACGACTTGGAACTTTCGTATAACAGGCTAAGCGGAAAATTCCCCTGGTCAGCTTTTAAAACCGCGCCAGCATTGGAGTTCGTACGGCTCCAGCGCAACGCGTTCGTCGGCGAGATTCCCGCAGATGCGTTTAAGAAAAGCCACGTGGCACATTTCAACATATCCTTCAACCTCTTTTCGGGGCCCATGCCGAATCTATGGTTCATGGGCGGGGAGGAGGAGCCGCCGGTAGACGTGCGCGGGAATTATTTTTGGGGCAGCCCGGAGTTTACAATGTTCAATTACAAGGTGTGCCCGGAGGAGGGGCAGGAGGATCCCGAGTCAGGCGACGATGAGTATCTCGCAGCGCTGAACTGCCTCGGAAAGAGCGCCACGTGTAACATGAAACAGCAGCGGAGTGCGGCAGCGTGCAAACTGTTTTGCGGGACGAGCAAGAAGAATGGCCCATGCTCGGGCCACGGCGTGTGCGTTCCTGCAGGTGGGGGGGAGTTTAAATGCAGGTGTTCGAGTGGGTTCGAAACGGTACAGGGAAAGCCGCACGAGTGTGTCAAGGCATGAAGCTATCAGTTACGTCGACTGGTAGCAGTATTATCTTAGGGCCTGTGCATGTGCTTGCGTGCGAGTGTTTGATTAGGTTGTGAAGTGGGTTTAATTGCGGTTCGGGGAACATACGATTGTCCAGTGCATGCATGCCATCAATAGAGATGTTCCTAGTGAAGATTAAACATGACTGCAGCGTAAAAGTGGCACCAGCACAAAGCAGTTAGCTGTGCTCACCTAATTCGAGGGAGGATGCGCGTTCACCAGGAAACCAGGAAGCTTTCATAACATCCGAGTCTGGCTTGGGTCAGCAATGCGTGAGCCTTCAGCTTCTTCAAACAAGTGCAGACACCTTGCGCGGCAATATGCTTTGACAGTCCTAGCAGTCGAATGTCCACATAGGTGTTACCGTCGGAAAATAATGATGAACCGTCCTCAGCCTAAACTGATGAGCCTTCTGGACCTACTTCGGGAAAGCGAGAAGAACCTATGCCTTGTTTATCCGGCCTTAGCCAGAGAGAACGCAGAAATGATATTGTGCTGTATTGTGAATTGTGCGATCGTCTACAACGATGAATCGCCTCTCTGTGCCCTAAAGTGGTGGGTTCGTTGGGGCAGGCACAACAATGAGCTGCACATTTTCAGCGCCTTGTGCTGGCCGTGCTGCTGTGGCGCATGGGGGCCGCGCCTGGCTTTGTGGGAGGGGGAGGGAACAATGTGGGGAGCTGCGATTGGCTCCAAAATGTAACCCCAGAATGAAATCGTTGTCCGAAAGGTTCGTCCGACTCGCAAAACCTTGGCAGAAAAACGTTGCGGGAGTCTCGGATTGAAAGGTCGACTTCGCAACATTATTGGAGGGTCAGACAATTATCGCAGGCTCGTCGGGGTCAACGACGTCGCGGCCAAGGGCATCGCCGAAAGGCGCGGTGCTCAAAGCTTGATGCCAACCAAAAGAATGTACACAAATAGCCTACACTGTGTAATGCAGATTCTTATGTCCTAAGATGTTTGTAGTTGCTCTGTGCTGCGAACCCTTATCCAGTCCTTCAGCCAAGTAACAACCTGCAAGTCAAAGAAGTTGGATGGAAAATGAGGATAAATATGAAAAAAAATCACGTGAAAGTCACATTTTCAAACCGCAACATTGTTGGTGAGTTAAAGGTTTCTAGTGCCTGGCCTGGGCTGCAGCTCAAACCAGATCAAGCGGGAACACAACTCCCCTCGTTAGGGACCTGAAGCACCTGCATCATGGAGGACTCGCCTTCGGAGCTGCCTCCAAAGCATAGCACTGCAGCCAGCATCACCACTCCCTGCAGTCGCACAGGGTCAAGACTCAAACGCCTCAATCCCCCTCATTTAAGGAGTCTAAAAATCTGGGTTGAAACTCACAATTCCCCTTGCACGAGACGAGATGTACCTGTTCCACAGGGTTTCTACGCTTCAGGCTGGACGCGAGTTACAGCACAGCCAGCATTGGGACTGCCTGCGGCTGGGCCGCGTCGCACATCTCAATGCGCCTTGCTGCCCTGTGAAAGAATCGCACCTGGTCCAAGGAGGGCCTGGGCTTGGGGTTGGAGGCAAGGCACAACATCGTCACTCCCTGCAGCTGCACAGGGCTGAACCTCTCAACCACCCTTTCTTGAAGCGCCTCACAAACAAGCTCTAACCTCTCAATTCCTGTTGCAGTTGACGCGCCCCGGTCCATGGAGGGTCAGTGCCTGGGATCAGAAGTTAGGGAGAGCACCGGCAGCATCGACACTGCCTGCAGCTGTGCAGGTTGAATCAAGCCTTTCAATTTTCCTGGACTACCCTGTGCAGTGTGCAAGTAACGCACCTGATCCTTAGAGGGTCGGTGCTTGCGGTTAGAAGCGAGGCAGAGCACAGCCAGCATAGACACTGCCTGCAGCTGCGCTGGGTCCGATCAAACCTCTCAGTGCTTCTCGCTGCCCTGTGCAAGACCCACCTGATCTATGGAAGGCCTCTCCTTGGGGTTGGACGCGAGGCCCAGCACCACCAGCATGGACACCGCCTGCAGCTGCTCTGGTTCCGATCAAATCAAACCTCCCAATACACATCGCAAGAGACCCACCTGGTCCATGGAGGGTCGGTGCTAGGGGTTAGATGCGAGGCAGAGCACGGCCAGCATTGACACCGCCTGCAGCTGCGCTGGGTCAAACCACTCACTGTCCTTGTCAAAAGCAAACCTCTCGCTGCCCTGTGCATGAGACCCACCTGGTCCATGGAAGGCCTTTCCTTGGGGTTAGAGGCGAGGCAGAGCACCGCCAGCATGGACACTGCCTGCAGCTGCGCTGGGTCAAAGCGCCCCTCCAGGCGGTAGTCCACGAGGCGAGTGAACTCCATGTTGTTGGCGATGGGGATGGCCTGCAGGCACACACATGGGGATGGGCAAGGATGGGGATGAAAGGCAATGTGCAATGGCCCTCTATTTACCTCAAGAAAGGGGTCCTCCAGGCGGCAATCAGTCCTCCAAGGGGCCCTCCAAGGGGCCCTCCACAAGGTGTGTGAACTGCTCGTTGCTGGCGATAGGGATGGCCTGCGGCAGAGATGGTGTGTATCGGCATGCAACAAGGTGAGATGCACCGAGATCACACATATGCGGTTTTGGGCTTATGGTTTTAAGTTTGGAGCCTAGGGTTGAAGGCTTAGGGTTTAGGTTGAACTCCTTGCTGGCGATGGGGATGGCCTGGTGCGGAAGAATGAAATCGACAGGGTATGCACTTGATACCTCGCAATTTACTGGTGGAGAGAAGAGAGAAGCGCCTTCACAATGCCGAGCCTACATCACGGGAGGAAACAAAATTGTTCCATTCGTATCGCCAAAGGTGGTCAATCGCCCTGCAGAGGGGCCAGGCGAACGCCCCCATCGTCAAGACCCTGGCGGCCTTCGAGGCCAAGGCACCGACTTCTGCCTACCAGCCTACCAGGATGAGCCCCTAGATACGGGCGATCTCCTGCACGTTCTCGAGCCGGACTTCGAGCTGCCCTAGGTAGCTCTCTTGCATGCTTGTGCCTGAATCTGTAAACTACGTTGATGTATTGCATGTTACATCCAATGAAGGACCATAAGAGAAGAGAGAAGAGAGAAGAGAGGAGAGAGAGAGAGAGGAGAGAGAGAGAAGAGAGAAGAGAGAAGAGAGAAGAGAGAAGAGAGAAGAGAGAAGAGAGAAGAGAGAAGAGAGAAGAGAGAAGAGAGAAGAGAGAAGAGAGAGAGAGAGAGAAGAGAAGAGAGAAGAGAGAGAGAGAGAGAGAAGAGAAGAGAAAGAAGAGAGAGAAGAAAAGAGAAAGAGAGAGAGAGAGAGAGGAGAGACATGCGAGACATCAGGGGGGAGAGCGGCTTACCCAGGCGGAGAGGTTGGGAGACTGCCTGCTGGGATGGAAGGGCACATGACCCGTTATAAGCTCCAGGAGACAAGGGACAAACAGAGATCAGAAAGAGATAAAGCAGGGTAGAGGGAAACGAGAGGGAGACACAAGGGACAGGAGGGAAAAAAGCGGCTTACCCAGGCTGAGAGGTTGGGGGGCTGCCTGCCAGGATGGAAGGGCACATGACCCGTTATAAGCTCCAGGAGAATGACTCCAAACGCGTACACGTCTATTGCTGCTGTTATGAGCCCTGTTTGCACGTACTCTGGTGCCACGTAGCTGGGAGCGCGGCACAGTGGGGGGGGAGGGGGGCGCGGCACAGTGAGGGGGAAATGATGTTTGAGACGCCTCAATGTATGTCTATTCCTGCTGTGATGAGCCTTGTTTGCATGCACTCTGGTGCAATGTAACTGGCATAAGGGCATCAGGGGAGGGAGGGGGGACGGGGGAGAAGGAGGAGGAGTCGATGCAGTTCGAAAAGCATAAACGCTTGAAGGCGCCAGGTAACTGGCAAAAGGGGTGGGGTGAGAGGGGGGCCAACGGCGGGAAGAAAGATGCAGGAGCAAAGGGATGGGATGAAAGAGATGAGGGTTATGAGGGGGATGAGGGAGCAAGGAGCGTGTGACACCAACAGTGTGATGGTAAGGGATGTTAGATTTAGGAGCTAGAGCTTAGGAGTGAGCTTAGGAGCCATGGTTAGGAGGGGAGTTACGAGAGTAGCTTACAAGTGAGATTGGGAGAAGGAAGGGGGATTCACTATTGGGTTGGGAGTACAAACAGGAAAGGACGAGAAGTGCACCATCAAACAGGATATAATAACTACACTAAGCTCTACAATAGGCAGTTATATAATAGCATACAAATACATTTCAACACACCCCTTAACTGCCTGTAGTGAGAACCATGTGCAGCAACACCTTCTGAAGAGGTTGAACACCTTCAACTTCTCTTCAGGGGGTGTGGCAGCACATGATTCTCATCTCACTGCAGGCAGTTAGGGGGCGTGTTGAAATGTTTTTGTATACCAATATATAACTGCCTACAATAGAGCCTAGTGTGATTATTATATCCTGTTTGGTGGTGCACCTCTCGTCCTTTCCTATTTGTACTCCCAACCCAATAGTGAATTCCCCTTCAATCTCCCAATCTCGCTTCTAAGCTACTCTCGTAACTCCCCTTCTAGCCATGACTCCTAAGCTCACTCTTAAGCTCACTCCTAAGCTCTAACTCTTGATTCTAACAACGGAGGCCACCCTGTGATGTGGTGCCCACGATGCTGGTAACCGCCATCGGCTGGGAGTAACTAGGCTAGACAGTAAAGATATTATGTGGCTATAGGATGTGACAAGAACGAAGGCTCAACCCGGGTGCCTATGATGTTGGTAACCACCGTGGGCTGGGAGTAACTAGGCTATACACAATATGAATCCTAGTACAAATGAATAGAATAGATGGTAAATCTCAAGCTCTGGTGCCCATGATGCTGGTAACTGCCATGGGCTGGGTGTAAGTAATAACTAACTAGGCTACACATAAAGCATGCTTTTATGACTAAATACATCGAGTGTAACGGTAAATCTCACCCTCGGGTGCCCATGATGCTGGTAACCGCCATTGGCTGTGTGTACTGGTCTGATGCTACCTTGGCTGCAAGCCATGCTATCATGCTAGCAGTAGCGTGACTAAAGCGAGAGACTGTAACATCAATGAAGGCTCACCCTCGGGTGCCCATGATACTGGTTACCGTCATTGGCTGCGGGTACTAGTTTGATGCCACCTTGGCTGTAACTGATGCTAGTAGCAGAAGTGTGACTAGCGAACGGGCAGTAAGAGAGGATGTGAAGAATGAAGGCTCACCCTCTAGTGCCCATGATGCTGGTAACCGCCATCGGCTGGTGTAACAAGGGCTACGCGCACGAGGAATGCTTTTGTGACTACACAGAATGCGACAAATTAGAATGCCGAATCTCACCCTCGGGTGCCCATGATGCTGGTAACCGCCATTGGCTGGGTGTACTGGTCTGATGCCACCTTGGCCAGGCCAAAATCCGAGACCTGGGGGCAGGGAAAAGGGGGGAGGGAAGAGTGGGGAGGGGGGAGGAGTTTTAATGTGGATCATAAACTGTGTACTCGTCTGATGCCACCTTCGCCAGCCCAAAATCCGAGACCTAACTAGCGAGCAGCGGAGGAAGGGTGAGGGGGGAGGGGGGAGGGGGGAGGAGGGAAGAGGGGCGATTTTTTAGGCGCCTCACAAAGAGTGTACTTGTGTGAAAACCACCTGGGCTAGGCCGAAATCAGAGACCTAGAGACTGAGCAGGGGGGAAGGAGGAGAGAGGAGGAACCGCGCAGGGGAGGAGGGGAGGAGGGGAAGAGGGGAGGAGGGGAGGAGGGGAGGAGGGGAAGAGGGGAGGAGGGGAGACAGGGTGGAGGGGAAGATGGGAGGAGGGGAGGAGGGGAGGAGAGGAGGAGGGGAAGAGAGTAAGGTAAGAGTCTCACTGTCACTGTAAGAGTGCTGTGCTGTTGAGAATAGGTGAATGCGCACTTGACCACTGAACAGCATTGACCAGCTTGACCAGCGTTGACTCACCAGGGCATGCATGTTGGCATCCAGCAGCACATTGGCAGCCTTCACGTCCCGATGGATGATGGGCGGCCGGCACGCGTGCAGGAAGGCCAGCCCGGTGGCCGCCTCGCATGCGATTCTCATGCGAAGATCCCAGGGAAGAGGGGGCTTTGTATGGTCTGCCACACGGAGGGGACAGAATGAGGGTTTTGCTTTTGGGTCACTTGCAGACAAGGGGCACAGAGGCAGGCAGGAAGGCCAGCCCGGTGGCCGCCTCACAGGCGATGCGCATACGGAGATCCCAAGGTAGGGGGGGCTTCGTATGGTGTGGTGGGAGCTTTGTATGGTGTGGTGGGAGCTTTGTATGGTGTGGTGGGAGCTTTGTATGGTGTGGTGGGAGCTTTGTATGGTGTGGTGGGAGCTTTGTATGGTGTGGTGGGAGCTTTGTATGGTGTGGTGGGAGCTTTGTATGGTGTGGTGGGTGGGAGAAAGAAATGGGAGTAGATTGGCAGGTGGGTGGGGTTGACTCGGTGAAGTCTAAAAGTTTGGTTGGCCTCATCTCGAAAGATTCATTGGCAAAGCCTCTTGCAAGGATTTGGGAGACACACAATATCAGCAACTCCTCCATCAGTAACACACACACACACGCACGCACGCGCAGCACGTTTCGCAGTCCCTTCGTCTCACACTTCAAAAACAGTCTCTCCCCTTAGGGGAAAGAGACCCACCTTTGACACCCCTCACCTCTCAGCCTTGTCTCGAGCGACCCATTGGGAAGGAAGTCAAACACCATGAGTAGTTCCCCTGCCGTCGCACACACCCCCAGCAGCCCCAGCAGGCTCGGGTGCCTTATCCGCCTCAGCACCCGCAGCTCTGCTAGAAACTGACGAGCGTTCGCCGCCCCCTGCACGTCCGCTACAGCCGGCCCCCACCACCGTAGTCTCTTCACCGCTACCTTCCGACAGCCCCCACTGGCCGCACCACTGCCACTTCCCCCCCCTGCGCCCCCCCCTGCTGCGCCTCCCCCTGTTCCGCCCTCCCCCCATCCCCCTCTCCCCCACCCCTCGCTCCCCCCACCATGGGATTCCACCTGAGGGCACCTCCCAGGTGGAAGCATCCCCACAAACACCTGACCACTGCCTCCCTCCCCGATCAACCTCCGTGGGGAAAAATTATCTGTGGCCAATAGGAGCTCGTCAAGGTAAAATTCCTGCTGCCCGTACTCGTCCTGCCCGTAAACTTCTCGAATGATTTCGGTCGGTGGGGCAGGAGGGACTGGGGCTGGGGGAGGCGCGAAGAAATCCTGGCCGTTGGATTGGGACCGGGGAGATCTGGGACATTGCTGCCAGCCCCCACTGTCCCCTGCACCTCCCCCCATACCTCCCCCTCCCCCCATCCCTCTCGCCACTGCTGCTCCCCCCATTTGTCCCCCCATTGGCCCCCCCATTGCTCCTCCCATCGCTGCTCCCCCCATTGCTCCTCCCCCATTTGCCCCTCCGCCCCCACTGAACCCCCCTCCGTATCCCCCTGTACCTTGCCCAGCTCCCCCTGCCGCCAGGCCACTCCCCCCTCCCCCTCCCCCTCCCCCTCCCCCTCCCCCTCCCCCTCCCCCTCCCCCTGGGTCTATCCGTGGAGATTGGGGGGAGGAAGGCGGAACAGGCACTTTCCCTGTGCGGGGTTAGGGGCAAGAGCAAAGCGAAGGAGGGACCGGCGACCAGGGGATGGAGAAGAGGGAAGGGGAAAGTGGGAAGGGGATGGAAAGAAGGGACGAGGAATGGAACAGGGAGAAGCGGTGAGGATGGTTGGTGGTACGCATGTGAAGAGGAAGGATTTTCGCCGTCTCAAATCAAACCAGAGGTATGGTCAGGAGGTATGCATGATGCATGTGAGTGTGTGTGTGTGTGCATATGGAGAAGAGAGGAAGGTGGGTGTGAACAGGGAGGTGAGCAGGGACGAGACACACATATTTTCGTCATGGCTGCCACGTCAGCAAACCTGCCTTGTCTTGTAGCGGAGCAGGCGTTATTTGAGACGAGCATGATCTTGCAGCTGGCCGGCAGCCGGTCGGCAAGGAACGTCATCATGTCCACGTCAGAACCGGCACTGCCACTGAAAGGAGAAAAACAAACACCAAATGAAAGAATGGGGGTGAGAGAGCTTTGAGACGCCTCGGAAGAGAAAATAAAGGAGAATAAATTAGGGAAACCATAATAGAAAACCATAATAGACAAACTCCCCTGTGCAACAGAAAACCTTAATAGACATACTCATCATAAGCATGCTCAATTACGCTATATGTATGGCGGTACGCCACGCTGGCCCTATGACAACCAGGCGAGCAGCAAGAGAGGAAAACAATGAAAGAACACTTGTTGCAAGCACACTCACCCTATAACGGTGATGGTGCGTCGCACAGGCCCTATGACCACCAGCCCCGCCTTGAGCAGCTTTGCCTCGTACAGCAGGGCATCTCTCACACGAGGGGCTGAGCGCACCACAACTTCGAGAGTGATCTGGTGGTAGAGAGGGGTGGGATGCGGTGCAGAACAGCCTCAAACTCTGCCTGCCCACCTTGAGCAGCGGTGCCTCGTAGAGCACAGCATCTCGCACGCGAGGGGATGAGTGCACCACGACTTCGAAAGTGAACTGGTGGAGTGTGGTGGGATGCGGTGTGGGGAACCAAGGATGGTGCCTCATCTCTGCCTGTCTGCCTTCCTTCCCGCCTTGAGCAGCTTTGCCTTGCCTCGTAGGGCAGAGCATCTTGCACGCAAGGAGACCAGTGCACCACGACTTGGAGAGCGATCTGGTGAGTGGGTGGAGAGTGGTGGAATGCGGTGGCGGACACCGAGGATGGTGGTGGCTTAAGTCAGCCTGCCTGTCTACAGTGGCATTCCAGATGCCACACCCTCCCGCTCACCTGCTTGGCAGCTGCCACCTCAATCTTGGGGTGCAACGCTGCCAGCATTCTCTGGCTCGCGTCCTCCTCCTCCTCCCCATCCTGCTCTGAGTTGAACCGAGCCTTGCGCGACCCTGGTGCATATAAAAGAAGAAGAGAAGTGGGCGAGTCATTATAAACAACATTCTTCGATGTTCACTTCACTCCTCCTCCTCCCCGTCCTGCTCCGAGTTGAACCGTGCCTCGCGCGACCCGGTGCAAACGGCACGCAAGCAGGAGAGGAGAAAGAAAGTGGGTAAGCTCCTTCGAACTCGCTCGCTTCCCTTCTTCCATGCTCACTCCACTCCCCTTTCCCTCCCTTTCTTCCCCCTTTCTCCAACGCACCTTGCTCTAAGTTGATCAGGGGACCATAAACCGAGCCTTGCGCTACCCTGGTGCCCACAAATAAGGGCAAAAGATACACCTGGGGACAGTGGGAAGGGGTACGCGCCTGTGGGCTGCAGGGCGCGCACAATTCGGACGGCCATGGCGAGGCGACAATACGATCGCCAGGCACCACCAGCCTCGTGAGTGTAAATTCCACAAGCGCTGACCTGCCCCTCCCTCAAAATCGCCGCACCTTAGGAGTGTGGGGTGGTGGGGGCGCGCACCTGTGGATTGCGGGGCGCGGACAATCCGGACGGCCATGGCGACAATACGATCCCCAGGCACCACGAGCCTCGCGAGGGCGAACTCCACCAGCGCCTGCCCCTCCCACGAGATTGCCACGCCTCAGGTCTGTTGGTGGGGCGGGGCACCTGAGGATTGCTGGGAGGGAAGCGCACCTGATGTCTGGGGGGCGCGGACAATCCGGACGGCCATTGCGACAATACGGTCGCCAGGCACCACCAGCCGCGCGAGGGTGAACTCCACCAGCGCCTGTCCCTCCCTCGAGATTGCCGCGCCGCCACCGCTGCTGCTGCTGCTGCTGCCGCCCCACAGGAGGTTCGCGTTCGGCTGGTGCAGCCGCACCCCCACCAGTACCACCTTCCCCCCTCCGCCGCCGCCGCTACCGATGCTGCTGAGAGCTGTCGGGAGTGACGTCATGCTGACGGAAGGCGAGAGGGGGAGGGTGGTACGACTGCCGGAGTGTGTAGAGAGGTAAGTGACGTCACGCGTCGACAAGTGACGTCAGGATGGCGGATGTGAGATGTGAGAGGGGGGTGATATTGAAGGGGGGTGATTGAAGACAACGGTTGGAGACGGATGGGCGATTCGACTCTTAAACGAAGGTGATTATGGCGGGGCGCCGAGAGAGCCACATGCAACGATCGAGAAACGGGCGAGGGTGACTGTAGCGGAGGCGCGAGGTTAGCGGCGTGAAATCGCCTTTTCTTCTACTGAAAGTCTGCGCTATGGACCAAAGGTGTTGAAATCAATTTTGGTAAAAAGAGGCTAGACGCTGTAAAACGATTCGCTGGACGTTGCCTGTTTCTTCCCGCGCATGCCCGTTACCTATTTCCGGAATCCAGGATATTGGTGTAAGTGAAATGGCGTCGGCGGTGCGAAGCGTCGCCATTTTTGGTCAGTCGGACGCGGCAGGTGCTGTTGGCCGTGTGCGCGAGGGAAAGGTGTCAGGTGAAGGGCGCGTGCACGACTCCCGTCTCGAGAACTACGCTGCATTTTCCTGCTCGCCGTTGCATGAAAAAGTTCAGCCTCGTTGTTGTTTGCTTTGAACCTGGATAAGGAACAAAGGGGTTCGAGTCTGTGTACCGTAGCGAATCGGAGCAAGCTCGAACCAGGGGCCCTAGGGATCCTCGCCAAGCTTGGAACTGGGTGTGATTGCCTGATGGTCATATGAGGCCCAAGCAAGTTGGACTGACCTAACGGTCACTAGTGAGCGCGAATGATCGCGAACATCGCATGAGCTGACTGGCCAGCTGGTAACTAGACATGATCTTTCGTTTAATCGCTTGTCTGCCCTCATCCACTTTGATCCACGGCTATAATTGGTTGCTAATTTCTGATCCACGTCAGCATTCAACCTATCCAGCCAAACAGCTGCCATTTGCAAAATCCCTGTAACCAACGTGAGGATATGTACCGAGAAGAACCGTGCTCAGAAACCAACAAATCGAATGGCTCTGACGACCCTACAAGAACGTTCTTTTGTTCTCTGGACATGACCTGAGTTCTCATGAAGTCAGGCGACAATTGAGCGACACAAAAAGCCAGTTGACATTTCTTCCTAGCAGCCATGGCTGGTGACTGGAGCTGGCGCGTGAGGTACGACAATTCGCAAACCGAGCCGTCAGCTTGAAAAAAATATCTCGCGTTTTTTTTCACGGATTGATTTTCGATTTTGCGGAGTTGGGATTCATGGCGGATCCATAGGAGTTTCGGGGTGATTGAAAGTTCCTGAATCCGGCGCAGACAGTTAGGGTTCCGACATGACGACAGCTAGCGCATTCAGTGACAGCTGATCTCGTCAAGGAACCGACACAAAGTCAAACCCGCTATTAGCATTTCCATTAGCAGTTTCTTTAGTTCGACGACGGGATCGATTAGAGCAGCTTTCAGGCCTGGTTGGCGTCGTAACGCCTTTCGTAGCAACGGCGTCGCCACGTAAGTCCGTCTTCATTTTCTGCTACCCTCATTTTGAAATTTCATCGTTAGTGCGGTCTAGCTGTCTTTCTCTTCAGACCTGTTCTCGGTTCCCGCCCCCCGTTTCGGTCCGTCGCAACCGAACCTTGCATGAGGGCCGGGCTGCGTCGGGCGACGTCGGCGACTTAGGCGACGCATGCGACGTAGGCGACGACGGTAGAGAGCGATGCTGAGCGTGCTGCGAGTGCATCTGCCGTCGGACATCCCGATTGCGGGGTGCGAGCTGTGCCCGTACGTGCTGCTGCGGAAACCCGATGGCACAATCACCACCGAAGACATTCCCGAAACCAACCCCATCGATGGCTACTACATCCGCTGCCGCTGGTACGTTGACTGCGTTGACTTTGTGGAATGAGTTGACTTTGAGCTGAGTAAACATGAAAGCACTTTCGACAGCAAAGCAACCCTCCCGATGGGCTCTACATCCACTGCTTCTGGTACGGGAAATGCGTTGACTGTGTTGACTGCGTTGATTGCGTTGACTCCCAGGTGCCGCGTGCAAAGCGACCAGCGAGTCGCCATGGTGCTCCGTGCATGGCAACGAGCCCACTGCCTGCCACGCTGCAACCCTTGTCAACCCCATTCCACCGCACCACCCCATTTCTCCCCCTCCCATTCCCTACTTCCCAGGTACCGCGTGCAGAGCGACAAGCGAGTCGCCATGTGCTCGGTGCACGGCAACGAGCCGGCGACGCTGCAGTGCCTGGGGTGCGTGAAGGCGAAGCTGCCCATCGCCCTATCTCTCCCCGCTCCCCTTCTCACACTCCCCATCTCCCAGGTACCGCGTGCAGAGCGATAAACGCGTGGCAATCTGTTCAGTGCATGGCAATGAACCCGCCACCCTCCAATGCCTGGGGTGCGTGAAGGCGAAGCTGCCCATCGCGCGCAGCTACCACTGCTCGCCGCTCTGCTTCCAGGCCGCCTGGCCGCGCCACCGCGCGCTGCACTCGCGCGGACTCGGCGGAAGCACCCATGGCAGCAGCGACGGGACGCTTTCGGGGGAGATTAACTCCGGGGGGGCTGCTGGGGGGGGGGCGGGGGGGGTTGGGGGGGCGCAGAGGCGGGAGAACGGCGCGGGGGCGGAGGAGGAGGAGCTGTTTGGGAAGTTCAACAGCGGGAATGGGACCACGGGGCTGGCGGGAGCGGGGGGAGCGCAGGGGGGCATGGGGAACGGCGCGCCTGGGGGGGGGTACGGGCAGGGGGAGCAGCAGCAGGGGGGGCAGCAGCAGGGGATGCAGGGGATGCAGCGGCCGATGGGCGGGGGATTCGCGCACAGGCCGCCAGGAGGCGCCTACCAGTCTGATACCACCGGAGGAGGGGGCTCCAATCTCAACTCCAGTGGTGGTGGTAGCGGGGAGGTGTGGTTCGAAGTGGGGCGCGGGAAACCCTACACACCCACCACGGACGATGTAGGCCATGTGCTCAAGCTCGAATGCGTCCCCATTGAAGCTGCTACTGGCCTCCCCGTCGCGCCCCCCTCCACCCTCCTCACCTCCCGGGTCATCCCGGCCCCGTCCCCCACCCCCCGGCGGATGGTGCCGGTGGGGGGCGCGGAGGGGGAGATGGGGGGCGCGCGCGGAGGAGCAGGGGGAGGGGGGGGGTTCACGGTGCTGTCGTATAATGTGCTGGCGGACCTGTATGCGACGAGTGAGATGTACAGCTACTGCCCGCCCTGGGCGCTGTCGTGGGCCTATCGCAAACAGAATTTGCTGAGGGAGCTGCTGGGGTATCGGGCGGATATCATGTGCTTGCAGGAGGTGCGTATGGTTCCTGTAACGAGTGTGAGTGTTCTTGTAACGAGAGGACCTGTACGCGACGAGTGAGATGTACAGCTACTGCCCGCCCTGGGCGCTGTCGTGGTCCTACAGGAAGCAGAACTTGCTGAGGGAGCTGCTTGGGTACCGAGCGGATATCATGTGCTTGCAGGAGGTGGGTGTGCTTGTAACGAGCGTGAGCGTGCTTGTAACGAGAGTGGTATTGGAAGGGGGGTATGCAGTGTCTAGCGCAAACAGAACCTGCTGAGGGAGCTGCAAACAGTGCTCCACTCCACTCCACACCTCTCATACAATCCCTCTTCTTCCTCTCCCCCCCTCCCCTTAACCAACAGCAGGTGCAGAGCGATCACTTTGAGTTTTTTGGGCCCAAGCTGCCCGAGCTCAATGGAGCTGTGGTGAGCACCGCACTCCACTCCACACCACACCTCTCATACAATCCCCCTCCCCCTCCTTTTCCCCCCTCCCTTCAACCATCTGCAGGTGCAGAGCGATCACTTTGAGGAGTTCTTTGGGCCTGAGCTGGAGAAGCAGGGGTACGCGTCCGTGTTCAAGAAGAAAACCGCTGAGGTGCGTTGCTAGTGCTGGCTCCCTGGTGTGTGGTGTGTGGTGAGTGGTGAGTGGGATTGAAGCTGGAGTGTGAATGCAACAAGCTGGAGAAGCAGGGGTACGCGTCCGTGTTCAAAAAGAAGACCGCTGAGGTGCGTTGGTTGCTGTGGAGTGCTTGTCTTTTGTGTGTGGTTAGTGGGGTTCCGTGCAGCACGCAACCTTGAACCCCACTAACGCTTCCAACGCACCTCAGCACACAGAAAGCTGGAAAGCCAGGGGTTATGTGTCCGTGTTCAAAAAGAAGACCGCTGAGGTGCGCTGCTGGCTTGCTGCTCGCTCCCTGTGGGGGTGTGGATTTTTTGCTATTTTGGGATTTTTCACCTCCACACCCCCCCCCCACAGGTGTACACGTGCACGGCCTGTGCCATTGACTGCTGTATCAATCCAACCCCCTACGTGTCACCCCTGTGTCGCCCCCTCGCCCCCCCCTCCCGCTTCTCCCACGCCAGGTCTACACAGTCACGGTTTATCCCATTGACGGCTGTATTGCTGTTTTGGGACGTGCCGGCCCCTCGCCCCCCCCTCCCGCTTCTCCCCCCCTCCATCCCCATTCCTTTATTTCTTTCAAACACCCTCCCCCCTCGCCCCCACCCCAGGTATACACCGGCACAGCATACGCCATAGACGGCTGTGCGACCTTCTTCCGCCGTGATCGCTTTTCCCTCGTTAAGAAGTATGAGGTAGGCGACTCTTCTCCCTGGCCGGGGTGGGATAAGCCCTGGGTGTGGTGTGAGGGGTGAATAAGAATTTCTCCCCAGTCGTATGTGGCCGTGGATGGGGGAGAGAGGTGTGCCGCTGTGGGGGGGGGGGGGGGGGGGGGAGGGGTGATTGCTGGGGAGTACGCCCTTGGTTTGGTGAACGAGAGAGAAGCAAAAACAAGGTAGGTATCCTGGGGGGGGTTGCCAGAGGTACAAGGCGCGCTATGGGGGGGTGAGGGGAGGAGAAAGGGAGAATTACGACCATTGTTTTGCCATTGTTTCTGCCTTTCTAAATCACTTCTCTGTTACTGCCTGTCTGAATGGCCCTCTACTACCCCTCGCCTGCCATTGTCTCCTGGCGCTCCACCTGCCCGTCCATCTACCACCCCTCGCCTTCAGGAGGATTCACTCTCACCTTCCGTCTCTCTCTTCCCTTCCCTCTCCTTGTTGAACTCCAACGCGTACACACAGGTGGAGTTCAACAAGGCAGCACTCTCGCTCTCTGAGGCCCTCGCACCTCCCACCAAGAAGGCTGCTCTCAACCGCCTGCTCAAGGTGCACTTGCTTGCTGTTACCTCCCTCCCATTGCGTTACTTGATCAATCTTAAACCATGCATAAACTCCTTCGGACGGAGCCCGTCCGGACTCACTATTCCACCAACAAAGCCTTCTCAAGGTACATTTGTTATTACACGCCGTTACATCTCTTCCTTCACGTGCTCCACCCAGTTGCATTTTTGTTCCAACACAACACTCACCACCCACCCACCCACCCACCCACCCACCCACCCACCCACCCACCCACCCACCCACCCACACTCCCGTCGCTTCCTTCACGTGCTCCACCCACCTGCATTTTTTTTGTCTCAGCTCACATGCTGGCAGCACATGTGCTCCTGTTACTCATGCTCCCACCTCCCCCACTCCCACCCCCACCTACCTCCTACCATCCCCAACCCCACCCACCAGGACAACGTGGCGCTGATTGTGGTGCTGGAGGCGAGGGACGCAGGGGGGTTCCAACGGCCAGCTAATGCGCTCCTTTCTCACGTGTTCCCCCGATCCCCTCCCCTCTCTCTGCCTTGAGGACAATGTGGCGTTGAGAGTGGTGGTGGAGGCACGGGGCGCAGGGGGGGCTCAAAAGGCTGCCAACGGCCAGCTCATGCGCTCCTTTCTCTCCAATTTCCCCTCCTCCCCTCCCCTCCCTTCCCTCTGCCAACAGGACAACGTGGCACTGATTGTGGTGTTGGAGGCGAGGGACGCAGGCGGTGCTGATGGCAAGGATGGGGCTAATGCACCTCCCGCCAAGAGACAGCTGCTCTGTGTGGTGAGATGTGGTGCTGTGCAGTGCTCTGTGGTGAGATGCGGTGCTGTGCTGTGCTCTGTCATGTCATCTGCAGGCCCGTGTTCTCTTGCACTTTTGAGATGCCGCAAAATCGAAATCGCAGGTTCTCCTATGTTGCGTTGCGACACGCTGCCGTTTGCTTCTATCTGCTTTCATCCCATCGCCAGCTTTTGTATGCTTTCATTCGTGTACTACTGTCATGTGTCTTCACATGCCAACGTGCCAACGCATTCCTCTTTTCTTTCCCCCCTCATCAGGCGAACACACATATCCACGCCAATCCTGAGCTCAAGGACGTGAAGCTGTGGCAGGTGAGGGACGAGGGGTTAGGGCGCGTGTGATCTTTTCTCAAGTTCAAAAAAGAGGTCGAACTTTGGGTGGTTACTCGTTTCGCCAATGTCGCCGAAATGCTTTGGCGAAGGCATGAGAATTCTGGGGGCACATAAGTGTGCGTGCACGTTGAACTGAGCGTGTGTTGTTTTGAGCACGTACGAAGACCATGCGAAAATAACGACTGCTTCGTGAAGTTCACGGAGTTCCGTTGCCTAGTATGTTGACGTGGCGCGCTGTACTGGGTAACCTACACCCCCTACGGCCGACTCGCCGCCTGCCCTATAAGGTCGAATCTCTGTGTTCGACCTTGGGTGTGTGATCGTGACTCATCTGATGCGGGGACCCAAGATTCGAACTTCGCTGCAAGGAAATTCGAGTTTCGTTCGCCCTAAGTTCAAATGCCACATTCGACCTAAAAATGTAAACTTTACAAATTTTGAAGATCACACGCGCCCTTAGGGGCGATTTCAGTCCTTTTCTTTGCTGCACTTCTCCCTCACTCTCTCGTTTTCTCTTCCTTCTCTCTCCTTCCTCTCCCCCTCCCCGCTCCCTCCTCTCCACCTCCACTCCCCGCTCTTCCCCTCGCCTTTCCTTCTCCTCTCTCCCATGCTGATTTCGTTACATCTCAAAACCACCTTTCTCGTCGAACCGTCTTCCCTTCTCAACGCTACCTCCCCTATTCAAATCCACCTCCCCTATTCAAATCCACCTCCCCTATTCAAATCCACCTCCCCTATTCAAATCCACCTCCCCTATTCAAATCCACCTCCCCCTCTCGAATCCACCTCCCCTATTCAAATCCACCTCCCCCTCTCGAATCCACCTCCCCTATTCAAATCCACCTCCCCCTCTCGAATCCACCTCCCCTATTCAAAGCCACTTCCCCGTCTCCCCCTCCTCTTCCTCACAACCGCCCCCAGGTGCACACGCTGCTCAAAGGTCTGGAGAAGATCGCAGCCAGTGCTGACATCCCCATGCTGGTGGCAGGCGACTTCAACAGCGTGCCGGGCAGGTGTGTGTTCAGGGATTGAAGGGTTGATGTGGGGGGGAAGAAGGGAGGGTGGGGTAGGTGAGGCTTGAGATCTCCCAAAGCAGCCAGTGCCAACATCCCCATGCTGGTGGCAGGGGAATTCAACAGCGTGCCGGGCAGGTGGGGTTTGAGGGGAGGAGGGGGATGAAGTGAGATTAAGGAGGAATGATAGGCCGGGCAAATGAGCTTGGTGTTGGTACAGCCAGTGCCGACATCCCCATGCTGGTGGCAGGAGCCTTCAACAGCGTGCCGGGAAGGTGGGCTTGGGACTTTTAGCATACCTGGCAGGTGGCGGGGAGGAGGGTGTGGGGGGAGAGATAAGGGGAGGAGGGTCTGGGGGGAGAGATAAGGGGAGGAGGGTGTGGGGGGAGAGATAAGGGGAGGAGGGTGTGGGGGGAGAGATAAGGGGAGGAGGGTGTGGGGGGAGAGATAAGGGGAGGAGGGTGTGGGGGGAGGGATAAGGAGGATGGAGGGAGGAAGGGAACGAAGCACCGACTTGCTGTCCTTCCTTGTTGTCCTTGATGTCTCCCATTTCCTTTGCCCTTTTCTCTCCCTCATCCCTCTCCCCCTCCCTCTCTCCTCGCCCCCTCTCTCCTCACTCCCCTTGCATCGCGCCCCGCTCACTGCTGGCGGCAGGGCTAGTCGACGCCAACCACCCAGACCTCGCCACAGACCCTCATTCCACTCCACATTCCCCTTCCTCACCCCCCCTCCCTCTCCCCTGCCCCTCTCTCCTCGCTCCCCCGTGCTGCAGCGCGCCCCACTCACTACTTGCTACAGGACGAGTCGACGCCAACCACCCAGAGCTCGCCACGGACCCTCTCGGCATCCTGCGGCCCGCCTCCAAGCTCTGCCACCAGCTGCCGCTGGTAGGTCCGCTGCCGCTGCCCCTGCTGCTGCTGGTATGCTAGCCGTGTAACGCTGTTGCCAGCTGCATTCGAGTCTCTTCAATCTCGCCGCGGATCCTCTCGGCATCTGCGGCCCGCCTCCAAGCTCTGCCACCAGCTGCCTCTGGTACGTCGCTGCTGCTAGCGGTAGAATAGCCCGTGTTACCCTGTTACCAGCTACATTCCAGTCTTTCCAAGCTCGCCACGGACCCTCTCGGCATCCTCCGGCCTGCCTCCAAGCTGTGCCACCAGCTGCCGCTGGTAAGCCCCTCTTTGCCTGCTCTTTATGCATCCCTCTTCCCCCGCCACTCAGGTCAGCGCATACACCTCTCTGAGCCGGGGCGCTTCAGTGGCGGGCTGCAGCGCATGGATGCGAGCAGCAGCGAGCCTCACCCTTTGCCTCTCTCTCCTTCCACCTACCCGCCTCCCCCCTCCCACCACTTCCCCCTCTTACAGGTCAGCGCATATGCTTCTCTCAGCCGCGGGGGCTCAGTGGCAGAGAGGCAGCGGCGGCGCATGGATGCGAGCAGCAGCGAGCCGCTTTTCACGAACGTGACGCGGGACTTCATGGGCACCCTGGACTACACCTTCTACACCGGTGAGGGGTGAAACTGGTGGGTGGGTTAGCTAATGGCTTTGTGAGTTTCAGGAGTTTCTGTCTATGCTCCTTCCTAAGGAGCAGCAGCAGTAGCAGCAGTAGTGCGCCGCTGTTCACGATCGTGATGCTGGACTTCATGGGCACCCTGGACTACACCTTCTACACCGGTGAGTGCTTTGAGCATATACAGTAGTGTGGGAGCACAAAACACCTATCCAAGCAGCAGCAGCAGCAACAGCAGCGAGCAACTGTTCACCAACGCGACGTGAGACTCCATGTTCACACTGAACTACACCTTCTACTCCTACACCTTTTACACCTACACCTTCTACACCAGTAAGGGGTCGGAACTGGTGGGCAGTGCTGGAGTTGCTCGATGAAGACAGAGTGCGCAAAGACACCGCTCTGCCGTTCCTCCTTCCCCTCGATCGCCTGGCTCTCATCCTTCCCCTCCCCATCTCCCTGTGTTTCAGCCAACTCCCTATCCGTGGAATCTGTACTCGAGCTACTCGATGAAGGCTGTGTGCGCAAGCACACCGCACTGCCGTCCCCTGTGTGTGTGTCATTCTCAACTCGTTTTCTCTTCCCATCTCCCGCCTCCCTACTCCAGCGGACTCACTCTCAGTGGAGTCAGTGCTGGAGCTGCTGGATGAGGACAGTGTGCGCAAGGACACGGCGCTGCCGTCTCCCGAGTGGTCCTCTGATCACCTTGCGTTGCTCACTGAGTTCAGATACAAGCCCCGCATGAGGCGGTAGAGGAGAGGCTTGTAAAGGGTGCAGAACGGAGAGGGTGTGGTCCTCCGACCACCTTGCGCTGCTCACTGAGTTCAGATACAAGCCAACGATGCGGCGGTAGAGGAGATGCTTATAAAGGGCACAGATGGGATTTAGAGTGGTCTGTGAACCACCTTGCCTTGTTCACGAAGTTCCGGTACAACCTCTGGGTGAGGTGGTAAAGGAGACGTTTATAGAGGGTACAGATGGGTGACTGACAGAGTGGTCGCTGAACCACCCTTGTCCGCTGACAGGGTACAAGTACAAGCTCACTATAGGGAGGTATAGGGAAAACTTATAAAGGGTACAGTCCAGCCCAAGGTCGTCTTCCTCTCACTGAACTACAGGGCAGGCTGATATGCTATATAGGGTACGGGGTGTACATGCAGGTGGAGATACAGATGAAGTTGCAGCTGGATGAGAGAAGAGGGACACGTGAAAGGGGTTTGGCTGGTGGTCGTATGGAGCTTAGAGGTAAGGTGCAGTGTTGTGCGGTGGTACCCTGCCCTGTGCTAGACTTGTCTTTGACTTCAAGCCATGTGCTGCCTACAGGGGTTGGGTTGGGTTGGATGGGTTGCTGCTGCAACATGCTTGGAGTGGCAGTGGAAGCCAGCAGCTGCTGTATGCTGGATAGTGCTGGCAGTGGCAGGGCAGGAAGGAACATTAACATTTGCAACGGCCAGCTGTGAGCAGGTAGGCTGGCTCGCTGCTGGCTGGCAGGCCTATTCTGTTATAACTCTGCAGCACCGTGAGCGAAGGAAGCATGCTCGTGAGAGAGGCATGAGAATCATGTGAGGCAAAGCCCTTGAATTTGAGGGAGGGGCAGATGACGATATGCAATTACAAGGCCACAATATTGAACACGTCACACAACACTCCAAATGAGGAGACGAGGAGGTGGTGGTTTGCTGGAAAGCTTTCGGCTGAGACGCGACTCATTGGACATCATTGGCACTGGCATGGTATGCGGGTAATGCCACTTCAGAGTGACATACAACAATACCACATCGTCACCAAAATCGTGAAGTGCAAGGTCATGTAAAGCAGGAGAAATTAGAAGGCCTATTTTCCCTCACGTGTATTCCAAGGGTTTTAATATCACCAATATTTTTTTGCAAGAAACTCCCCTTCGAATGTTCTCCAAGTTGAAAATTGAAGGATTTATAGTAGCAATATACAATGCATACTCGTTATAGTGCTCGCTTCCAGCACCAAGTGCCATCGAGAACATCCTGCTCCAGCCCATCACCTCGAAATCCGAGAATCCCAGCAATGGCCGCTAGCCTGACACAGCGCGCCGCTTTCGCATTTTCTCCGATCGCCGCACCGCATTCAGCATGCAGATCGCACCGTTCATCGTGCGCCGCGCGTTCCAGCCGAGTAGATGTTGCGTCGAGTCCCCCTGCTCGCAGCTCCAATGCTTTCGCCCACTCCTCTCACACTGCCTTCCACAGCGGAAACGAGCCTTGCTCGCGAGGCCTCGTGTCGAGATTCCGTTATAATCTCGGCGGTTCTAGTCACATTCTTTCATGGCGAGCGGGTGGCAGAAAGCATGGGAGAGAAGAGAGTGCACCGGGGGTTGTCAGAGCAGCAGATTCGGCAGGATCGTCCCAAGCGAAGCAGGATCATTCTGTACGAAAGTGTTATAATGAATTCGTTTTGAGCCCCCTTCTCGTGATCAACAAACGAAGATAATACAGGATTTTTTTTTTTTTTCCGTCTCTGTTGCTGGTGTCGCATTCGGTCTTTATTGCTTGACCCCTGCTTATACCCGAAACCCTGTACCTCGTACCTTGTACCCGCTCACTCTTTCCCCGCCCCCTTTCCTCTATAATGTGAGCAGCTTCAGAGCTCACAAATCCAGACTTCCGCTTCCCCTCACCTCCTATTTCCGTGGCCATCCTCCTGCCTCCTCCGTTCCCGCCCTCCACTCTCCCACCCATCTTCTCTCCAGTCGAAGGATGAGGGACCGTCTGTGAAGAAAGGCGGAGACGGCTGCCAAGCACAAGTTATTCTCTGCCCCCCATTCCCCACTCTTCCCCCTACCCGCAACCCCCTAATCCTCCCTTCACGGACAAAGGACGCACTCACCCCCTTCCCTGCTCCTTTTCCCCTTCTCCCCGCGCCCCCCTTCCTCTTTCTTCTCTCCCCCCCCCCTCCCTCGGTTCACGGACGAAGGACCGTCCGTGGAGGTCTGCATGCCCCCCTCCCTCCCTCCCTCACCCACTTCCCCTCCTCCCCACCCCCAAATTCACTCTCCCAGTTCACGGATGAAGGACCGTCCGTGGAAGTCCGCGTGCCCATCCCTGCTGCTCTCCGGCCAATCCAGGCGCGCCACGTGGCGGTGAGCGTGCAGGAGGACGCGCTGTCGGTGGCTGTGACGCCGCCAGCTGGCTTCGGGAGCAAGGAGGGCGCGGTGAAGGGCAAGGAGGGGCGCGAGCGATCGCTGCTGGTGGCGAGTCCGCTGTATGGGAGCGTGAAGGCCAGCGAGAGTGCGTGGTGAGTGAAGGGCAGTGAGTGAGAGTGGTGAGTGAAGGGCAGTGAGTGAGAGTGGTGAGTGAAGGGCAGTGTGTGCCCTCCACATCCCGACCCTATTGGCTGGCTGGACCAGTAGAGTTAGGTTTTCTTTTGAGGGGCCTCGAATGTTGACTTGTCCAACTAACCAGGTAGTTCAAATGTTCTGGTTTCCTCCAACACTCCCTCCCTGCCTCCCTGCCTCCCTGCCTCCCTGCCTCCCTGCCTCCCTGCCTCCCTGCCTCCCTGCCTACCAGGTACATCGACGACACAGAGATCGTCATTACGCTTTTCAAACAGCCTCAAACCTCCTCCTCCTCCTCCTCATCCTCCTCCTCCGAGCCTGTCTTCCAGGCCTGGCCGACCCTGATCAAGGGCTGGGAGGCTCTGGCAGGGGCGGTGGCCAATCAGCTAAAGAGCTGCTCCGTGCTGCTGGTGGGCGGCAGCTCTCGTCTCAATGCAGCCGTTGCTGCAGAGCTGGCTACGGGGCTTGGGTGAGTTGCTTCTTCGCCCTAGGGTAAGTTGGTTCTTTCCTTGGGGCAATTTGCTTATGTGCCTTAGGGTAGGTTGCTTCTGAATTAATCCGTTTCTTTCCGGATGGCGAAGGCAGGTTCGTTTCTAGTCCTTCTGTTCCGCTGGAAATTTGTGATTTTATGTGCATGCTTGTTGTGTCTTGTCATTGTCTTCTGTGTTCCCTTCACGCTATACAAACGTTACTGTGTAGACATTAAAATGTATCTGATATGCATATTACTGTGAATATTCGCCCTGTTTTGCAACTTGCAATCGTGCACATCCCAGCTATGCACCAGTGCCATTGATCTCTTGTAATTATGGTATTTCCCATGGTCCGTACCATGCATGCACCCTTTGTGATTGCATGCCAGCTATGCACCAATCATGACTCAGCAGCTAGTGGAGCAACTAGCAAGCGCCACCATTGACGAAGGTGCGTTACCCTGTAACCCTGTTTGCACCAATGCTAAATGCATCACTGTTGATGTTTTAACTCAGAAAATTTTCGCCTGTGACTGCGTCGCCTGCATGCATTTCATACCACATGCACGATACGGCCCACCTCTGCATGCCATGTGCTGTCTATGCATGGCGCCACGGCAAGTCCCTGTTCTTTCCTTACAGCACCTGTTTCGATGCCTGCTGATTTCGCCCACATGACAGTTAGTTACCGCTTGAGATAGCCAACAATGCCCTTGCCCTTGCCCTTGCCCTTGCCCTTGCCCTTGCCCTTGCCCTTGCCCTTGCCCTTGCCCTTGCCCTTGCCCTTGCCCTTGCCCTTGCCCTTGCCCTTGCCCTTGCCCTTGCCCTTGCCCTTCCTTGGTGCACTGACTTTCATTCGTCCATCCCGGCCCCTGCTCACATACCCCTCACATCACCAGTGGCAAGGGAAGAGGGACGGACCGGACTCAGTGGCTCAAGCAGAGACGGCTGTCTTATGTAGAGGCACCTTATTCTGAGTACGATATTGAGGCGCCTCACCATTAGACTTGTAGCATGCTCCCCTTTTCCTTATCCCATCCATCCCTCCCTCTTCTCACATACCCCCCACATCACCAGTGGCAAGGGAAGAGGGACCGGACTCAGTGGCTCAAGCAGAGACGGCTCTCTTGGATCACCTCTCCTCGTACGTACTCTCCTTTCTGCCTTTTTTCGAGTATCCATAGCCAAACCGGTAGAAACAATCTTCCTGAATTCACCCGTCTCTCCCGTCGCCTCTGCACTCCTCCTCGTAGTCTCTCCACTCAGGAGAATTGCAGCAATCTCTGTATGGTGGTAACCAACCACAATGGGTCCGCCCTGCAGCGCAAGTGTGCGTGCTCACACCCTGCTGCCTCTCTAGGCTGAACCTCCATGTACTCCCCCTTCTGATCCCATCATCCTGTCACGGCTGGCCCATCCTATCCTAGTCAATCCCTGACTCGCAGCACCTATGGCCACGGCAATCTCTGTGTGGTGGTTGGTTCCTACCATGGGGCACATGGGGCACATGGGGCACATGGGGCACATGGGGCACATGGGGCACATGGGGCACACGGGGCACACGGGGCACACGGGGCACATGGGGCACATGGGGCGTCACAGCAAGCTCACACCCTTTTCTCAAACCCTAAACCCTGCAGCAACCTCCGAGTGGTGGTGGCCACCATGGGGCAGCCCCACGGGGCGTCGCTGCAGCCCGACAGCTGGCGGTTCATCCACGGAGGAATAGCGCTGTGGCTGGACGTGAAAGGTGGGCGGGGGGTGGGGAAGATGGGCATGGGTGCTTGAATTGAAGGTGGGCGCATGCGCATGAGGGCTTGGGTGCTAGGGGTTTGGGGGGATGACTCTCAGGGCTGACAGCTGGTGGTTTATCCATGGAGGGATAGCGGCTGGACGTGAAAGGTGAGTGGGGGGTGAGCAGGGGTGGTTGGGGTGGGAAAGGTGGGTTGAAGTTGAAGGGGAGAAGGGGGTTGGCACCGCACTGGTCGCCTGGAGGGGGGGGGGGGGGGCATGCTTCAGACTGACAGCTGGCGGTTCATCCATGGAGGGATAGCACTATGGCTGGACGTGAAAGGTAGGAGAGGGGAGGGGAAGATAAGAATGAGTGCTTGAAGTTGGGCGCATGCGCACGAGTGCGTGGAGGCTTGGGGAGCATCTCTGTGGGCCGACAGCTGGCGGTTCATTCACAGAGGGATAGCGCTGTGGCTGGACGGTGGGTGGGTGGGGCGATGGAAAGGCTAGTGGAGGATGAGAAATGCAGGGGGATGGGCGTCCTTGTGGAATTGCACTAGCATTGGTGGGATGACATGTACGCTGACGGGCTGCATCCCTGCGTGAATCACCATGGAGGCTCATCCGCAGACTGATAGCGCTTTGGCTGGACGTGAAGAATGGGCAGGACAGCACCAGAGTTGCTCACACAGAGGCCAACCGTACACATGTGACTGGCAGGTGGATGGATGGCACAGGTGGGGTGGGGTGGGGTGGGGTGGGGTGGGGTGGGGTGGGATCTACATCAAAGCAGTCCAAGTTCAGCCTAACTTCTCCTGCATTCTCTCTCCAACCCCTCCCTCACCTTCCCCCCCTCCTTTCCCCTCCTCAATCCTTTTCAACTACATCACACCACCTGCCCTCATCTCCACCTCTCCATTCAACCAACCCTATTTAATCCCCTCAACCCCCATTCTCTCAGGAGACTCTAACAGCCCCCCAGACCCTCATTTCGCGGACAGAGCTGACGTGGCAATCCGGCTGCACCTGCCAGCTGGCTGGAGCACAGACGACGGAGTGAGCGTTGACGTGGCACGGGCGGCGGCGGCGGTGCGCTGACAGCTGTCAAGGCGGCATTGGATGCGGATCCCCAACTACCGGGTGAGTGAGAGGGCGGGAGGGGGAAGGGTAGGAACGTGCTTAACATCTAGGGGGTCAAGTCTTCAGATGCTGACAGCGGTCAAAGCGGCATTGGATGGGGATCCCCAGCTACTGGGTGAGAGGGCGAGAGGGGGAGGGCCTTCAACTTCTCACAGCAGCATCGAGCATTCGTGATCGCTCCTGAACACTAGGAGAGGGCCGGATTGTGAAGGGTGATTGAATGCTTGCATTGCGAAGCCAGCTATTCCTGAAACGTCTTAATGCTGTGTAAGGATGAAGCGTAGACTTGATGGCAATGCCAGTTGTCAAGGCGGCATCGGGCATGGGTCAACAGCGGCCGTGTGAGCAGCAGGCAGGAAAGCGAGTTTCTCAAAAAGCGTTCTTTTTTTAGACGCTTCTCCAGGCCTTTAAAGCACAAGCTGTAGCTTCTTCTGGGGACTTTGGGGGGCTGCTTCACACTGCAGCCCACTTACAGTGCACCATCGCATCTCCCTTGTCACGAGGGGTGTACCATCTTTGTAATGTATGTGTATCTGGTGTCCATGTGTCCATGTGTCCATGTGTTTTGTGTGCATGTGTCCATGTGTCCATGTGTCCATGTGTTTTGTGTGCATGTGTCCATGTGTCCATGTGTTTTGTGTGCATGTGTCCATGTGTTTTGTGTCCATGTGTCCATGTGTCCATGTGTTTTGTGTCCATGTGTTTTGTGTGCATGTGTCCATGTGTCCATGTGTTTTGTGTGCATGTGTCCATGTGTTTTGTGTCCATGTGTCCATGTGTCCATGTGTTTTGTGTCCATGTGTTTTGTGTGCATGTGTCCATGTGTCCATGTGTCCATGTGTCCATGTGTTTTGTGTGCATGTGTCCATGTGTCCATGTGTCCATGTGTTTTGTGTCCATGTGTTTTGTGTGCATGTATCCATGTGTCCATGTGTTTTGTGTGCATGTGTCCATGTGTTTTGTGTGCATGTGTGCATGTGTTTTGTGTGCACGTGTGCATGTGTTTGTGTGCATGTGTGCATGTGTTTGTGTGCATGTGTGCATGTGTTTGTGTGCATGTGCATGCAGGGAAGAAGAGCTTATACGTGAGAATGGGGTGCAGGGGCGACTGGCCGGACATAATGCCTCCAAGCTGGGACCCCACCGCCCAGCCAGGCGAAGCAGAAGCAGCAGCTGCAGGGGAGGGAAGAGCGTAGGACGAAGAGCCATATGTGAGAATGGGAGGGTGAAACTGAGGGGTTGGGCATGTGAGAATGGGGTGCAGGAGTTACTGAACTGACCTCATGCCACCAAGCTTAGGACCTCAACGCCCAGTCAAGCGAAACTGAAGCCATGGGTGAGGGAAGTTTGGAGTAGCTACCTTGCGAGAAGTTATAAGGAGAGAGGGGGGGGTGCTGAGTTGGTGAAGAGGAGGGGCTGAGTGGGTGAGGAGGAGGGGCTGGGTGGGTGAGGAGGAGGGGCTGAGTTGGGAGAGAATGGGGCGCAGGCGCGAATGATCTGACCTCATGCCGCCCAGCTGGGATCCCAACGCACAACCGGGTGAAGCAGAAGCCGCGGAACGAGGGGGTGAAGAGCAATGTGAAACAAGTAGTGTTTTGAGACGTCTCAAAACACTACTTGTTTCACAACCGGGTGGAGCAGAAGCCGTGAAGCAAGGAGTTGAAGAGCAATTACCTGCAACAAGCAATCAGGAAAAGGAAGAGCCTTTAAGTCGACTCTAAAGAGGGGGAGGTGGAGCAGGCTGCAGGCACCGTGGTGACAATTGAGTTGACTTAGAAGTCGTACCTACCTGGAGGGGGTGTGGAGCAGGTACCTATCTGCAAGAGACGATTAAAAGGGGGGGAGGGGAGCCTCTGAATCAACGCAATAGTGAGAAGGGTGGCGTAGGCACCTCTGGCAAATGACTAGAAGGGAGGGGGAGGCTCTTGGGATGCCTTGAAAGGATGGTGGGGTTGTGAGTGTTGTGTGCTGCTTACCACAATGAGTCGGCAGGGGAGTGGCAAGTGATTTGCCAGGGTAATTCAATTGGTTTTCTCTCTTCTACCGGCTGATCTTATTTCAACAACAGATTTGCAATGTCAGGATTATAAGGCTCTGAAACACTGGGAACAGGATGGGGAGCTTCCTTGGGTGCCTTGAAAGGATAGTGTGGCTGTGAGGGTTGTGCTGCTTACCACAATGAGCTGGCAGGGGACTGACAGCTGATCTGCCAGGGTTGTTCAATTAATTTTCTTTCTTCTAGCAATGCAACTAATTTTATCAACAACAAATTGGCGAATCCGGAACATTGGCAGTTTTCCAGTGGAAAAGGGTTGCCATTTGGTGGTAGGCTTTAAGCGGTATGCCTGCCATGCGCATGTTATTATGCAGTGCATAGGAAGTTATTGTTAAATTGTAATGTGTTACATGTTGGTAGGCTGTAGTGGGGTAGCCAATATGGGGTACAACCCCAACTAGGGTTTGCTACTTGTACCCAACTGTTTCATTCAATGCACCATTCTTGCCTAGTCTTGTTGACATGGTATTCAGAGCAGGAGGTCCCTAGGACCTACCGACCGTTTTTTTAGGGCCCACCACCGCTCGCATGCGGTTACCACGCTACCCCGTGCCCTAGCCTAGCTGCGCCCTCGTGCGCCCTCGTTAGCGCCCTCGCGCGCCCTCGTTAGCGCCCTCGCGCGCCCTCGCTGCGCCCTCGCGCGCCCCTCGTTAGCGCCTTCACGCGCCCCAGTTAGCGCCCTCGTGCGCCCCTCGTTAGCGCCCTCGTGCGCCCGCGCTGCCCGCCCGTCGCGCTGCCCGCCGCGCTGCCCGCCGCGCTGCCCGCCGCGCTGCCCACCGTCGCGCTGCCTGCCGCGTCGCCCGCCAGTCGCGCAGCCCGCTGCGCTGCCCGCTCGCCGCGCTGCCCGCCCGTCGCGCTGCACGCTGCGCTGCCCGCCCGCTGCGCTGCCCGCTCGCCGCGCTGCCCGCCCGCCGCGCTGCCCGCCGCGCTGCCCGCCCGTCGCACTGCCCGCCGCGCTGCCCGCCGTCGCGCTGCCTGCCGCGCAGCCCGTCCCGAGCCCGCTCGACGCGCGCGCGGCCCGCAGCTGCCCCGCGCAGCCCGTCCCGAGCCCGCGCGACGCGCACGCGGCCCGCCGCTGCCCCGCGCAGCTCGCCCCAAGTCCGCGCGGCGCGTCCGCGGCCCGCAGCGCGCTGCGCGCCGTCCGCGCGGCCCGCGCCGCGCCCTACCCGCCAGTGCACGGCCCCCGGCAGCGGCTCGCGCCACCCTACCGCCGCCACGGCCCCACCCTGCCGCTGCCACGACCCGGCCCTGCCCTGCCGCTGCCACGACCCGGCCCTGCCCTGCCGCTGACTCGATCCGGCCCTTCACTGTAGCCGCTGCCACGGCCCTGCTGTCGCCGCCGTCGTACGCTGACCCTGCCGCCGTCCGCCGAGCACCGGCCCTGCTCGCCCGGTGAGAGCCTGCTCTTCCTGCTACTGGTGAGCCCCTGCCTTGCTAGCGCGCTGCCGCGCCGCCGGCCTGCCTGCCTGCCTGACCTGCTGCTACTGGCCGACGCCAGATGCAGCCCCAGCGACGTCCGCGTGAGTCCCTCACGCCCCAGCAGCTGCGTGAGTGGTCCGCTAGTTGGGGTTGTAGGGGTGGCCGCGCTGCTACTGCTGCCACTACTGCTGCTGCTGCTACTGGCGGTGGCCAGATGCAGCTACACTGTCGTCCACGCGAGTCTCGCACGCCCCAGCAGCTTCGTGAGTGGTACGCTCAGAGTAGAGGGTCTCTCAGTTCTGTTCGCTGCTCTTACGTCATTCGCACTGGTGCTCGGACTGGTCAGCCTTGCGGGACACCTAGTCACACGCAGTCCCGCTGCTTCGCCCGTCTGAGCGACGCCTGGCGCACCGAGTTTGGCGACGGGGCTGAGCTCCCCGACTGGGTGGAGCTACTTAGGCAGAGAGTAGATATATTTGCTCTTGACTATGATGCTATTCTCACTGCCATGTATGCATTGCCTACTAGTGCTGACCGTGCCTGTTACCTGTGTGCGCCGCCTGACCCAGGTATCGCGCCTGCTGCTCTAGGTACTGGTGAGGCTGCTGCTCTAGGTGCTACTGCGTCTCCTGCTCTAGGTGCTGGTGAGGCTGCTGCTCTAGGTGCTACTGCGTCTCCAGCTCTAGGTGCTGGTGAGGCTGCTGCTCCAGGTCCTGGTGAGTCTGCCCTCTCAGGTTCTTCGCCTGCTGCGACCCTGCACACCTTCACCCTTGACTCAGGAGCTTCCCGCTCCTTCTTTCGCGACTGCACCACACTTACGCCGCTTCGTCGGCCGGTTGCAGTCTCCCTGGCCGACCCCTCTGGGGGTCCAGTCCTTGCCCACTACTCCACGGTTCTGCCGTGTCCGGCCGCCCCGTCTGGCTTGCTGTCAGGTCTCTACCTCCCCTCGTTCTCTACGAACTTGGTGAGTGGAGCTGACCTCCAGGATGGGGGGGTTGACCAGTTCACTCCTGCGCGTCAGCGGGTGACTCACTGTACGTGTGCTCGGACGGGCCGACACCTGGCCACTTTCACCCGTGAGCCTGGCTCGAGCCTGTACACCCTGACCACTGAGTCCCCTCAGGTAGCTGCGTCTGCGTCTGCGTCAGGTCAGCTGTCGGCCCCCTGCTTGTGTCGCGCCTTGTCGCACGAGACCCTCCTTTGGCACCACCGCCTTGGTCACCCCTCGGTGCAGCGCCTTCGCAGCATGCACCGTCGTGTCCTTGTCTCTGGTCTTCCCAGAGTTCTCCCTCCCCTCCCACCCTCGCCTGCTCCTCCCTGTCTTCCCTGTGTCGAGGGGCGGCAGCGCGCCGCTCCTCACTCCTCCTCGTTCCCTCCCACAGAGGCTCCCTTGCAGACTCTCCACCTGGACGTGTGGGGCCCAGCCCGCGTCCGTGGACAGGACCACGAGCGGTACTTCCTGCTGGTCGTCGACGACTACACGCGTTACACCACGGTCTTCCCCTTGCGCACCAAGGGTGAGGTCCCTACTGTTTTGATCCCCTGGATCCGCGCTGCTCGTCTCCAGCTCCGCCGGCGGTTCGGGACAGAGTTTCCCGTCCTGCGTCTGCACTCTGACAGAGGTGGTGAGTTTTTCTCCGACCTCTTGGCCGCCTACTGTGCGGAGCACGGCATCACCCAGTCGTTCACGCTTCCGGCCTCTCCGCAGCAGAATGGGATTGCTGAGCGCCGCATTGGCTTGGTCATGGAGGTCGCTCGTACCTCCATGGTCCATGCGGCTGCCCCCCATTTTCTGTGGCCGTTTGCGGTCCGGTACGCCGCGCATCAGCTCAACCTCTGGCCCCGTGTCTCCTTGCCGGAGACCTCGCCCACACTGCTGTGGACGGGGGAGGTTGGCGATGCGTCGCGTTTCCGGGTCTGGGGTTCTCGTGCCTTTGTCCGCGATACCACCGCGGACAAGCTCTCCGCCCGCGCTGTCCCCTGTGTCTTCCTTGGCTTTGTCCCTGACGCGCCTGGCTGGCAGTTTTACCACCCCACCTCGCGCCGGGTCTTCGCCTCTCAGGACGTCACCTTTGACGAGTCGGTCCCTTTTTACCGTCTCTTCCCCTACCGCACTGCCCCCCTCCCTCCCCCGCCGCTTTTCCTCGCTCCTGGTCCCCCTCCGGTAGACCCCCTTCCCCCTCAGGGTCCTGCTCCTTCAGGTGTCTCTCAGGTAGACCCTCCTCCCGTCGCTGAGCCTGTCGAGGTCACAGGTGACTCGGGTGCTGGGCCTGGGGGTGCTGGGGCTGCGGGTGCTGGGACTGAGGGTGCTGGAGCTGAGGGTACGGTGCCTGAGAGTACGGAGCCTGGGGGTGCTGAGCCTGGGGGTGCTGCGACTGGGGATGCTGAGCGTGCGTGTGCTGAGCCTGGGGGTGCTGCGCCTGAGGGTACTGAGCGTGGGGGTGCTGCGACTGAGCCTGCGGAGCCTGGGGTTGCTGCGTCTGGGGGTGCTCCGGTTCGGGGTGCTGAGCCGTCTCTCACACAGCAGCAGCTTCGTGACTGGTACGTCCGGCGCTTTCGCCGTCCTCGTGGCCCTGCTGGAGTTGGAGGTTCTGGAGCTGCTCGTCCTGGAGGTGCTCGTACTGGAGGTACTGGAGCTGCCGGGGCTGGTTGTTCTGGGAGCACTGAGGCTGGAGCTGCTGGAGCTGGCGGTGCTAGCGGGGTTGGAGCTGCCGGGCCTGGGTGCGCTGAGCCTTCGGGTGCTGAGTCTGGGGGTCCTGAGCCTGGGGGTGCTGCGACTGAGCCTACGGAGCCTGGGGTTGCTGCGTCTGGGGGTGCTCCGGTTCGGGGTGCTGAGCCGTCTCTCCGGGAGCGAGTCTCTCACACCACAGCAGCTTCGTGACTGGTACGTCCAGCGCTTTCGCCTTCCTCGTGGTCCCGCTGGAGTTGGAGGTTCTGGAGCTGCTCGTCCTGGAGGTGCTCGTACTGGGGGTACTGGAGCTGCCGGGGCTGGGAGCACTGAGGCTGGAGCTGCTGGAGCTGGGGCCTCTGGAGCTGACGGTCCTAGCGGAGTTGGAGCTGCCGGCTCTGGGGGTGCTCTTCCTGGAGGTGCTGGAGCTGCTGGAGCTGACGACACTGGAGCTGACGGTCCTGGAGGTGTTGGTCCTGCTGGTTCTGGAGGTGCTGGCGAGGGGAGGTCTGCCGCTGCTGGGGCCTCTGGTGCTGACGTCGCCGGCTCTGGGGGTGCTGCGGCGGGGGGTGCTGGTACTGGTGCTTCTGGTGCTGCGGGTGCTGGAGGTGCTGGCGGAGCTCCGCCGTCGCGACTGTTCTTCGCTCCACCGTCGCCGTCGGCTTTGCCACCGCCTGACACGGTGCTTCGCCAGGTTCTTTCCCTCCCGTCTTCCACTGGCCTTCCCCTCCAGCCTGGCTCCCCCCTCCCTGCTCCTGTGCCTTACACTGCACAGCCGGACTCGCTTACGGAGCGTCGTGAGCCTGTGTCTCGTCCTGCCTCGCCTGTTCGCGCTGCTCGCACTGCTCGCACTGCGCGCACTGGTCCCACTGGTCGTCGTGTCGCGCGTCCGCGTCCTCCTCCTGTTCCTGGCACGCACATTATGGCCCTTCGTCCTTCCACTGGTCCACAGCGTGTCCCCCTACCGTCTCCTCCTGCGTCTTCTCTTCCTGACGTTCCCGACCCTGAGTCTGACAGTGTTCGTGCTGCCCACCCTACTGTTACCCGTCTTCTCGCCACTGTTGTCACTGACCCGTCTTTTGAGTCTGCTGCTGCGTCACCCCTGGTCGCTGAGCTTGTCGACTTTGCTGCTGCCTGTCGTCTAGACTACGCCGCCAGTCTTGTTGCTGAGTCTGAGTCTGTCTGTCCTCCGTCCGTCGGGGGTGAGTGTGCTCTTGGCACGGACGTCATTGAGGACAGGCAGGAGGACCTTGACTCTCTTGCGGCTGCTGTACCTCATCTCGTGGCCTGGCTGCTTGCCCCTGAGGGAGACCCGGATGCACTAGACATCCCCACTCCGCGCTCTTACGCAGAGGCGATCTCGGGCCCCTACTCCTCTCAGTGGCAGACAGCCATGGACGCAGAGATGGCATCCTGGAAGTCCACAGGCACCTACGTTGACGAGGTTCCCCCTCCTGGGGCGAACATCGTCGATGGCATGTGGATTTTCAGGGTGAAGCGGCCGCCAGGTTCTCCACCTGTCTTCAAGGCTCGTTACGTTGCTAGAGGCTTCAGTCAGCGTCAGGGGGTTGACTTCTTCCAGACCTTCTCCCCCACCCCGAAGATGACCACTCTTCGGGTTCTGCTGCACGTTGCCGCTCAGCGTGACTACGAGCTTCACTCTCTTGACTTCAGCACAGCGTTCTTGCAGGGCAGCCTGCACGAGGAGATCTGGCTGCGTCGCCCACCTGGCTTTACTGGGTCGTTTCCTCCTGGTACCCAGTGGAGCCTCCGGCGGCCAGTCTACGGTCTCCGCCAGGCACCACGTGAGTGGTACGACACACTGAGGACTACACTTGCGGCCCTTGGGTTTGCTCCTTCCACTGCTGACCCGTCACTGTTCCTGCGCACAGACACGTCGCTGCCGCCGTTCTACATCCTCGTGTACGTCGACGACTTGGTCTTTGCTACTGCTGACACTGAGGCACTCGCTCGTGTGAAGTCGGAGCTGCAGAAGAGACACACGTGCACAGACCTGGGTGAGCTGCGTAGCTACCTTGGCTTGCAGATCACCCGGGACAGAGCACGCCGCACCATTACCCTGACTCAGTCACACATGGTGCAGCAGGTCCTTCAGCGCTTCGGCTTCCAGTTCTCCTCACCACAGGCCACACCTCTGGCTACCAGCCACTCGCTCTCAGCTCCACCTTCGGACGAGTCCGTAGAGCCGAGTGGCCCGTACCCAGAGCTTGTAGGCTGCCTCATGTACCTGATGACTTGCACGCGACCTGACCTCGCGTACCCTCTTAGCATCCTTGCTCGTTACGTTGCGCCTGGGAGACACAGGCGAGAGCACTGGGAGGCTGCTAAGAGGGTGCTGCGTTACTTGTGCAGTACATCAGGCATGGGGCTGGTGCTTGGAGGACGCGACAGAGTTGTCCTCACTGGTCACTCGGACGCTTCTTGGGTGGACGACCTGGCTACGCAGCGGTCGTCGCAGGGTTACACCTTCAGCCTTGGCTCTGGTTCTGTCTCGTGGCGGTCCACCCGCTCTTCTTCTGTTCTCAGCTCTAGTTGTGAGGCTGAGATCTACGCCACGGCCATGGCTGCACAGGAGTTACGCTGGCTCACCTACCTGCTGACTGACTTGGGAGAGCGGCCTAGTTCTCCTCCAGTTCTGTACGGCGACAACAAGGCGGCCCTTGCCTTGTGTCAGGAGCACAGACTGGAGCACAAGACGAAGCACATTGCTCTTCGCTACTTTCTTGCTCGAGAGCTGCAGCAGCGCAGTCAGCTTCGGCTTGTGTACGTGGACTCGAAGGCCAACACTGCTGATATCTTCACCAAGGCGCTCCCGCCTAGTGATCATCAGCGGCACTGTACTTCTTTAGGCCTTGTGTCCACATTCCCTCATTTGCTTACTGCTTGACTTTCTTTGTACTGTACTTTATATATATCTTGTTGCTTGCTTGCTAGGTTTTGATCACTGTGTTGCTTGTCTTGTACTATATCTAGTACTGCATGTGAACTGGCCTTGTGGCCTTTGCTTGTGCTCGGAGTGTGGTGACGTTGTGATCCACCCTGGGCTTGCGTTGCTTTGCTGGACTGGTCTTGTGACTCTTTGTTCTTCCCCACTTTGCCTATGGGGGTGTGTTAAATTGTAATGTGTTATATGTTGGTAGGCTGTAGTGGGGTAGCCAATATGGGGTACAACCCCAACTAGGGTTTGCTACTTGTACCCAACTGTTTCATTCAATGCACCATTCTTGCCTAGTCTTGTTGACAGTTATTAGGGGTTAGTGCAATGGCAATGGTTCACCAGTGGCGCCAATAGTGTCGCAAATATACAAATACGGCACAACAATATATTGTCATAGCGTTTTGTAACAACACAGTTAGAAATGTGTGTAATACCGTAAGACTTTTGTGTAAGGCATGGTCTATTGAGCGCGTATTGCTTCAAACAGTGGCACCACCATGCCAGATGGAGTGTGGACTAAGGGGCCTTGCTTCAATCACATTCGCTCCGATTCACAATTGTTTGGGAGAGGAGCAAGGAACGCACATGAAGTCCACAGCCTTGGTTCCCCTGCAAGGCACAGCGCACACACGCAACACCAAACAATCAGCTAGTATGTGAATCAGTAACGTATGTCCTCCTGATGTGGTGGGGTAGGGTTGTGCGGGAAAGCGAGGGTAACTAGATTGTGCATATGTGCGCATGGGACTGATAGTTTACAATTCTCCAGAGACACGTAGAAAGGAAGGAGGGAGCAAGGGAAGAGGGAGTACATACCAGTAATTGTTGTGGTAGGCAAGTGTTTTAGTGCCATCAGGAGAAAGTGGGGTTGACGGGGAGGGGAGTGGGGGGAGGGGAGTGGGGGGAGGGGAGTGGGGGGGGGGAGTGGGGGGGGGAGTGGGGGGAGGGGAGTATGGGGAAAGAGTTGGAAGGGGAGCACTCACCAGTTCTTGTTGTGGTAGGCGAGAATCTTGGAGCCATCAGGGGAGAAGGCCCAGATGAGGCGCTTCAGTCCATTGTACTTCACAGGCACGGAGCCATCAGTGCTGTTGCGCGAGAACCTGCAGTGTTGGGGGCAGATGGGGAAAGAACACCACAGTGGTGAGAAAGAGCAGCAGGGGGGGAGAAGGCCCAGATGAGGCGGTTCACTCCAGTGTACTTCACAGGCACGGTCCCATCAGTGGTGGGGACAGGTGGGTACAGTTGAGACAGGACCAGGGCCGTGAGAAACAGCAGCAGCCCAAATGAGCCGGTTCACTCCGCTGTATCTCAAAAGTCGAGAAAGAGCAGCAGAGGAGGAGAAGGCCCAGATGAGTCAGTTACTCCATTGCATCTCACAGGAGCACAGAGGCGCATTTGTGCTGTTGCGAGGAAACCTGCAGCGTTGGGGATGGTTGCGGACAGAGCCAGTTGAGTTTTGAGTCGACTCAAAAGTTGACTATGAGTCAACTCAAAAGTCAACTCTGCGAGCAAACCTGCAGCGGTGGGGATGGTTGGGGACAGAGCCAGTTGAGTTTTGAGTCGACTCAACAGTTGACTATGAGTCAACTCAAAAGTCAACTCTGCGAGCAAACCTGCAGCGGTGGGGATGGTTGGGGACAGAGCCAAAGCTGTGAAGAATCGTCTCAAATGCTTGAGACATTTCAAGATTGACTAACGAGTTGACTCAAACGTCGTCTCACCCTTGAACTTGCTGCACTCGTCCTCGATCCTCCCTCTCACACCACCTACTCACTCCTCCCTCTCACACCTCCCTCTTACTCCTCCCTCCCACTCCTCCCTCTCACACACACCTCCCTCTCATACCTCACCTCATGATTGCTCCCCGCGCTGTTGAGCTGAACCCAGTCGCTGCAATCGCAAACTTGCTTGACGGTCTCACTGCGCTCGCTGCATAGCCAGTTATCCCATAGGCTGCCACAGCTGCTGCTGACTTGCCAGGTGGCAATGCTGACGTGGCGAGGTTCCCAGCCACCACGTCAGCAGGGGACATGGAGCCCGTTTTGGACCAGCCCAGGGCGAACCAGCCCTTGTGGGCCCCACTGCTGGCCTTCGCCTCCACCGCTAGAGACAAACTCTGCCGCCCCTGGCGCTTCCAGTGGAGCACAAAGCTGGAGGGGAAGGGGGGAGAGGAGGGATGGGAAGAGGGACGAATATAGGTCGTGTGTTGAAGATAGACATTAATAAGGAGAGGGAGGAGGTGGGAAGGGGATGGGGTTGGTTTGGGACAGGTGGGGAGTAGGAAAAAGGCAGGGAGGCATTGTGCTTTTGAGTCGACTCAAAAGGAGTAGGAAAAAGGCAGGGAGGCATTGTGGTAGTGACGGAAGGCGGGAATACTTGAAATGAAGATGAGTGTGTGATATTAGGGACTAGTCTCACCACCGCACACTCACCGCCCTCCACAATCACCACCACACACACACACACCCTCAGTCACCCACCACACACACACACACACCCTCAGTCACCCACCACACACACACACACACCCTCCGTCACCCACCACACACACACACACACCCTCAGTCACCCACCACACACACACACACACCCTCAGTCACCCACCACACACACACACACACCCTCAGTCACCCACCACACACACACACCACACCCACCCCACCACACACACACACCACACCCACCCCACCACACACACACACCACACCCACCCCACCCACACACACACACACCCTCAGTCACCCACCACACACACACACACACCCTCAGTCACCCACCACACACACACACCACACCCACCCCACCACACACACACACCACACTCACCCCACCACACACACACACCACACTCACCCACCACACTCACCCACCACACTCACCCACCACACTCACCTACCACACTCACCCACCACACTCACCCACCACACTCACCCACCACACTCACCCACCACACTCACCCACCACACTCACCCACCACACTCACCCACCACACTCACCCACCACACACACACCCACTCACCACACACCCTCTACTTTCACGCACTCACCCACCACACGCACACCCGCCCACAGCACACACACTCTCACCCACCATTCACACACCCACACCCACACCCACACCCACACCCACACCCACACCCACACCCACACCCACACCCACACCCACACCCACACCCACACCCACACCCACACCCACACCCACACCCACACGCCCACCCACACCCACACCCACACCCCCACCCACACGCCCACCCACACCCACACCCACACCCACACCCACAAACATACCAACCCACCCACCACACTCACCCTCTACCCGTGAGGTCCACTGAGCTGGTGAATCCATTTAGAGACGATGCCTTGCACGCAGAGGGCTTGGCTTGCAGATGTCTATTCAAGCCCACCACACTCTCACACCGTCACACACTCACTCACCCACCACTCACCCTTTACCCGTGAGGTCCACTGAGCTGGTGAATCCAGGAAGAGTCGACGCCTTGCACGCAGAGGGCTTGCACGGGGGAGGAGATGGCTGAGGGGACGGCTTGGGGGACGGCTTGGGGGAAGGCTTCGGGGAAGTTTTTGGGGATGGCTTGGGGGATGGCTTGGGGGATGGCTTGGGGGATGGCTTGGGGGAAGGTTGGGGGGACGGCTTTGGGGAAGGCTTGGGGGAAGGTTGGGGGGATGGCTTGGGCGATGGTTTGGGGGGAGGGGGAGGGGGATTGGAGGGCGCTGGGAGGCACGAGAAGTCCACCGATTTACCACCCCTGCAACAACCGCAGCACAAGCAACGCATGGGACTATCACAACTTGAATTGACGGCAGACGAGTTTTGAGACACCTTAAAAACAGAAAACCGGAGCACGCGTTGGGAAGGACGCTTGAGTTGCACTGATTTGGTTCCTTTTGAAACTGACAGCCTCGGGATACATCGCACCTGCTCATGCCGTGATTGGCGGGTCTGCCGCTCGAGCCGAACGCCTGGATGTTTGATTCACCCCCCTGTACTTCGGCAGGCGCAAGCCTATTTTAGAGCAACAACTTATAGAGAGGACGAGAGCATTGGTTCGCATTGCCCCTGTTCATGCCGTGATCTGTTGGCCTGCCACTCAAGCCGAACGCCCAGATGATCTGATTCGCCCCGCTGTACTTCACTGGAACAAGCTGCTTGTAAGAGAATGGCTTTTAGGGGGGGACGAGAGTCATCGCACCTGTTCATGCCGTGGTCGGTTGGCCTGCCACTCGAACCGAACGCCCAGATGATCTGATTCGCCCCGCTGTACTTCACTGGAACTAACCCGTCCGTTCCGTTCCGCGTGAACCTGAGGGCAGTCAGTCACACGGTACAGGGACTCGAGCCGATTGGGAAGAGGGAACTGGGGAGAGGGAACTGGGGAGAGGGAACTGGGGAGAGGGAACTGGGGAGAGGGAACTGGGGAGAGGGAACTGGGGAGAGGGAACACTGCAGGGGATTTTCGCTCATCACTGCCGAGTAAAGCTTGCCTGCAGAGGCTGGAAAGCGTGAATCGCCACACTCCGCGCATACCTCATCACGACGCCACTTGGTCCCCATGCGAGCGCGGCATTCCCAAGGCTGAACCTCGACGTGGGCGCAACCGTGGTTTGACTGTAGCCTTCTAACGCGTACGCCGAGGGTCGGCTGTTCCCCGCAACACCCACGACAGCGTCATCAGGGAACATGTACCCCGTCTTGCTCCACGCTATCGCAAACCAGCCCTTATTGGTCGACACGCCGCTCCCTGGCTTCGCCTCGACCGCCATGGCTAGGCTTTGCGGACCGTCGAGCTTCCAGTGAAGCACGAGGCTGAAGGGAGGAAGGGCGGGGCGTATTAATGGAGGGGCATAGAAGCGGACGGGAAAGGTGTGCGACGAGTAAGCGCAGGGCAGTACGGCAAAAAATACAACTTTGCGGACCGTCGAGCTTCCAGTGGAGCACGAGACTGATGGGCGGGAGGGGAGGGAACATGCACCCACACGGTGCTGTAGCTTTTCAGGGGAGGGGCATGTCAAGGGCGGACGAGGAAGGTGTGTGACGAGCAAGCGCGGGACAGTACGGCGAATACAGCTTTACGGACCCTCGAGCTTCCAGTGGAGCATGAGGCTGAAGGGCGGGAGGGAAGGGGCATGTGAAGGAAGGGACATGGCATGGGTGCGGGAGGGGAGTGTCATGGGCGGACGGGAAACGCGCGCGACGAGTAAGCGGCGGACGGTACGGTCGTTGCGGGCCCAGCTTACAGTGCAGCGCGACGCTGACGGGCCATACGAGCGGCGTGTGCACTGAGGAGGTGTAGCCCGCACTCACAGGGCGTATGCGTTGTATAACAAACGAAACTCTTCCACGGCGGATCAATTGAGCGTGTCGCACACTATGAAGTGCTTCGTGCGTCTCGTAACGCACCCTTTCCCCGAAAGGTCGATCGACGAGGTGAAGCCCGGGAGCGAAGACGCCTTACACGCTGGCGACGATGCGAGCTTGCGGCGCCGGCTGTCGAAGCTCTCGCGCTCATGACCGCGACTCGTGCTTCTGGCTGGCCCTGCCTCGCCGCCGCCGCTTCCGAGCACCGCCAGTCGCCGCCTGCTGTCAAGGATGCTCTCTCGCCGACTTTGACTTCCAATTATAGCATAGTTCTGTACGATTTGCGACGAATATCGTCTGTTTTCATGCGCTTCCCCGACAGCATGTGACACTAAGCATAGTGCTAGTAGCGAGATCGCGGCTTGAAATGTATGCCGCATCTCGGAACGTCGAAGGACGGTCTGTGTACTTAACGTGATAAATCACAGAGCCGAACTGGCTAACCCTTGAAACCAGCAGGATAAGCTTCTTGTCTGAAGAACATTATGCTTTGTACATAAGTGGAATTAACAAGGTTCGCCAAAACTTAGGAGCTGATTGTCGAAGACGGAAGGCGCTAGGTCATTCGAGAAAAGCGGGACGATGTGAGGTTCGGCGGTACGATCTGGGGAAGGTTACTCGACTGCCTTTTTGCGCCGGAAATGAATCCTTCTCAAAAGGGCCGACGGGGTGGTGGTAGGCAGCTTAGCAGCACGCATTATGGTGATGGTGTGGTGGCGATGGTCATCTCTGGCTTGGTTGTGCTCGGTGCTCTGCTCACACTGGTGGTGTGGTGACTGACCGGCGTGTCGGTGCGTCATCAATCAATGTGCAATTTCTTTACACATTGAAGATTGCGTTCATGCGGCTCGGTTCGGAAAAAGGCTCAGAACAATTTTATCGAGATCCCGCAAGAAAAGGGCTTGTTTCGCATGATGAATTAATAACTTGTCTGAGTTTTCCGGTTTCCCCTAAGCTGAAAGCAGATGTGCGTGACAAGGTAGTCAGACGCTGTCTGCGAGCAGTGTAAACGAATCAGACCAGCCTCAACGACTACAGTACTTGTCTTTAGAGGGGCCAACAGCTACATTTGTTCGGCCTTTTCAGCTGTTCACCACCGCCCTGGGTTTGGCAAATCAAACTTGGCACGAAAAATTCCGGATAAACGAGCCGCACTTTTTGGTGATGGTCGCGGCTCGCTCACACTCTATGTATTCGCCTTGACGTGGCAGCACGGCTACTCATCCGACCGTCCATTTCATCCTTGCGGCTCGAGTGGACAAATCTCTAACCTTGAACCAAAGCTGGACCTGCTGCTCCTTGCTTCCCTCTTTGCCATTCCTTGTCGGCTCATCACGTTGAAGTGTTGACCTGGACACCGCTGTGGTATGTCTGCCCTACACCTTGAGTTGGCTTTTGTGCGCCCCAGTGCCCCACATTGAGTGAATTTGGTGGCTGAAGGCGAGGAGTGTGTCAGGGGAACGTGCACAAATTCTCTACCTCCAATGCACAAGGTGAGTATCAACAGAGCAAATTCAGTGTCACGAACTTCGCAGCTGCCCCCTTGAGTGCAGATCCAAATCAAGCAGAAGCTCTTATCAAGTCGCCGTATGTGCTAGCCTTCGGCCAGTCGGTGCTGTCTTACAAGCGCATGCCATCATTTTATCAAAGCAACTGCATCGCCCGTGTTGAGACCAGTTAGCACAGCAATAACTCGAAGTTTTTCTCCCTTGCTCTAGTAAGCAGACCTTACAGCTGCACTCCGTACCAACTCCTCCTGCCACACCTCTGAGCTACACGTTGGTATCGCACGCTTTCTCGTAGCTTTCATGGCACATCTTTCCATGGATCACTCAAACCCAATGCAGCCATGCTAGGCACGCCGCGCCCCTCTTCGGACGCTTACGGCCTCCGCTTTTCCTTGAAAAAATCTTTATCGCTTCCCGAGACGGGAGCTACGTTTTGCGACAGCAAGAAAATACTATACACAGAATTAACAGACTAAGCCCAAGCCAGGAACGATAAGGGGCTATTTCTAACGGAGACTGTTGGAGCGAGGGTACTGAGAGCGACGATGAAGATGATAGCGCGTCTCAGATTATGTATACTCTCGCTGCTCCTCGTAGTGTCGCTGTTGCCTCTGACCCTCGCTGTCGGGCCTCCAGCCGCACAGGCAGCTGCACGGGCAGCATCACGGGCAGCAGGACGTGTGAATCCGAAAGAAAGCTCACGGGGGACGCCAAGGCCATCCCCTCGGGCAGCACCACGCAGACCAGTAGTAGCACGAGCGGCCGCAACCTCTAAATGTGACCTCAATCAAGGACGGTACGGTGTAGCTCCTTCAACAGCACGCGATTTCGCCTTCTGTGGTCCTCAAGATCCATGCTTTTTCTTTCTTTCTTTTTTCAAGCTCGAGTTTGCGCGCGCTCTCCGTTGTGGCATGTAGGTGTACGATCTTACATAGAAGCCCTGAGTTTCAGTTTAGCCTTGTTTTCTATCCCTCGCCTTGCGTGCCTTCCGTGTCGCTTTGCTACAGGTGGGTGTACGACCCCAAGTACAAGCCAGCGTACGGCCCCGTGAGCTGCAAAAGCCTGCGATCGTACTTCAACTGCCTCGCGAACGGGCGAAAAGATCGCAGATACCTCAATTACGTGTGGCGAAGCCCTGGTTGTAACATCCAGAGGTCAGTCCCGGTTCGCATGACCTGAATTGAAAGTTTTTAGGGTAATCTGTGTTTCTCGAGTTCGCTGCTGATTTGAGAGGACTAACCACGCGCGCGCGTCGCTTTTCTTTGCCCAGGTTCAATGCGACGTCGTTCATGCAACGGTTTCGCAACAAGGTGTTCCTGGTTACCGGCGACTCCTTTGCGACAAACTTCGACGCCTCGTTCCGCTGCCTCATCGGTTCCTACACCAAAACCAAGGTGCGCGGAAAGCAGGGCGGTCTACGAACATTACCTTTTTAGGTGGCTGTACGGGAAGCGCGCTTGTGCGAAAGTCGATCGGAGAGGAGCGAGGCGACACGACAATAGGTGCGGATGTGCAAACTTACTGGTGTATTGTCGACTGAAAAAACACCAGTTGATATTGACTGTCGGTGACTGCCGTTGACTGCCGCCGCGTGGGCGCAGGGCCGGGGCGACTACAGGAAACCGATCGAGTGATGAGACTGCTTGAAGGGGAGGTTGGGCATAGGAGGACTAGCTTCATGATAGCTGATACAATAGCTCGTTGAACGGGCGTCGCACGGTCGTCAGGAAAGCGGGGTCCACAGGCAGCCAACAGGCCGCGGTCCAACAGGGAAGCGGGGCCGCACGGTTCTTCGTTGCCAAGGCTAAAAATCCGTAGGGTCTTTCAGATTGCACCGCTTCATGCTCGAGGCGCCTCAAAAACAGGCGAGAGTGCCGTGAGGTCCGAAGGATACCGTTTTTGCGTTGTCTCGTACGAACATCGTGCGCGACCACCCAGTTCGTCGAGGTAACCAACTGAAATTCGCTAAATTCCTCATCTTAGTGCCGAAAAGCTTCGGCGGTCCCCCCGTATTTCCAAATTTCTTGCACTTATGCCCGTCTCTAGCTCGAGAATTTGACAAAGGCTGCTTGAATTTCCAAGGAAAACAATCGCTTTTAACAAGAAATAGGAGAACTCAGAGAAATAAGCGGTGCACCCTCCTCCCCTCCTACCCTTCGTTTCTGCTCCTCTCCTCTCCTCCCCTCCTCCTCTCCTTCGCTTCTCCCCTTCTCCCCTTCTCAGTAATCGTATCTCAAGATCCGAGTATTCTTAGCTTCCACGCATTTCTCACACATTACCATTACCTTCCTTTTGCGGCGTCTCCCGTTTTGAGCAGGATTTTGCCAACAAGCAGTGGGGTAACACTGGAGTGAAAGCATCGGGTTACTTCGCCAAGGCGTTCAACTTCACTGTAGTTCGCGTGCCTTCGAACTTCCTCGTCGCGTCTCAACCAATGGTGAGCCTTTCCTGCCTTGCACTTCACATACTCGACCCGATAATCTCTACAGTCTCATAAGGAGCTTCAAACAGGAAATTTTTCCATTATAGCAAGTTTGATAGATATTTCTGCTGCTTAGCAAAACATCCATCCTCAATGTCAAAGCATGGCTTCACCGCTTTTTTGCCACAATATTCTACTTGTATCGCAGGGCGAGGTGTCGAGTGCGGGGGTGTGGCAGGTGGATTTGGACAAAGTGGACGACAACTGGGCCAAGCTCTTGCCGTTCACCCACTACGCGCTCTTCAGCTCCGGTCACTGGTTCAGCCAGGTGAGGCGTGGGAGGTTCAATGCGGTGGAGAGTGATTCAGGCAGGTGAGTATCGGATCACTGGCACACGGATTACTCCACACATTCTCTCCTCCTTATGCTCTACCATGAACACACCTCCATCCACAGAAAACACTTGGTATACCAC